TGAAATATGTATTTAACCTGTCACTGCACTAATTTATAATCTGTTTCCTTTCTAAAAAGTATTTATTTCTTATAATAATTATCTAATTATGATTGTATTAAAAGATTAATTTTATTACATATATGTTAATAGTCATAATTATCAGTTATTTGGATAGTAAATTAGTAGTGATTATGTTATAAATTAAGTGGTAATTTAGCTTCTAATTCAATTATGATACAATTATACTGAGTTATGCAGTCAACGTACTAGCGTTGTAAACATGAAAGCTTGGTTTGTGCTTATAAATGTTTTCTAATAATACATTCATAAAATGTGACAGCAGCAAAAATTACTTTTGATCTGTCAAAATAAATAAGACATAGCACAGATAAAAAAAAACAACGGAAAAGTATTTAATGCACATTATTTAATAGATCGCGTGTTATGTCAGAAGCGAGGTTCGCGTGTTTAATTGTCAACAGCCGGTGTAAATAGAAACGAGGGAAACATTAATAAGCAAACAACAACACATGCATGATTTTATTAAGGAATACACAGATTAACTTGATCAATGATGCGTTGACCGTTCAGGATGTTTTAGGAAGTAATTAAGTAATAAATTCGACCTTAGCTATAATAACGTTCTCGTAATATAATCCGAAGGTACTTTCTAGTTGCCGCTGCACGATTTGATTATTACGATAAAATCTTTTGATTGAATTCAAATTATCCTCTAAAGTGTTTTTTTTTATTTCCTAAACTGACAATATTTTTTTTTTCTTTTAGAAGAAGATGAACTTTCGAGCTCAATAGGAATCTAGCCAGAGCCGTTAACAGATTTACCAAAATAATTATGATGAAAGCTAAAAATTAATCATATAATATAAAAGAAATTCTTTATTAACAGAAATCCAATTCCTTTTACATTCTCTATCACAGTAAAATTTTTCGTGCAAGCTTACTTACATTATTCAACCACTCATAACTCGATAGAATGTTATAAGATAAAATCGTTTCATTACAATGTATAAAAGTTATATACTATGAATTAAAATACATTACTTAGTTAATGAATTTACTTAAATAAATCCTTGTGTTAAAATATTAAGTACTACATATTTGAATTTATCAAAGGCGATTGTTATAAATTTTTATAAGAGAAAATCGGTCTTACTAAATCCTTTAATTTAAAAAAATCCTTTATTACATATAAGTATGTAAATTCTTGGAATTCTTTCTTGAAAAAAAGTTATGATTGTATAAACACCGCGTACACATGCCGTTTAAATCCTATAGATATATGCAAAAAACTCATTGTTTGTACGCAAAAAATATAGACGAGGTCTTTAACTCGGAGTGCAATTTTGTTGACAACGAACTGTTCACTATCTCTCACAATTTGAATGCAGTGAAAGTGATTGATTCAACACATTCTTTACGAATCAAACACATTCGGTTATAAAGTATCGACGGCGTCATTATGTAACTATTAACATTAGCTTCATACGAAGTTTATCTGATAAGTATAATTTAGGTACTAACAATTATCGTACTTTTCTTTCTAGAATTCAGAACTTTCTAGTGTCAAAAATGTAATCAAATTCATTATATACGAGATTCATAACATGTAATTTAAAAAAGTTATTAAACATGTTTACCAGATCAATTACAGAACGAAAGTAATAATTGCCAAACATATTAAACGAGATGTAACATGATGGAAGCACTAGATACACATAATTATAAATGTAGTTAACGGAACATTAATAATTACCTCATCTTCATATTGAAACACAAAACTTATCGTAATGAACACAACCAAAACTGTCTGAAACGGGAATGTGCCGACTTCCAAGTAAGACTGCGCGGTCGGCGGGCTTTCTCCCAGATTTATAAGCCCCACACCGCCGCGAAGAAATGCAACGCTTTAGCAATATTACGCGAAACGAAACAATTATAAAAATCACTCGGACTCTGTTATCGGATGAAATAAATACACAATATCGATTATCACTATCCTAGTAGTAATAAGAACGGAACGGCTATTCATTAGAAAGTTAATTTAGTGGTCAAAATCAAATTAGTCCTAACCTCTTGTATTATATAAAATACCATAAAAAACATCCAGTTTCGCGGTATAAATTAATACAGCTTGTAAATCAAGTGACAGAAGCGACGATTACTAGATTATAACACAGTTGTTTAATATATAATACATTTTTGATAATAAACAATACCTAATTATGTTGAGAACGTAACAATATTATAATAAAGAAAGTGAAAGTTATATAGAAACTATTTAGACGGAATTTTGGGTGTAATGAAAAAAATATAAATAAGTTTTTCATTTAAAGCTCTACAATTAATGATAAATTTGAATTACATAAAGTGGAATACACTATTAAAATTATAGTAAATATATTTTTATTAATTCAAACAATAGAAAAAAAAACAATATTAAAGACATTCTTATTTTTGTTTTTATAATTGTTTCTGGTGTCAATTGTTATTTTGTCGTACATAACTAATTTGCTTTCATAATATGTTAAAAGTATCTATTTATAAAATAAAATATTTAAATTTGTAGGATTTAAACATAAATAAATTTTATTAATGAAATGTATCTGAATTGATTAAAAACAAGTCAGAAGGTGTGTGTGTAAAACCAGACTTTTAGTAACACATTTTCTTCTGAGCAGTTTAAACAGTGAAATTGAATTCCAGTCTTAGAAAGATTCCTCCATCCGAACTAAATGTCAAATATTAGTAATAAATAAGTAAAGGGATCTATCTCAAGGTGACGTTCATAAAATAAAATGTCAAAATTTTATATTCTTCGTAATTTTGAATGATCGGAGCTTTATCTCAATAGGTCTTTAAAATTTGGCTTGCAACGAATTCTTAAAATGATTTTATTTAATAAATGTCACGAATAAAATCAATTGCAATATATATTAATATTTATATCTTTTTATTATCTGTAACTAATTGTATAACTAGAAAAAATAATAAAAGGCATACTGTCAAAATTCTTAGTAGAGAAATATTGTTATAAAAATAAGTACTCGGTCACTTTTTATACGTATTCCAGCTTGGGACACCGAACACTAAGATAGTTTTTATATTATTTCACAAACAAAATTATAAAGTTGTTCATTATTAAGACGAGGTTGGCATCGTCCGCGAATCTCTTGCCTACACAGTTCAGAGATACATAACAGCTGCATGTAACAGGTTTTCGAAATGCTATATACATTACTCATTAAATAACATCAACAGAAGTTTATATTACAAAACATCAAAAAAATTGTAACATTACATAATTATGAGATTTCGCCGCATGAGTTACTCATTGCTGTAAGTCCTATGACAGTTTGAAATTAATTTTAAATATCTGCAAGTCGCTGCTGAAAATCATCCGTGCGTACAACGATGATTTGATAACACTGAATAGTGAATAATTTTAACCAATCTGTTATCGACGCGCAATGTATCTGTCTTGGTACAAAATCATTTCTTTTATTCTGCTTCGTCGTCATTTAACATGTTTCGGTGAAACTTTAGTTACTTGTGAGATTTGAAATGTGTTGCTATTGATTATATTATATTGATTGATATTGATACAGGAACATAGTAGAATAATATAATACCAACAGAAAACGTCAGATCGAAGTGCTAATAACGTCTCCTAATATTCCATAGACAAATATAAACATAATATTAAATTGAAATATAAAAATAATAAAGATCTGACCGAGATAAAAAATTAAAGTTTGAAATTAGACAAAGTTTAGATTTAATTTAAAAATATAAACAAATAATAGGGACCTTCAAATATTTCTCTAACTTATTGCGGTATATACGCTAAATATTGTTTTATTACAAGAAGCCATATTTAGTTATTGTACAAAAATTATTAAAACTTTATAACATTCATTAAAGTGAAATCTTATCCGCCTCTAAATAACATGATAACTTTTATTATAGTCATGGTTTTTAACAATGTTGACGCCATGTGCATAACAAATTATTTCCAACATAGCTCCCCGTACCGTACATCTAACAGTGACGCTGTCAAAACCGAATGCTGATAAGGCTACAGTTTAGATGAAAAAAAGGCTCACTTCCGGCAGTCTTATCCATAAAAATAAAAAAAACTATTTAAGAATAAAAATAATTTTAATCCTTTATTTACATTATAGCAATAATTTGTTCTTTAATTTATGCTCGTCCATCCTAAAAATAAAAGTACGTAACATGGATACTAGGTTTTTAAATGAAAGTGCTATATAATAAAGCCTTAAGAAGTAAACACAACATGCAATCCCAACACTAGTGACTATTTATTTTTTAAGTTATGACGACAATGTTTCAATTATAAGTACTTATTATCTGAATTTGACCTACCGTTTTAAAGACAAAAATACATAAAAGATTTTCAACTCCGTCTTCTCAGAATTAATAAGATGATAAGTTCAAACTAATATTTCGTTTCTGCACAATACGTAACCGGTTGGTAACTCACAAACTGCGCTTTAACTGTGCATGAGGGACAATCGACAAAAAATCACCAAATATGAAGAGACAGCTTCCGCGAAAGACGGTCCTGGATAAATCTGGTTTTATCTTACGGTTACTTAACCGACTGCGCAAAACCTGGGGTTATAAATTTTGAAAGAACGAGGAGTATCTTCTACAGGAATATAAAAATGATTGATCATTTCCACTTCAACATTTATTAGTTTAAAATGCAATTTAGATTCTCTTGTATTAAATATGTTCAGTATAAAAATACCCCTAATTTGCTGAGTTGTTATAAAACCTGGACACAAATTATTGTCAATAATAATTCTATCCTCTTTTTAAATAGATATACATATATTTGGGCGAAAATGACATACATTTAAAATGCTTCCTGACAAAATAATATTTGTAAAATTACAATAAAATAAAGAAGGAAAAATTTTGGATTAATATAAAATTTATTCCCTAATTTATGACCACTTACTTTTTAACGCTCATGATTTTGCAAAGTATCCCGATGACTTGTCTTGCATTTTTTCTAAATTATAAAGACAAGTACAACAGGGGCAGAAGTAAAGCCGCAGAAATCGTGCTACCTTCGATTTTGTGTTAGTTTCCTCGTAAGCGTCGCTGTCTCTATATGAGAATTCGCCTTTGTAACTGCATCTAGGACGAAAAATATGACAGGCGCTGTTAGTTGAGGTAAGTGAAGTTTCATCAACGGTTTCAGTTTTTTTTCTATCCTGGTCTGCGTGCTCCCACGAGGACAGAGGCATTAAATATTCTTCCATGTTGATACTGTGTTTCGAAGGAGATTGAGAGTGTAATATGAGAGTTGCTAAATTAATCATTGATGAAGTGTTCCTTTGATGTAGTCCGTCTCCCAGAACGACATTGCCTAATTTATCATTTATATCTGTACTCGATCGTATTTTCATTCTTAAAACTGTGATGTCAGAATCGCTCGGCCATGATATTACGTCTGGCGTAAAAGATTTATGTCTCTTTGTACGTAGCTTTTTAATTTTTTTATGATTTTGGTCTATTTTAACTTTAGACAGACCTGTTTCCAAGCTCTTAACTAGGTTAGCAGAAATAGTGCTATCGGTTTCTGAAGGTAATTTAAAAGCCACTTGCCGAACATTAAAATTGCCGTTAGCTTTTTGTATATCTATGATATCCTCAATTTTTCTTATAATATTTTTTTGTTCAACATTCATGTTATCCATATTTTAAAAAAAATGTGGACAATTACAATTTTTAACAGGAATATTTGCCAATCAAGTTGGTTTGTTTTTTACCCAGTTTTTTTATAATTTTGACATTGACTTATATCATTAATAATCATAATATTCAGATAATATATATAAAAAAAAAAATACTTGAATATTATAACTGTCAACATGATGTCATTTTGATACTTCCATGTAGAAAGAAACGGACATCATAGTTATTTTTATAACAATTTTTATTACGTTATGTTTATTTTAAAAAATTTATTGTACATTAAAAATTTATATTTCCGAACCTGACACGTCATAGAATTCTGAACTGAATGGGTAAAGGTGTGATGTCAGTGTCATTATTCTCAGGTCTCGTATCAGAGGCAAGGATGGTGTAATGTTTTCGCTTGGCTAATAATTTCTGTTATTACAATGGAATCCATTAATACTGATTCAGAAAGTAGTGATAAATGTAACATAAATGGAGACTGCTCTCCGATAACGGACAATGAAAGCAAAAACTTTAATCACGCGAAAAATATCGATGATATCTCTACACCTTCCGAGTTAAAATTTGACGAAGGTATTGTAAACAATTATGTGGGTTCTATCAATTTCCTCATATTTGACTTTCTTTTAAATTTTCACTCACATATGTTGTTTTTACAAACTATTTTCTGTTAAAATAATAACAATAATGCATAAATCTTCTCTTCTTACTTAGAATTCGAATTCGAGAGCTTCGAAATAATTGAAAAACGAAAGGATATAGAAAAGTGTCTTGCAAATCCGGACCTTGTAAATTTGGAGCAATGGCAGAACTTCGCTAAAAGTAAAGGGGGTTTAATTTGTGGTATGTGCAATATGATTTTTATTATTATAAATAGAAAACGTATGAGTTTGTGCTGAGTCACAGTGCTTTAATTTTTAACACGGAATTTGCATACTGTAAACACTACCTGTATAGTTGTATGTTATCTTTCTATTTTAGATAAATATAGAAGAAAGATATGGCCACTGCTAGTTGGAGTAACTCAAGAGGAAATGACTGATCCACCCTCACTGGACGAGCTCTCTACACACCCGGAATACAACCAAGTACGCAACAAATATATATGTCGACAATTATTCAAAAGCTTAGCATCATAAGAACTGAGTCATTTATTTGACTCAAGATTTTTTGTGAGGTGTTTAATAAAAAAATATTTAAACCACATACTAATTGTAACTTTTCCAAGAAGTACATAAGAATAGTAATTTACTATGTGGCTTAATTAAATATTAATATATAATTCACATAGTTATATCTTCTAGGTTGTGCTGGATGTGAATAGATCCCTCAAAAGGTTTCCGCCCGGGATTCCGTATGAGCAAAGAGTAGCTCTACAAGACCAGCTTACAGTTCTTATACTGAGAGTGATAATTAAATATCCACACCTCAAATATTATCAGGTCAGTATAAACAATTAGAAAAATTTAAGCTAAAAAACAAGTTATAAATCACAATCCTTACATTAGTCATTGATTAAAGCAAATTGTCTTTATTTTAAGCATAATTTCTTATTTTAAATGAGATTTTTTTAGTAGAAGATTATTAAAAAATAATAATAAGTTTTATTATACTAATAGTAAACAATCATTTTTTATCATAATATAAAATGGAATACAATAAAAGTTATTGTATTGAAACCGCAGCTACTGATAAAATGCTATCTTTGTCAATACACTCAATACATAAGTAGTATTGTTATTATTAAAAATATGTAATTAAAATATATCATAACATATTCAGTTAATTGCAAACATTTTTTATTTCAATATGTTTAATAAAGTCAAAAGATATATTTACGTAAAATAATATTTTAAAAACCAGATTTCTAACTTGCTACTGCCAGAATATTGTGTTACAGTTATAAATAAGACAAATCTTTCTCTTATGTATGTTAATACATATTGTTGATGAAGTACCAATACCTCCTTAATGTTGAGAATCTAATTTTACAACAGAAGAAAAAACTGTAAAATATATACCAATGAATGAATTCTGTCTTTTAGTAGATATTTTCACATAGCTCAAGAAACTGTTTGGTACAGAAATAGTCAAGAGTGTAATAGTCAAAAGAGTGAAGTCAATCTATGTTAATATGAGTTTTATGTCTATTGCAATAAAATAGTACTTTTGGACTAAATTGTGAGTTAGGAGGTATTGGTACTTGATCAATGATATGTATAAATATATAATTATACTGCATATGTGTCACTAAACACTTCTTAAGGTCTGGACTGATTAAATACATTTTGTTTATTAATTTGTGTGACTGACAGTGACAGACTGGTGCTTTAGATTCACAAACCAGCCCAAAAGGGTGTAACTTATGGTTACTAAGTGTATACTTTTAACACACTTCATAGATTTCTTTACAAGTGTAACTCTTATATTCACTTGGACAGTCTGTTTTTAAAATAATAAAATACGCGAAGTAATCTGAATTACATTACTTTTATTTAAATGAATACTCGCGAAAGTCTTACATTGAGATGTAAGTGTATTGACTCTGTCCAAAATGAGTTTTGGACAGAGTCGTGGGCAAAAAAATAGTTGTATAGTTGTAACCATCTAACCCAATACATTTATTAGAGATTGTAATTATATACATATATGTGTATATTCAGTGTTATTATTACAAACTCCAAATATATAAATATATATGTAGTTTGTTAAAAAGTGTTTATTAGTTGCATTAAACATTAGAATGTATGACACTATCTATATATTAGTCTTTAATCAACAACTGTGATTGTTTATGTTTGATATCAAATAACAGTGCCAATATTGCTCTGGGGACAAACTTGATAAAGGAGACGTTTTAGTGAATATGTTCGACTTTGTGATTTAAAATATGGGAATAATTAAGGATATTTTATTAAATAGTGTTTAAAAGAATTTTCATGTCCAAAAGTAGGTGGAAACTTTTCAAGGCTAGAAGCGCATTTTTTATGTAATCAAATTAATTAACTCATAATTAATTATTCTTGTCACTAAAGTACATTCAGGGTTGAAAGTCTCTTTGTTCTTTTCAATATTACGATCACATTCTATTGATGTGATGTTCGTCGTTCCAGGGCTACCACGACGTAGCCATCACTCTCCTTCTAGTATGCGGAGACCGCGCGTCGTTCCCGCTGCTGTGTCGCTTGTCGTACGGCCCGGGGGCTCCGCTGGCGCCCTTCATGCAGACCACGATGCAGCCCACGCAGCACCTTCTCAACTACATGCTGCCAATACTGAGACGAGCTGATCATGGACTCGCTGACTGTCTGGATAAGTAAGAATTAGACATGTTAATTATATATATATTCATAAGGGGCTCATAAGTCGGGAAAAGAGATATTTATGCCCTTTAACTTTTGTATATTCTATAACTGTTTAATATTCTGTGGTTTTAAGGAAGTGTTGCCATTAACAGTTTTCAGATTTTCTTTTTTTATAAACATCTGTGTGAGATGGACCACACTAGGTGAAACAAACTATTAGTTAGGTCTATTTTACCGTTCATCTGCCCGACCATTTTTCAGGATCCTTTATGTGTATTTATAGTTTTTTTAAACTTTGGTATCTTACAGAAATACTAAGTGGATTGAAATCCAAACCTTATAGCCATTTATAGTTCAGTGTCTTGGAAGTTTTTGTGGCATCATTTTATCCAATAATTTTATAGTGATGTTCTATTCTGTTCTAGAGCTGGTGTGGGCACTATGTTCGCTCTGCCGTGGTACTTGACGTGGTTCGGTCACAGTCTGAACCGGTACTCGGACGTGGTGCGTCTCTACGACTACTTCCTGTGCGCGCCGCCCCTGTTTCCGGTGTACGTGACGGCCTCCATCGTGCTGCAGCGGGCCGCTGATGTTTACCAGTGTGACTGCGACATGGCCATGATGCACTGCCTTCTGTCCAGGGTGAGAATGTAAAAACGAAGTACTCTTCAGATAATGATCCAGGCTCTAACATGTCATACAAGTCCATTATGGATTGTGATGAGTTGAGAAATTTAATAGGATTCTAATGTTTGTTTTATTTTTCAAAAGGCAGTCTTTACTTACCTCTCTGTTCCAACAGTTACCAGATGACTTGCCGTTCGAAGACATCCTGGTGACGGCCAAGAAGATATACGACGAGAACGACCCCACCGACCTTGAAGCTGAGGTCGCCGCGCTGGAGAAACGAGAGTGAGGCTCATGATGTTATAATGTATATACATTAAGGAGAGCAGACGGTGAAGATGTTTTAAATTTTAACTTTACAGAGAAGAGCAGCGCAAGTTGGACGAGGAGCGCATGCGGCGGCGTCAGGAGGAGCGGCGGCGGGGCGCGGCCGGCCGAGGTGCAGGCCGGGGCTGGTGGGTGCTCCGCCGGCCGGCCCACCGGCGCGCCGCCCTGGCGCTCACGGCCGCGCTGCTCGCCATCTACGTGTACTACCGGCCGGAGCTGTTCAGGTAGCGCCACGACTATCAGTTTGTTCTGTTCCGCTTCTAGCTCCAGCTCACTGTCGGGGGCCGCGCCTCATGTCTACACCCAGCTCGCGGCTCGTGTTGTTCCCCTGACGGTATGTCTGCGCTGACCCTCGCGACCCGTGCCTCGTCACGTTACACACAACCGGTCGTGACGTCACTATCCGTGTCTTTTACATAACCTTAATATTAGAGACTGCGCTTCCTTCATCATAGCGATGCTTATATAAATCCATTTCTCTAACTGTTTCTTCTATATGATGTTGAGCTTCTTAAACTATTGCTTGAACTATTCTTGGAAAAAAAAAATACAACATGAGATATTTCTGGGTCGCGAGGTTTACCTGACATCTTGGACGAAGTGACGGACAAACTGATATTGTAATCGTTGTACGTGCATGCGAATATAGCTCTTATGAGTGGCGTGTAATCAATATAATCGCTTAAAATAAATTGTATGACAAATGTATTGTTATAGATAGTATTAAAGCGTTTGTAGCTGTACACATGTTAGTCGTGACACATCGGCTTATTAATATTACTAAAGAGAACTGACTCTTTGTTACTGACAAAAATTAAAAAACAAATTATAAATTACATTTTTTTTTTCCAATGAAATAATTATTCAACATAGATAAATATATTTTGCTTAATAAATTAAACAGTGTTATCGAGATGGATTGTTACCATGTTTAAAAAGTTTTTACAATTTTAACAATTAATTAGATACTTTGTACAGATTATTTCATTATAACTTTATGTAATGTGTTATGACAACACTACGAGTTATTGATCTCTTTTAAACAGTTTAGGTCAATACAATATTAAAATGGAATATTTTTTGTATGTCTAAGATTCCCTACCGTCTGTGTATATGTTTTATATTGTGATATTAATTTGGTTAAACTTAAGTCATTTAATTTATTAATTTCATCCATTCCTTTTAGGTAACCATTATATATTTATAAAAACATTGATTCAATATTTTAAAAAATGTATAAAATTTTATATTAATGTTGAAATTTTTTTGTAACTCTTTTATTTTTGTTTCGTTTAGGCTTTTATACCTGTGGTCGACGTATTTTTAAGCGAATCTATATTTATGGGGTCCATTATTTAATGTCAGCAATATTATAGATTTTAATTAGCATTTATAAAGTGGAATGTTTCTAAATCTGCATTTGATATAAGTTTGAATGTCCCTTGAGGAATTTTCGCGGAATAAAAAAGACATCAAACTGTTAGAAATGTTTAAGTCAATGTTAGTGTGGTAGATCCTCGGTAGCATACATTGTATATAACATAAAATTAGAATCACTCATGTATTGATAAGCTGTTTATTACTGTGTGCGTTTTGTTTATTGTATTATTTATCTAATATAATACATATAACGTTATATACTCGTCTACTTGTATATAGGTAGGTTGGCACAAATTGTTTTAGATATGTTTAAACAATACAACAAACGGAGTGCTGTAGTGAAAGTTGAATGTGATTATGAGATCTTACAATTGGTAATGTATTGTTTGTATATAAGGTTAGGAGCAAAAGATTTATGTCAATTTTAGTTTAGTTACTCAACTGTTATTGGATGGTATGGTTTAAAAATATATGCACATTTTAATTGTATTAAACCTTAGTGATTCAACCGAAGTATGAATGTTGCTTAATTTTATGTATCTATTTTATATATACAATTAGTTAATTAAAATGGTCCTTTGTAACCTCTTAATGGGCATCACGTCATTATCTTTTCATAGTTAACATTAAGCGTACGTGACATGTATGTATGGTGTAGAGCGGTGTTCAGTTACTCAATGAATAACTGGTCTTATATATTACATGTTTTTTTATGAACATTGTGTTTCATTGGCATTCATACTAAATATTTATCATTGTATTCCCATGAATATATACTCGGTTTATATTAAAGTAACTGATCAATTAATTTCTACTTGCAGGAACAGCGATGAAAGTTCAGACATGAAATGATACTTGGGACAATAAAACTGTCGTTGTGTTAATTTTATATTATTTTATTTTTATTTCAACACATGGTTATCGCTTTGTTTCTAATAAACAATATCGAATTTACTAAAAATAAAAATAATATTAACACTCAAAATATACCATAAATGAAAACTTCAAACATATATAACTTATATCACAGCCATAGACTATTGCATTTATTTTAATGACTCTGTTATTTACATTGATACTTTTCAATACAAACTTATCTGACACAATAATAGTAAGGTTAGTAACACTATTAAAATGATATGAAAAAACTGGTTTTCATGAACATTGAATTACTAATTCTTTCAAATAATAAGTTGACTTTATAAAAACCAAGAATTTGTTTAGATATGTAACTTTTTATGCATTCATCTATCATAAGTGGACTTTATCATGATTCTGAAGTTAGGAAGGTTTAATTTATTAAATGATAATATTAGCTTTTAAAGAGATTGCAAGAAGTTATATGTAGACACTGGCAGTTAATTAATCTTTGTGAAAAATAAGCCAATGTTTCCAAATTTACCATATTGTTTGCTGTAGGAAGACAAATGTTGAGTATTTTATTGAAAACAAACTAATAAATAAGTATATGTGGTTAGTACAAATCTCATAAATAAACTTATTTATCAAATTAATATTGTATTTAAGATAAATAAATCACTTTATTACATTAACAGTAAACATGTTCTTTGTATTTTATAGAGAGCTTCATTACAGCTATTAGAATTTAATTAAATACAACACAACACACTATAGAGAGACTATGATACTTAGTTTGTTTAGAAGCATTTGTTCTTTGACTTGAGACAGTAAAAAAACATACAAAAATTAAATTTACTTCATTCTATAATGAATAGAGAATATTTCATCACTTTTTATAATATTAATGTATAGTAAAACTTATACACAGTTTTTTTATTTCCGGTAGTTGTATTTAAATTATTTAGAGAGAACTATTACCTTGTCTACATAATAAAAAGATTTTAAATCAAACATAAGACAGATGAGTATTAAGTTTCAGATGACTGTCGGTTCACGGTAGGGCCATGACGGTGGTGATGTATTGTACCACGCGAGGGTCGTGGAGTATCTTGAGATGTTCAGCGTTGCTAAGTGGCAAGACCTTGAGCGAGGCCTGTGGGGCCCAGCCTCCTCGTTGGAAGGCCCTCCACAGGCCCCCCCGCCGCCTCGTCTTTCCCCACCGCTCACAGTATGACAGTGAGCGCAGGTTGACCGTACCGTCGCCGTCACCGAACACCAGGTTAGGCTTGCCGTCCAACCAAGTGCCGGGCTTATAGTCCAGTCTGAAATTGAGAAATACATGTATGAATCGGGATACAAGAATTTAAATACATATGTATTTCATATAATATACAGGGTGACTGGTGAATTACTATCGATATTTGAGGACGTGATATTTGACGATCATATATGACAAAATAAAAATTAATATAACATAAATATTAATAAACTTCTAAGTATAGTTAACCAAAAGTTACGTAATTAATTACGCATCGTGTGAACACCCTACAGATTAGGTATACACACACACACACGCGCGCGTGCGGCGGCGTGGTGTTATATCAGCACGCCGCCGCACGCGTCCACACTTGGAACGTGTCCACACTTTATTTATTTATACGGAAATTTGGTCAAAAATTAAGTACCTATTTTTTTACATAATTCGAATGAGAATCATGAACCGAGTATTCTCCTTAAATATTGATAGTAATTCACCAGTCACCCTGTATTTTATTTATGTACAAAAGATATTGATTTAACTAAATAGAGTAAACAATAAATGAATTTATCTCCCTAAGAGGTATTCCAAGTACCAGATGTGTGTTCATGTGCATGTGTGTGTGTATGTGTGTACCTCTCGACAGTAGAGATGTTATATCCATATATACAGTGTAGCTCGACTCCCGGCGCGGCCACGTCGCTGGAGTACTTCTCTGTGTCCCGACGCATCTCCCACGCGTTCGGTAACTCCATGTCACTGTAAGGAACGGGAACCATATTGATACATTAAGGTTTTTTCGAGGATTATTATTTGCACAAGGTTGGTTGTGAGTTCAATGGATTTGGTATTGTTTTATAAATTGTAGGAAATCATTTCCATGTATTAACATAGAAAAGTTCTCTTAAGGTTATAGTAAGTCTAATTTCAATCTCATCGTAAAAATTAAGTTCTAGGGAGAGGAAAATTTTTAATAATTTACTTGAAGAGCTTCTGCAGGTCATTGATGGTGTAGTTGTACTTGTCGGTGGTGACAAGCAGCTCGTGAGGGCCCCACAGACGAGCTGACGGCAGCAGCCAGGCTAACGAGGGATATGTAATCTGCTGAGCCCGCAGGGTACTGGGAGACAGCATCATAGAGCCCAGGTCATCACCTGGAACGGGTCATATTATTGAGAAAATTCAGCAATTTTTCCTGTCAATTCTATCGTAATTTTAGTACAGTTAATAACAGTATTAACCCAATATGTTCCGTTTATTACGGATATGATAGTAAGAATTATCATTTCACTTTATATTAGCACTCATGTTTTATCACAACAGATTAAGGAATAAGGTCACTAATTTTGTTTTGTAGTAATGTATGTAAATATGTAAATTTATTTTATTTATTTATTTAGTTATAAGCATCAATAAATATAGTAAGGGTTTTCCTCTGTGTGGTTTTATTATATTTTTTAACATTTGGTTTTCCTCCTAGATATAAACCATTGTTAACTTTCTTAATAAATAAAAAATGCAAGTCATTGTAAGAAGTTGAAATCATTTTCCCTCTACAACAACTGTGTACATATAAGGAATAATTGTTATGATGTATGTATTGGTCAAATCAATTTTAATTTCAAGAGATAAATGATAACCATTATGTATAGGTATGTCATATAAAAAGGTATTGTATATTTACCTATAGCAAATACTTTGAGTGCTTTCACAGCACCTCCCCAGGGTGTTGAGAGGGAGATCATTCTCCGTATATGCTGATCTTTCCAGCTCTGGCTTTGCAGCTGAAGAAATTGCAGCGCCATTGCCCCTCCCATGCTGTGTACTAGCAGTGTCACCGCTGTCTTGTTATTCATTTCATATGTTTCCTCTACAAGAGTCTTTAACTTCACAAAGAACTCACCATTCTCGTCTGGAAGAAATTAATGGCTGAATGTAGATTTTATAAGCTGTTAATGTTAATCATATCCATGTAATTAGATTATTGCAACATGTATAGTTAATCAGAGATGATATATTTTTTATGTACTAAAATCATTGACTAAAATCATTGAATTATAATAAAACAATCCTTACTTGGTGCCTTTCGGAAATCATATGGAGCCCCTCTCAGAGACACATTTCTTACATAACCCATCTTGACTAAAGCATCTCCGATGGTATTGAAGTAAGCGCCCTCGGAATCATGTGATGGATCTAACCACTCGACAGGTTCTGGGTTACCCCAGCCTGGTACCCTGATCTCCACCCCTTGAGGGTTGTTTGTCTTTCGTGTAACATTGTTGTATTCCAGTCGTACATTGTCTATCCAACAATCTATCACAAAAGGTACCAGCAGTTCCAAGTTGAGCCATACATTGTAGAAATCATTTGAGGTCTTAGCACAAATGTAATGCACGACATTCGTTTTATTAACTTTAGCCTCCAGTTGACTGCCTCCATCACCAGGAACTTAAATTTCATAACAAATTAATGTAATCATATATTTTTCATTCAATAATATTTCATAGGTGCATTAGTCTTATTCGTAATTTTTGTATGGTTCTATTATAACTGACTCTTAATGCATTGATTGAGATCTTTTTAATATATTATGATAAAGAGTCATGTTCATAATCACAATATACCTTACATAAATATGACAGTTAACTCAATAAATGAGTAGTTTCTAGAAAAAACTTATATGAATATAACATAACTGGAAATAATCCAATTAGTACTTACTTAAAATGACTGGTGAAAACCCGAGCGAGTTTTGAGCAAATAAACTAAATGTTAACAAGAACACGAAATAGTTTTTCACATAATACATTTTGGTAGTTTGAACTACGTCCGTATCATACAACTGTGTACTATTGACTGTGTTTATTTGATTTACGCAATACGATTATTGTTTACTGTGGCCAGTCAGCTGCAGAGACGCAGTGACGTATACAACGTATGATGTTTTGATTCTTGATGGTCACTGCGGATTTGTTGGGACCTCCGGTGATAAGACGGAACTAAAACCAGTTCAGATAATAAACAGAATATCCTCGATGATAATTTGTATTTTTTTGGCTATAATAATCTTATCACATAATTACGTAACACTTGATAATTCAGAAATAAGTTGTATAAAACAATTCAACCCCAGTGTCAAGGAAAATATTAAATATACATTTCATTTTGAAGTCGGCAATCGCTAATCAGATTTGCTTAAAAAAAAAACAACTTAACGTTTCATTGTATCATGTGTGATCAAATAATTTAAACGCACCAAGAATTTGCACACCTACCTCAAAATGTATTTTTTATAATAAAATTTAAAATATATTTAGTTTTATATATGAAACCATCTCTTGTACATATATTTATAATCTAAGCGGCGGTTATTTTGGTTTATTCACAATATTTATATATCTTTGATTATCTTCACAATGCGTATAAAGAGTTGCATTTAAATATTTGACAAAATCTTTTAGAAAAGATAATTAATTGTATAGAAATATGTTGTTATATTATATTATTCAATTATAATTATTATTTTTTTAATAATAACAGATACCAACAATACAAATCAGGGCACCATTGACAAAGATTTCACTAAAAAACGCGCAGGCGCTAAGAGCATAACAATGAAAGTCTAAGAACGAAAGGATGCTATAATTAGAGTTGTATATATTAAATTTCAATATTTATTAGATTTAAGTAAAAGTTTACTAGACAATTTTAAAATGTTCTGGAATAATTATAATAGGAGATCAAAACCTAGCGTTTTTCGCTTTTGTGTTAAGAATTGAAATGTTTCACCAGGTATAGATGCTGCAAGAAAATCGATAAGAGCCAGACGAAAATGGTTACCGATTAGGTTTTTTTATATTTCCAGGGTCGCGTTATAATTGTTTGGTTATCTTGGCTTATTGGAGGTGTTTGCGGAGTTGTTATTTTGTTAATAATTATTTGTTACTGTCGCCTAATGCCGCGCCATCAGAAATCTTTCGGTGAGTGTTGTAGACGCAAACCTTATATTTTAAGTTGCATAATTTTACGATTATACTTTTATGATTGTTACCGTTCATGAAATGACTTATTTTTTATTTGATATTATATATTTTCTTTAAAGATGAACAATACCTTAAAGAACACTACACAATAAAAGAGGGTCATGGATACACAGGTCGGGAGAACTACAGAATAAAAACTACAGAGGTAAGTAACGAAAGGAAAATATTTTTTACATCAGTCTCACTTTCTAGTGTAAGGTATACTCTATATTATGTACACGTTGTAGGTGCAGGTCCAGCGTGCCGCTCGTCCTGCAAGCTACGCCGGTGACGCCGACCGCCGTACGCCGACATCGGGTCCAGGCGGCGGGGGAGGGGGAGCTCGTACGCATTGCTACGTCAACCGCGTACCTGACTCCAGGGAACACTCTCTCCAGTACGCGTCTAGTGGCAGTGAGTATATTTATCATTTAGTTAGTAGTCGATGTTTGTAAATATCTGAACCGTCCCTAAATTCAGTGTTGGATGAAATGGACTGCGTATCTACGGGAGGCGCCAGTGCGGACGCGCTGAAAACACGTTCACTTCCTGCCTTCCTTCGACCTAAACCACGTCCGTTATCCACTGAGGATGACTTGCATCAGCTTTATGATAAGGTAATAGAATGCACATGTGTGTGTGTTTATGTGTGTGTGAGTGAGAGTTCTACAGCCATGGCCGTCCTGTCCGCAGGTGAACCTGAGCAAGAAGTATAAGAACCGCATGCGGAGTGAGCACGCGGCCATCATCGCCCTCAGCAAGTCTCACAGTCAGTTCCTGGACGCGGACGCCGTCATCGTTTACGATCAGCGGACTGCTCTCTGAACCTCTCACACACTACGAGTTACGACAACACACGGACTGACATACCAACCGGTTCTCTTATATCAGAACAGCATTAATATTGCAACCTTATTAAAATCACAGCTATTTTTGTAACGAAGATTGCTGGCTATTAGAACTATAAAATACTATAAGGAATACGAGATCTAACAATGTTTCGAAATTCAAACTCGTTTAGAAAATTTCAAATATACTTAGGTGGTGTAATGGAACCTCTTTTTAGCAGTTTCGTGTTTATGCCTGGTCTGGACGTCTTCTTGGTTAAGGTTAGTGTTCGGTTAACGTCGACCAAGTAGATAGATAGCTTAGGCAAAAGGAGGACCAATGTTTTGACACAAAATTAATGAAATTTAGTAAATTTTTAAACTTGTTAATAGATCGTTATGAAATATAAAACACGACTGATAATAAATATACTTGCTTTTAATATGAGAATTGAGATTTATAGAGAGTGAAAACTATAATGTTTTCGAATTCGATCATTCCGATTTTTGCGTTGTTATCTTCATGTCCGTTCATAGTTTTCATTCAAGACGGTCCGGTTCATATGAACTCATTGTTTCGTCTAAACTCTAAAGATTTCTGACGATTAATGTTTTATGATAGAAAGGAAACTAGAATTTTGTATTAATTATAAAACTCTTTCTGAGGTTAAAAATTTTCATGTTATAAAGTTATAAACTGTAATACATTCAATAATACTAGCAAAAAAAACATACTCGTATACACCATACAGTTTTTGCCGCGTCACGATTCATGAAATCTGTCAAATAACAGAAACTACTACAAATAGTAAATAAACGATATAGACTAAAAATTACCGGATGATAAATATCTGAACGATTATTAAATACAAATGACATCTACATATCAATAATTAATGTAATAAAAAACGCACATTAAATATATTAAAGGCGTCGCTTTAACCGGATAAAATCTGTTACTCAGTAAGTTTGTATCGGCATTGTGATCGTTGATGTGATAAAATTTATAACGAAATTGTGGCCTAATACAATTTAGTGTTTTAAACTCCTTGTAATCGCGTACATCGATTATTTATATAGTTGGCAGTATTGACTACGAATCAGTTTCATATTATACAATGTTTTATTTGTACTTAATTTTATTTTCAGTTATATCTTATAAGATTTTAATAGATATTACAGTAGGACCTCGATTATCCGGACTAATTGTTGTCGGTAGGCATCCGGATAATTGAAAGTCCGGATAATCCAATATATGAAGAAAAACGGGCTTTTTGCATATGTACATATGTAGTCTGTACCATACATATGTAATGTTAGGTGTTTATTTAAAACAACAAATACATATGAGCGAGAATCAACGAAAATCACGGACGGCACGAGTGTCGCGGCGTTATGCAAGTTCTGACATGTTAATCTATACTAATATTATATAAAGCTGAAGAGTTTGTTTGTTTGTTTGTTTAAAAGCGCTAATCTCCGAAACTAGTGGTTCGAATTGAATAATTCTTTTTGTGTTGGCTAGTCCAATTATCGAGGAAGGTTATGGGCTATATAGCATCACGCTACGACCAATAAGAGCAAAGATATAGTGGTAAATGTGTAAAAAACGGGAGAAATTATTTCATCTTTGAAGCCTTCCGTTGCGTGCGCCGTGAAAACGGTTCAAGATACACAAAAAATATGTATTAAAGGATAATAGCTCTTTTAATGATCTAAAAAACAGTCCGCGACAGTATATGTCTATCTTTTAAGATTAACTCACAAAAACCGTTTTTATGGTATCTAATTTGGTCGGAATAATTTGTTTAAGTTGTATCAACATAATAATATTAATGTTTATTCAAATAAACAAATAAATATGTTGTTGGTTACGAGTACTTTATTGTGAATAAAAAAAACATAGGTTTTATCCTGAAAATTCTACGGGAACTCGACCATTCCGAAAACCCGACAAGAACGGGAACTATGTCGAAAGAACCAAAAATCTGAGAGAAGTCACTATTCCACGTGGACGAAGTCGCGGCAAAAGCTAGTGTTAGAATAAACTCGTCGCGATTGGCAGTCCGGATAATCGCGAATTCGGATAACCGAGGTCCGGATAATCGGGGTCCTACTGTATTAGCGTTCATTGTTTTGATACGTCTATTATATTGATAGTTTAAATTTATGGATTTTAGAGAACAGATTTTTTTTATACATCTTCCAATTTTTTGTAAACTTTTTATATACTTTATAATGTTCTTAGCGAAATATTTTTAGTGTTGATGTTTAATAAATGCTTAATCGATTATTAAATGTTGCTTGTCTTATATTATCTGTACGCGATTGTACATCTACGTCCTGTACGTTGTTGGTTAGCGCGAATGTTTCTAGCGTAGATTTTAACTTAATGCTATTAAGTATACATTCTTGTATAGATTTTTATAAAATAGTTTATAGTGACTGAAGTTGTATGAGTAACTTCAGCAGGAACAGGGCAGAGCTCCGTAGTTGTTGTGTTATTTGGATACCTCTATTCTGGCTACACCTCTAGTAAGGAGGTTCTTTATGTATGTAATACTATTTATGCTCAATTCTGTATTTGTATTTCATCTGATATACACCCAGTATCGAGCGAGCAGTTGCTTAGTTAATGAATTGTACGAAGGAATTATATTCGTGTATAATCGATTTTGTTTACATTAATAAAAGTTTTTTACTAGAACAATCTTTTATTTCCTCTTTGTTTAATAAAGTAATATAAAGTCTAGTCGATAGTTCTGAAGGAGGCGAGTGTAGGATAAGTCCTAAGTCTGAGCAGCTCGAGCTCTGTCTGTAGCAGCATGAGGCGGGAGTGCTGCGCCTGCACCGTGCGGACCAGCTGGCTGCGACGCACCAGCGTCTCCATACTGATGACAATACAACGAAAGGCTTTTAAAACATCTTCTTAATAAAATTGTACTTTCCGGATATAATTCGCATTTTTGAAGGGAAACTTCTTATGCGACTTCCAGGTAGGTTGCGTTAAACGTTTAACGCTCCTGTGTTGAAAGGGGGGGGGGGGGACAGATATAATATAAAGAAACAGAGCGAGAGGCAATGCGGGCTTCCTGCTTTTATTCCAACATTCCGAAGTTTCATTTCTTTCGCATGGAAGGACTCCAGGCACAAGTAATTTATTTATATGTCACTAGTTTTTGCCCGCGACTTCGTCCGCGTTAGTTTGGTCAAGAGTAATATATGTAGGTATAGCTGACCAGGCAGTGGTGGCCTAGTGGTTAAAGGGCCCGCCTCTCGTTGCCGAGGGCGCTTGTTCGATCCTGGTCCGGGCAAGTACCAATGTGATTTTTCCGAGTCATATGTACTTTCTAAGAGTATTTAGACATCACTGATTTATGTTGATTCCCAAAGAGAGGGTTGATGTCAGGCAGGCGGCCGGTCGTAAAAATAAATAGCCAAAACTATTCACAAACATGTGAGGCAGACCCTGGCTATAGCTGGGAAATTGCCAGGTAGAAGAAGAAGCTGACCAGGCAAACTCTATTCCGTCTTAGAGGCCATAAATAATCAGGTTTTTCCTGTTTCAATCAAACAGAATGATTGACATATTAGTTAGTTGTCAAATCTAATGTCAAAAAAAACGTTTGTATGGGAAATAGAAACGGGCTATTTTTAGGGTTTTCCCGGCAATTATTCCAATTTTTCTCACCTTTTAAACCTTTCCTGGACTTCCAGGAGTGTTTCAAGACTAAAATTAGCCAAATCGGTTCAGCCGTTCTCGAGTTTTAGCGAGACTAAGGAACAGCAATCCATTTTTATATATATAGAAGATAGAAGATTATGACCAATAAATATTTCGGTAAGTTTTGTATTCACGAATTTTTTTTTTCATAAATACCTTTTTTTCGTATATGCTTGTAAGTCATAAATGTGCTTAGGCAAAAAACTTAATAATTTATATAAAAATTTCATGTTACCGTCTCTTAAACACTCGTCGGATACGAATCGGTTCCAGAGGATCCTCGTTTAACCTTTTCTCCGACACCTTGACGTTGAGTGAAATTATTAGTTTTTCCAGCTCTTGTGCTTGGGCCTCTACCGCGTCTATCTTCAGCTGCAAAATATTACATAAAAATAATTTCTATTTATGATTGTAATTATAGTGCAAACACTTCACACCTCAATTTCTTCAACTTTTCGTATTTCCTCGTTAAGTATTTTGTTGACTGACGTCTTGGAAGCTTCCATCTCTTTCTCCATCCTAACATAATCCTGCTCATCGGTATAACCTAACTCCTTATTTTTTAAGTAACTTTGAAGTTCCTTCGGCACCTGTTAAGAAGATTTAAAATATTGTTATACATTGTTTCAAGAGGAAAATGTTTTTATTTTGAGTAATGTTGAACCTTCAGCCGTTGGTAGGAATATAGCTCTTGTTCCATGTGGCGTAATTTCATTTTCATCTGCGCGTGTTCCCATTCTTTAGACAGGATGCCTTTACGAAATTCTATTTGCTTTCTCATCATTTTTAGTTTCCATTCTCCAACTTGCTGTAATAAAACAGTAGATAGATCATCCTCCAAAATTTTTTAATTGTCCTGAAGGTGACAAATCTTTTTGGTGATCAGATGAGAGGTGGTTAATATTAAGTTTAATATTGAATCAAATACAATCGTTTATGGCGAATATTTGCAATTTTTAATTTAAATAAAAAAATAACATACCAATATAACATTGTTAACTTTCTCAACCTCATCTTTGGGTATGAGAGCTGCATCCTCAAAGTCCTCAAAGTGACCTGTGCTGACTATTTCTACTTGACCAGCTGGCAAAACTAACTGAAACCAGAGAATTGACAGCTTTTACGGAAAACTTTTGGCCACGTCGTTTCTTGAGTCGTAAGGTAATTTTATCTGCTGTGTCAGTTTTTTTTAGAATATAGTTATTTAATGTTGACTATCTGTTAATAAAGTACTCTAGAGAAATATGTTAGACTGTAATAAACGCCTAGAATGTATCATTTATCATACTAGTGACCTGTATGGTGTGGTTCCTCCCTGCCAGCTCGTAGTCCCTCCGGAGACAGGTGATCCTGTCAGCGGCCTGCGCCAGCCTCAGTCGCCGCGCCGTCACGCCCGCCCGCCACGTGTTCGCTGCACTCTCCACGAGAGACATTTCAATGCAGACGGCACGCATCTGAAAAATCACTAAATATAATATTTTGCTGAAGTAATTATTAAACAATATCATATAAAACTCATTAGAAGCAGTATAAAATAGGGTTAAAAGATTTAAACCTGATAATTGTGGGATGATAAAAAAGGATGTCAGAATAATATGATCTTACTCTTATTTCGTTTTCAATTTTTGCACGTCGCAGCCTACACATGGTTGCCCAAAGCCCTTCATCCATAACTGGTGGCATGTTGCTTATTTGATCCAATTGCTCGACCCTGTAATATAAAATAAAAATAGGTATCAAGTAAATGATGAGAAGAAACATTAACGCCAGAAAAAGATGATTCAGGAGTTTGGTTTATGTATAGTTTTTTTACTCCAAGAAGAATTTGTATATTACCCCCTAAAATATTCTATGCAATCAGCATGTAGGAGTGATGGGCGGACGCCAGTCAAAATGGCGTTGGCTAATTCATAAAGTACTACTGGAATCATCGCCGCACGTTGATGCCATTTAGGCCTTTTTCTGAAAAAAAAAATTTTTTTAAGCAATTTGAAAGGATTTTAATTGTACAGCATTACTATCACAAAATCTTACTTAAAGAATTTATAGCATTGTTCGACGATAATCGGCGAGAGATCGGCAAAGTGATTCTTGAATGTTCGGTCGCTGTATTTGTCTTTTTGGAGGAGGTTTTCGTACGTCGTCTGACATTCTTCAGTCTGTTCCTGAATTGTATGCAATTCATGTTGAAGCACCTCCAACTCGTCTTCGGTTATTTTTATTTCGAATCTAAATGTAATAACGACGAATAAAAGTAAAAAATCCCTTGTAAATCTTAAAAACAGCAATTTTATATTAGAAAAGTTTACCTAATATCTTCTAGTTGTTCAGAAACTTCAACGCGATCCAAATTGGTTCTTCGCAATCGCATGAGATTTAAATTTTCTTGACCAATAACGGAGTCTACTCTTAGTTTAGTTAGCCAAGTTTCTTTTACCTACGAAATTTTACAGTTATACAGACTGTACTTTAGAAAACAATATATAGGAGCTCCTTTTGCTTACCTTTTGATTAAATTTGACAATACCCTCATTAAGTATTTGTGATAACTTGGCATATTCGGCGTGAAGCATCTTTCTGTACTTGTCTCTCTCCTCATTTCTAAAGGCAACTTTGGCTTCATAATCAAACACGAGTTTGAGATCATCCTCATTGAACTGTTCGGGTTCTTTTTCCAACTACAATACAAATAGAGTTAAAATATGATAAAGGGGAGTATTAAGAATTATGTAAGTAATCTTGTATCCAGTAATGTACCATGCACTGCGGCATCGGTATGGGTTTCTTGATCTCCTCGTGCCACAGTTTCTCCAGCACGCCGTCCATCATGTACATGAGAGCTCGCTCGCGGAAGTCGTCCTTTGGTTTAGGTTCCGGCGGTGGGATCACCACCTGGCTTGGACTCACGTACGGCTCGATACTGCACTGTTATCAATTATAACTTATAAAGTTATACGTAAATATAAATACGATGAATCATTCCTTCAAAAAATAACGCGCATGTCTAAAATAAAATAACCTGAACTAATCCGAAAATATTAGTTTCATTTAAATGAATACTGGCGAAAGTCTTAGATTTCAAAATATGTTAAGAAGTATTCACGTGTCAGGATCGAGACGGTTTCTGTATATAAAAACGTATGCATGTCGTGTACCTCCTCAGGTTCCACTTTGATGAGTCTGTACGGCTGTTCCTCCTGCGCCCACTCCGGATCCCGAATCACATTAGTTAAGTGATGGAAACTTCCTCGGAGATCAGAAAGCTTGTTTAGTTCTGGAACCAAAACAAACAGTATATTTTAGTTCATGTTACTTTAGCCTGTTCCCATAAAAATGAAGTAAATAATATTCACCGTCTAGTATAAATCGGAGGCGATTGTTCCTCTCATTCACGAGACCAACCTCGCGTTTCTTCTGGTTCATTAAATCATCAAACTGTTTGTTAAACCAAAGCCGCATATTTTGAACGTTTAACTGAAAAACGAGTGTTACTCGAAAACTTGCATGTGTACAAAATATAGTAATTAAACTCTAAAATAATTTTACTTAAAAAGTTTTACTCACATATCCAATATGATTTGCTTTATACTAAACTAACTATTTTATTGATAAGGTACTTAGCTGTATGATTACATGTAAATCTATTCTTATTTGCTCGTAATTTCCTTACCTTCACAATATGCTGTAGCCAGTCCATGTGTAGGAAGGAGTAAGCCATGGTCTGCGGTATCATGAAGGCCGGTATCTGTATGAACTTGTGAGCGTTGGAGCCGGACAACACGTACGGCTCGCTCTCCACCGCCTCCTCCACCTCCACCACCTCCGACAACATCTGACTCTCCATACTCTTGCGCATTTCACGCATCGACACCATGGATTCTGGACCTAGTCTGGATAACCTGAAATCAGGCTATGCTTTAGGAGTGGGTTGAAAATCTTCCCTACTTTATATGAGCGCGTTAAATTTAATACTATAATGCGTATGATAATAATAATATAAGCTTTATTAACAGTTATGCAACACAAAGTTTTTCTCTGACGAGTTAGTAACACTAACAACATGGTCTGTTTGCCAACTTTGGCAGTATATGTATATATATGTATATTTACTGTAAAGTTGTCGTTTCATCTAAACTGGGTCTTTCTTCTTTCGGTTCCTCCCAAGGACGGAAAACATCTTTATTATTTTCCATTTCTATAGCTCGCAGCGCTTCGATTTGATTCAACTCCGGCCAATTGTCACGCTGTGTCGGGAGAACCGCATAGTTTTCGACCTATCATTATATAAACTATACTGTGAAAACGCTTTGTTAACATTAGTAAAAAAACGATTTATTATAAAGTCAAATGTACCGTTATTTATTTAACACAGTTTTTTAAGCTAATTTATCATAAGGCATACCTGGTAGTGACTAAATATTGCAAACAGCTTGACCCTCGGTGACAGCATAGTATCCCAACACGTCTGCTTGATCCATTGAGTTACTTTGTCCTGGGCTCGGATACGAGCTTCGGTTTCCAGTCGGATTTGTTCGCGCTCTTTTTCAGCCTATAAACAATAAATTTAAAGACAAAAATAATAAGGAATAACACTTCAAAAATTCATTGGTGTTCTATTTACAGGCGTTAAAACCCTGACCCATTGTTTTGCATCGTGTCATAAAGTAAATTCGTCTGGGGACCTGTTTTATCCGCTCCTTCTTGTTTTCCAGGTGGAGGTTGAACTCGGACAGTGACAGCTGGTGCAGTGGTCTCTCTGCCAGGTTTTCCTCTAACAGCTTCACGAGTCTCTCGCGCACAGCTCCGAGTGCCTTTATAACATCTTCTCGCTGATGCTTGTAGTCCATTGTCTCCTCCCGCACTTTCTTGTCTTCTTGCAGGTCTAGATAATTCTCTGTAATGCAATACATAATAATTACCACGTGACTGCGATTACAATTACTTACTCCAAATTCAGACTCATGGTCCTAGAGTATGTATGTATATTGAATGGGATGATAATGGTAACTCCAATAATTAGAATTATAACTAGTCTCTCACTGTCATATTTATTAATAATAGTGATCCTGTTTGTGCTTTCAATAAATAAGCTCTCGTCCGGGGGTGTGTGTTGTGGTTCAGTCATATTTTTATCCCGGTACAGATAGTGTACAGCCAAGGTTTTGCTATTTGCGAGGTGTACAATGTAATTGTTTCCTGCATCGATGACGGCCTGCTTAACTCCCGCATGGTATCGATGTGAGACGATCAATTGCAATTCTGTCAAACAGAACAAACACGGTATGAAAGAATTCAATTTTTGTATTCTCCTCATGAATCAATTTAATTGGGGTAACATACGAAATTCATCGTTTTCATTCGGCTGCCGTAGTACAACGGTTCCATCAGCACCGTAGGTAAGGAGAGCGTTTTGATTTGTGAAAAAGATGAAATGTTTCAAACTGTGTCCAGTTTCTAACATCGGACCCATTTTAACGGATACTGTTACACCTTTCTGCAAATTAAATTTACATTATTTATGTTACAAATCTTATGGTTCTTTGTTTTAGGTACATACTTCTCCCGACATCCTCAACACATGCATGCGTGAGGAGATGTGTGGCGCGGCGAGTGCTGCGTTGCCTGTTGCCCCCAGGAGTGGCACCAGCTGACCGTAAGGACCTGCCATCTTTCCAGCTAGCTTGTTATCCTTCCCTGTCTCCGCGTTAATGCAGATTATTCGCTCACCTACACAAAGTTTTTTTATTTATACTAGGCTTTGTAAATTTTTGGATTATTCTTTTTTGTGCTGACTTGGAAGTAAATTCAACAATTAAATAATACAAATGCTTGTTTACCTATAGCATATTTGTCAGAAAACAACACTAGACTGAACGCCCGCATGGAATCGCCGACTTTCATAAGGAAGCAGTCGGCCAACCCTCGGCCGAGTTCAGTGTATCTCACTAAACTGAGCTTGTAGTCCTCGGATATCTGATATGATATATATCTTATATACAGAAACAACAAGCGGAGCTAAAATGAGTAATGCCCACCTTTATAATAAAAATATGTCCAGCCGACATGGCGGCAGCGATCATTTCACGTCCGGTTGGTGAAAAAACCACTCGAGATACTATCTGATGCGTCAAACACATTGTGCCAACCTTCTCCAGATCATCGGAGGAAAACGTATATAAGGCAATTCCGTAATTCTGGCCCACCTCGCCAAATATAACCAATAATGGATCGACCGGGCTGGCCTCGAATGAAATGTCCTCACCCTCAACGTATTTGACAATTTTCTAGAATTTTTTAAATCGTTCGTAATATTGTTTATTCTCAACAAAGAATGAGTAAATACAAGTTATATATAGAGCTCACCGGCTCTCCTGATTCTATTTCGTAAATACATAACATGCCATCGTCATTCATCATTGCTATATGGGTGTAATCAGGAGCGATTAGTTGTATTTTACTTATGTTTCTGAAAGTATTATTACTCATTAAAATCGCCTAAAAAAGTATTCTTGATATAAAAAGGGCTCACCTTATCTTAAACGTTACTAGCTTGACCTCTATCTTCTCTTCTGACTCGCCAGTCAGTTTGTATATAAAGCCTTTCTCGGTCCACATGACGGCCATATCTGAAGTAAAGTTGGAAACGAGACACAGCACTTTGTCTTCGGGGATGTATTTCCAAGCCTCCACCCACATCTTCTCCCCCTTTTTAAGAGCCTGGATACGATTTTTCTCAAAATCATAATTAAATCGAAAAAAAAAATTCCCCGTTTAGCGAGAACCAAATGAATTGACGTTTAAAAATTTTATTTTATATAAATCTGTATAATAGCTGTATTAAGTAAGAATACAAACCCGTAAACAATTATCAGGACCATATATTAAAATACCGTTGCCGAATGAACACATACAAGGTTCTAGAGATCCTTGTAGATTTTCAGACCAATCCAGGTTAGTCACCATACCTATACCATCCGACATCAACTAAAAATAACAAACAGTCTAACAAATGTGGGCACATATTATAAAGAAAATATTTCTATACAGTCGAATCTTACGCTGTACAGATTGGCACTGCCATCAAGAGCATAAAGTTGTCCATCGCTGCTCCAACAAACAGCTACCAACTTAGGATCGGACACTTTCCAGCCTTTGACTTCCTTTTTCACTCGCTTCATTATGAGGCAGCGTTTATAACATTGAGCTACCTCCCATACAGTTAAACCCTCGCCCCAACACTCACATACAAGCATGTTAGCGTGACTGGCTCTAAAAGACATTTTAGATACTTGTTATTCGTAAACATATTACAATACGCATACAATCTTTTCACGCAATTACAGTACCTACTAGAATTAAGCGATAACTCAGACTATAACAATACATTGTATTAAAGCCGAAAATAAAAGAGAACATGGGCTGAAGCTAAGTATGAGAAGGAAGGCACACCAATCTTTTGGAGTTTGTAGTCATAAAAACTTTTAAATCCATTTAAGTAAGTATTACACTTACGTGTAGATCTGATTGCGTCGTACGACCTCTGTAGGTACAGAAATAAGGCGCTGGTTGGTCCGCCAACTCCACACTGATATGAGGTAATTTGGAAAACCACTGAAACCGGCGACCAGGTCTGACTCCATCATACACAAACCCTTGTAGCGAGTGACGTCAGCATCTGCATTGAGTATACTTATAGAATCTGTTCTAAATCATAATCATTTCATGAAGAAAACACAAGCTCGTTAAACATTTTGGATATACTCGTAGTTAGATGTAAAAAGATTGGTATCTTTCCCTTTTTGGGATGTTTTCGAAGATCCTAGTAATTATGGTCATTTAAATAATATTAAGATAGTAAAATGTAACCTTTTAATTCCGCTAAAATGTTGAATCTAGGGTAATAGACGATAAAGATTCTTGGATGTCTTTTTTTTTCTGCAAATGCGAAGAGGTTTGACCGGTGACCTGAACAGGAATTATGTATTAATTTTAAAACATGCAGTAACGTTATTCAGTTTTATATAATCAGCTTAATAATTCAATTTATCATCCAAAATATTCTACTGTGTAATATGCTTAATCAAACAACATAGTATCGTGTGTAATTTTTTGGATAGAAGATGCCATGCTATTGCAAATGTTTAGTTATTTCAATGCATAACCTACACGACGTTAATATCGAAATGTACGAAAATTTATGCGTGAAAAACTGGAAAAGTTTCGCATGTAGTGTGCCATTTCACATTTATGATAAACATACATACAGAATAGTTGAATTAAAATATCTACAATAATTTTGTAAAATAAACACGCACACACACATATGTACCTATCTATTAATTTATCTATAACATCTAAAACATCTTCCATTAAGAATTAAATGTACCGGAAATTACGTCGACCCCATCTCCACATTCGTCTTTGTTAGCCGAATACACGAGCTCGGCGTTAGTTTTCAGATTAATAAATATTATATAAATGTCATGAGCTACAGCGACAACATCTCGACCAATGAATGTCATGGCAGTCAACTGTTGGGGTATAGCCCATCTGAAAATAATTTCTAGATATACCTACAATCATTCGAAAAATATTCATAAATATTTTGTTTAATATATAAATTTTGTAATAATATAATCTAAGCATCGTTCCATATTTCAATCTTAATATCTCGTATTTAAAAAGAGTTTATAGGTAGATATACGTGTATGTTATATTTTAATTCTTTCAAAATAACACTTCTAGATTTTTATTCAAGATGGATAAATCAGTTTCATAATTATTTGGTTCAATAAAACGAAATTTTTACTCAGGTTAAGTTTAAAGTAATGTACTACCTAACATGAGGCTTGAAGGATCCGTGAGAATCTTCATGACCAATATCATTCTCCGAAGATTTATGATGAACCATATCGAGAAAATTATCTTTCTTATAATGCGGACTCTTATAGAATATAGTAGACAAGTCACTTCAAAGGATTAATGCATTTAAATCTTTGATTTATAGCCTTTAAACAAACGTTCCTCTCTAATTAACAAATTATTATGTTGCTAGGCGATACTCTGTTCCTTTTTTGTTGTGAATTTAATGCAGTTATTGCCATGAATTTGGGAAATACAGTTATAAATGAAATTATGTATATCCTAAATAATTTGTTATTATTTCCTTCTTATATTGGGAACGAAAATATGAAAGAAAATATTAAAATTATGAAGTTTTATTTTTTATGCCCAATTAGCAACGAATGAGCTGCAATACAATCTAGTAATACTTCAAATGCTGTTTTAGGTTATTCAACTGTTTATGGGCGACTTTTAAATATGTTTCAATTTTTAGCAATGAGCTGTTGGAGTTTTTAAAGTAGAAAAGTTATTACAATACAGTTTTATCGGTTTTCTTCAACATTTCAATGATATTATTATAAAATTTGACGAGTCTTGCTCTTAAAATAAATTACAAATTTATTACGATATGAGTAATTCTACATTCAATGTATAAACGTTAGGGTAGTTTGTATGGATTTTGTAATTATAAAAAATGAATTTTCAATAATTAAAAATTTTGCTGGTAAATCTTTTAAATAAATATTCTATTAATAAAAAAAACAGTTTTTTTTTGTAATAATTGGGATTAATGAATTAAAAGTCATTAAAGGACAAAGTTCAAATGTCAAAAGAGTAAAACTGAACGGAACGTAATGTACAAGATCTGTCAAACCGAAACAATTAACAATGGGAAGTGATTGTAAATGAGTTGATAAGAATAAAGATATAGTTAAATTAAAAATGATAACCGTACTAATAATCTACGTTAACCATTATTTATGTTTATTTAATAAAATGTGAAAACAGTGTTAATACTAGTAACTAGAAAAAATGTAAGAATGAGTACATGTTACTTCTGTGTTTATTATATTAAGAGTGACACATAAAGAGTTTGTTTATTGTGTAGGAATTTCACCGGATATCTGGATCCGGTGGCGGAGAGATGGAACACCTCCTCGATAGATTTCGCGGAGATCACTATGGATCGAAACTTCGCCCTTCTACTTGTGTCCCTGATATCGGCTATACTATGGGTAGTTTACATCGCTTACTACAACAACCGAGTACTCGGCTACATACTAACAAGGTTGATCAACAAATTTTACTTCCAAGATGAGAACTTTAAAATAGGTGAGTAATTGTTGTAGTTAAAAGTTCAGAAGTACACATTACTGTGTGATTAATTTCATAAAATCGTGATCTCTACACAACATTGTTAACAGTAGTAACTATAAAGTAAGAAACATATATAAAGTAAGGTAATCACTAAAATTATATATGTATTATAATATTTCATAAATCTAAATTGCCTGTGAGTATTAATATTTAACTATTAATTTAAATATTGACTTGGGCACATAATTTATATGCTTATTTATAGAGTTGTGGAATACAGCCAATTATTCCATATAATCAACAGCCATCCTATAGTTAATATATTTTTTGTTATCATCTATCTCAACTAATAAGATGCAACTACCTATTATAATGTTTCTTTTAACCTTGAGTTATTTTTGTTTTTTATTGTAATTTCCTTGATTTAAGAATATTTAAATCTTCTTAATAGCCTTAGAGTTGTTTAAGTAAGGTTAAGAGTAATTTGTTTTTTAATTCCATTATAAATATTGCTTGATTTATGGCTTCACTCATGTACTAAGTAGCATTAAATTAAAGTCAAATTAATTTTATTGACATAATGTATGGATTACTGATCACAAAAAACATTTGACCTGAAGTTCAAAAAAAATAAGATTGCAAAGTAAAATCCAAGAAAACTAACTCAACTCGCTGCTACTCAATATAGTTTTAGAGATTGTTATTAGAAAAAGATATAGGGAATTTCTTACATTTCATTAATTAAAGTCATTCAGTGTCTGGATATTACATTTAAGTGGATTTGATTACCTTCACATATACATATATTACCATTATAGTAACAGTCTACTTTATAAAACAATAGAGTGATACTAAAATCATGTTATCACAGTTAATGCAGGATATTTCAAACATTATGTTTGAAATTACAAGTTACGCTTGAAAGATGTTTTTGTTTTAAATTTGTAACAGTGATAAAACTTTAGAAGAAGTGATTTTTATAATATATTAAGATTCTAAAATAATTTGTTATGTAGTGTAAGAAATGCTAAAATATTAATTTAAATATTTCAAATATCTGTGAATATGTCACTAATATAGGAAATTATAAAAAATTATGAAGTCATAGATGTATAGATAGTAGATATGTTCATATCTTAATCAGTTTCATATGAATGTTATATTATTTATGTATTCTACTTAAAGCTCAATGTTTAATTCCAGGTTCGTTCACATTGAATGCACTTTCCGGAAAAATAATGTTTCGTGACATAGTTTATATAAATTACGACTATGCCTTACGAATACAAGACGGCTACTTAATATTCAGATGGTGGAGGTCATATGTACCCAAAGACGTTGCTGAAGGTATGACAAAACTAATTAGCTCAAGTATAAAATTTAATTAATTTAATTACCTCTCTGTGATAATTAAACTTTATCAGCCTATAATATGTGCATATAGAAAATTTTCCAATAAATATAATTCATAAATTTATTTTTTATTAATTTTTTTTAAGTAATGAAACTGTTTATACATGTAATGTGTTCTGTTTCAGACTTATCACACTCTGATACTCGACTATCTATAATGTTGAATGGATTCGAATTACATTTTTACAATCGTTGTGATCTGTACGCCGACCTTGAGAAGATATTTGGTCTCGATCCTGTCATCAAGCAGCAGCACGATGACGATGATTCCACCGACAGAGATAAGGCTATGAACGATGCGAACGAGAAACGAAGAAGGGCCCAAGACACCGTCCGCTCTGAGGCAGCGATGGCCAGGACTTGGAGAGATCTCATACCAGTCATTAAAATAGACATATGCAGCGGACGAGTTGTGTTTGGAAACCGACTTGTTCCGACCACGTTGTCCATCAGTGTTGAGGAATCACATTTAATGTACAGCACCAAGCCGCCGGCGTCCAGTCTGGACCATCTTATGCATTTTGTCAAAGCGAAAGCGGAAAACTGTAAAGTTATGCTGGCTCCTAGTCCAAATTATACGTCGATGGTCGATGAACCCCCGAGATATATGGGAGAGGGCTTCGTCGTTATGAGCTCTAACTACATCGAGGTTTACTTCTACATGGATGAGCCCGGCTTGGTCCCTGAGCAGCCGGTCTTACTTCAACTAGCGAATGGTGATATTGTTGAATCCGCTCCCCCTATTTGGGGAGTCGATATAAAATGTGGGAAAGGTACAGATTTCAGTTACGGCCCTTGGGCAGACCGTCAGAGAGACCATTTATTCAAATTCTTTTTTCCACCAAATTACAAAAGCTTGGAAGTCACGCCACAGCCGAAACCGGGCGATAGAAGGCAGATGCAGTCATTTGATATTCGATTATCAACTTTGAATGAAGCGACTATTGATATACTATTTACCAAAAATAAGGAAACTAATGCTGTTCATATAAATATTGGTGCTGGTTCATATCTAGAAGTGACATTGCCATGGATCGTTCTACAGGACGGTTATACTACTAAAATAACAGGTCAATTGCTTCATTTAGAAGCAACAACGAGTCTGCAATACAGAAGTTTTGCTGAAAGTGAAACTTTAGAATACACAGTCAAATGCCATTACCCATTAGTGTGGAACCACCATCAATGCTGGCAATTATCTTTGACGGGATGTAAAGCCACAGCACATTTTGTGTATACACACATAGACTTTTTCCAAGACCTCACTAACGATTGGGCTAGTAAGGCACGTCCAGATATTCTGCATTTCGTTCCATACACGTGGAAAATTTCATTGCTATTAAAGGAATGCGAGGTCGTCACGGTCAGTAATCAATACAATTGGATAGATTGCAGTTCAACAAATCAAGAAAATAACCATGTCGCATTTTGTGGTGACTTACTCGATGTTTCTTTCGATTTACCGTTTGTGGATTTCTTGCCGGATGTCATACCTTTGAAAATTTGGGTTCAAGGTGAAGCGGTTGATATGAGTCTGTATTTACCAGAAGTAAACACTTCTAGGTTACTTCTTTTGTCTATTGATAAAAATATGAAACTAGTCCCGTGCCGGTTGAAGGCGTCGAAATGGCGCAGGAAGTGCGTGAAAACTCAAGGTTGGGTTGATTGCTGGTCTGTGCCCATAGTGGCGTTAAGTGTTAGATACAATTATCATCCCATCCCGCCCTTGGGCCCTGAGCCGCAGGCCGATATTACCACTCCAGAGAAAGAAGAAATTTTATTATCTCCTATGAGAATACCAAGAATGAGAAAACAGCCTCAAATAAATTGGCCTATCGATGGAAGTAACTTTGATCGAACTAGTCTGGCGCCCGATAAAGTAAGCGTGGAACTCGAAGTAGGGCCGTCAATATTGCTCGCTTACGGAACCATCATAACGAGTTTTATGAATTTACTTGAAAATATATTTGGAGAAGACCAATTATTTACCGATATGCAAAGAGCGCCAAATATGGAAACGTACTATTGGTCCAGTGAAAATCAAACCAAAGTGAACGATAGAAGTAGCGTCAATCAACACACAGAAATATCAATAGACGATTCCACCGATTCCAGTAAGGGCCCCTTTGACCCTAGAAAATGCCGACCTCTAGACGTTTCAGTGTCGATTATAATTCACGACATCCAGGCTCATCTGGTAAAGAACTGTAGTGAAAACGAACCTCCTTGCCCCGTAGTACTGATTGAAAGGTTCGGTTTTGAAATGGACAAGAGATTCCGTGAAACTAAACTTCAACTCTTACTAAGTCCTTCGATATTAGTTTCTTCAAATAGTGCACCGCGAGCAAATTCTAATGGGAGTAACGGTTCAAGTGCCCTTCAACAGGGTCATTTGATGCTGTCTTCCTTCCAACTCCGAGGGAATGGATTTTTCAGTGACACTAATAGGAATGTCGAAGAGGAGACGATAGAGTACGCTTGGATGATGGAGCTCCAGCTCGGTCAGTTGACGGGACGGCTGACTTTGCCGCAGCTGTATCAAATAATATCATCTCTCGAAACTTTCCTCCTCCTGATATGTGACAATGAAAACGAGTTGACACCTCCTAATACTGCTAAGCAATGTCATCATGGCTTAAACAACGTTTTATGTCCGGAAACTGATCTTACACTTAAATATCGTTGTCCCTCCCCGAATGAGATCAAATACCGTATGATACGAGTCGCAATTGACTTAATTGATTTATACATAGCTGACACCAACACCACCTTGCAATCTTGGATATCACCAATAAGATTGTCGTTCTGCAATTTACATGGATCTGGGTTTGGAACTGGTATAACCGGCTTGCTGCCAAATATAAAATTAGCTCTGTTCACTCAATCAAATATACAATCCGGTGGATCGAATGGAAATCAAAATAAAGTACCAGATTCTGAAAATTGGGTTGGAGTAGGATCAATGTCTTTAGGACCTTTACTAATAGAAGCGGCATCATCGTTGCCACAAACTCCTAAAAATCTACACCTGGTACAACAGAAGTTTCTGAAGCTACACGATGAAAAATTTAAGAGATTGTGGTTTTTATGGCCAAGTGAAGGCAAAGGAACTCAGTGTGGTTGTACTGGCGGCTGTGCATTTTTCGGTTCCAACAGAAACGGCCCGAATTTTCTCAAACCAAGTCCGGCCGATTTGCATGAAGGCATCAATATAGCTGTATTCAATGTAATAGAAACAACACCAGGGGAATATGGATATGGACAAAGTTTCCTTCATCAGGGTCAACTAGTATTTCATACTCCCCCTTACAATAGTCTGAATGTTTGTCTGCAGCCAACAAATGTATCAACTTTAATACCGTCCCCGCTGCCGCAGAATTACAGTAAGTCACCCCAGAGTGCTGACCGAAAAAGTCTCACAAGAAGATTCTCTTACACTAGTATGAATAAAGGAAGTAATAATATCTTGGTATCGAGCACTAAAAGTGATGTCCCCTACGCCCGTTTGGTCGATTCCTCTGTACCTCTTGGTAGTTCAAAAATTGACAGTGATTCAAAACTTAATAAAACTGTGTTAAATGTTCCTCAAATGGAAAGCAGTGTTTCGGATTCAAAACTAGCTCTGAGCTGTGGCATTAAAGACGCAACAAATGTAACTAAAAAACCTTTACCAACTTCTGAAAACGAATCTTATGTGGTGCCAAAAATACCACCGCGTAGTGTAGCCGTCTCTGAGTCACATTACTCTCTAAACTCTCAGCCTCCACATGAAGATGTTCTTAATCAGGAGGTACAGCGAACAATGTCAATAACAAGTGAAAATCACTCGGAAGCATTTTTCTCGGCCGATGAAGATATGTTTCCTAGTCGCTCGTCGAGTTTGAAACATTCCTTTGGAAGTCGACACAGTAAATCGAAAGAGAAGAGCTCCTACGGGATTAGTGAAGTCAATAATGAAAAATGGCTGAATGTTACGGCCAGATCAGAGACGGGCGACGCTCATGATACTATAAGTAATTTGAGTTCAGGAGTTCAACCGGACTCGGAAAGCGTGTCTATGTCGTCCGCTTCTTTCATCTCAGCCATTTCTTCTCAAGAGGATATGACACTTATCAATCTTCACATGCAAACGAATAAACCTATCATAGACTCTCCGTTGCTCATGTCGAGTTACATGAACAGTTTACCGCAGTATAGATGCGGCAATTGGTCCACTTGTTCTTTACCCAGTGGCAGTGACGTCTATACGTTACCTCTTTTTAAAAGGGCTGAGGACGGCTCTTTAGTGTATGTGGGTCAAAAGTATTTACCACATTTCGAAGCTGTCGGAAAAGTCATGACTTTAAAGTTAATATCCAAGAAAGATGGCCATATGAGCCAAAATCAACATGGACCGTATTCAAATTTGACACCACATTTTAATTCACAAGTGAAAGCTCATCCGTATCCCCAAGGCTGGTGGGATTTACAACAAAATGTACAAGACAATCAAGAAAATACAACAGAAAAAAGTTCCTCGTCTACCGTAACAACGACTAGTGACAATAAGAGCGGGCTATTCGTTAAACTACGTGGAGAAATCGACGTTATGTTGACGCCGCTTGTTTTAGAGAGCACTCAAAGGTTCGTCGAGTCTCTGACACCAGTATTAGCAAATATCCATCCCATCACTGTCATTAATCACTTAAGACTACTCTGCATATCTTCGGTACAATCTTCCAATATACTTAAACAAAAGCAATATGTTCTGAATTGGTTGCCACAAATGCAAGCACGCAACGAATCGAGCATCGTCATAGAAAAGGACGAAAAATGTAAACTCGCAACAATACCGAACACTAACGTGTACGAGGAGACCATTTGTGACCAGCTTCAAGCAACTGTGACTGTACCGAAGGTGAACATTATCTTTATACAATCGTCTGTCGTAGAAGACATGATTTCCTTTTCGGCCCTCGATAATATTCAAGATTTAACCTGCGTGTCATTGTTTGGAGTTTCCATAGAAAATATTGTAGGGAAATATGTAAGATCGAAGAAGACCTTGGAGTCGGTGCAGTTATACTACAGACCAACACTCAGGGCCCTAGGCAGCAAAAAGTCATTTGGTATCATGAAGGGACCTCGAGCACTGATATCGACGCAGTCTTCAGGTCGTAAAAGAGGACAAGAGAAGGGAGAACCCGTGTACATAGAGACGTCCCAGCAACAGTGCGAGGATACTTACGTTACACTTAACATAGGTAGGATTAACGAAATACATTATTTTATAAGTTTAGACAAAATAAATTCATTAGAGAGTTCTGTGATCAGATAATAATGGAAATTTAATATAGTGTTTGTGTTTATGTAGATTTTATTCCTAAAATATTTTTTTTACAGGAAAGGTACATGGACAATTGAGACGAATCCGTAACGAATCTTCACAACTGAAAGACGCAACTATAACCGGTATACCTTGCCAACACTCGAAAGTCTCATTCAAATTCATCACAGCGGAATCGTGCTCCAAAGGATGCGATATGGTAATCTGATCTATTGAGAAAACTTAAAGAATTTTTGTCAAACTGTAGCATTTACTTCACTAATATATATTTTATTACTATTTGTTCAGGACTGCCAGAACGGAGGAACGGAGATTCCAAAGGAAAATTCAATCGGTTACATAATGTTCGAGTGTGGGATAGAGGGAGTATCGGTAAAAGTGTCCCAACATTCACAGTCACATAAACCAAATGAAGAGAAGGAAAAGAAACCGGCCCGCACCGACAATGAGAGCTGCCGGGAGTCCGTGAAGTCCGCGGAGGAGCTGAAACCGGACAAGGAGAAGACGAAACGGACATCCGGGATAGAGGATTTGTTCAGGAAGAGGGAATCGAATTCCAAGCCCAGCACGCCTAACCTGGGGAGCGCCCAGCCGCCGCCGGTGCCTCCCGCGGCTCCCCTGCCACCAGAGCCTTCTACTCCAGGACCTGACGAGCCGTCTGATGGTAGTACGGCCACGGTGGTCCCCGCCAAGGACCACGGGAACACGTCTTCCTGCTCCGTCGACTTGAAGGTCGTCTGGTTCAACTTCGCGGCTCCACCTAGGACTCCAATCACCAAAAAGATCGACTATACGAGGTGATTATTGTAGATAAATGATTGATTTAAAAATATTGCCTTATCTCGGACTGTTTAATACATCTTTAAATCCTAACTTGGAACTTTAAAAATTTTAATATTACTAATACTCTATTTGATGGGCAATAATCTAAAAAATACTCAATGTAAAATATTATGCAACGAATGTTTTCTTACTTTGTAATTATCATATTATGCTAGAGTCTTTCTTACTAGAGCAGCTCGTTGTATATAACATTTGTTGTATTTCCATCAGACTGGACTGGAACCTGCTGAGCACGGCGTCCCCCGCCATCAACGCGTGGATGAACCCTTGTAATCGTCTCGGTATCCGCGTGGTGTCGCTGTACCGAGCGCGCGCCCGCCGCCTCGCAGCCACCGCCGCCAGCCTCATGGCCTCCGCCCTCGACCGCGCGCCTGCACACACGCTACCCAAAGTATACCAGAAAACTCAAAATTAATTAACTCTCTCCTTCGTAAAATATCTGAACTTGTGACTATAGTTTACTTATAATATCGAAAAAAAATAATACAACTTAATCTTTATATATATAATTCTTCTGTGAGTGTGTATGTCACTGAACTTCTCTGAAACGACTGGACCGATTTTGATGAAATTTTTTGTGTGTGTTCAAGGGGATCTGGGATTGGTTTAGATTCACAATTTTGTCTACTGGACAATGTCTTTTAATTAATTTTTAATTTATTAGTAGTTGTTGATACAAACTTTTTTTGTGACATTAGATTTAACAACTAAGTAATATGTCAATCATTCTGTCGCACATCAAAACACGGAGATTTATGGCTTTAATAGATAAACTCCAAAAATATAAATAAAAAGACGTAACAGATATTTCTTGATTATCATAGGGCGATACGAAGTTCGCCGGGTCATCTATTAATAATATAAAATGTAGGTAGTTATAAGCAAACAACATAGTTTTGTTTGAATGTATCATATGTATATATCAGTCTCGCTACGGGCGCCACACGCCGATGGCCCGTCAGCTGCGCGAGGAGCCGTCCCTGCAGCTGTGCGGCGTGCTGCTGACGTACGCGCTGTCAGCGGACGCGGCCGCCGTGCAGGCCGATCTCGCGGACAGACATCTACCATCACTGTCCACGCTCAGACAGGTGAGATTATAGGACCTGGAGGGATAAATAATACTTGTGATGCATTAAAGTCGAATGATTTGTGATAACAATGATACTGAAAAAAGATCAGTCCTTTTATTGAAAAAAAATAAAATAATTGATTGGCTTTCTTGATCTTACACGTAAATTAATGTTTACAATAATGTAGTCCACAATAATGTTTACTATAAATAGGCTATAAAACAATGAAAGGCAAAACAAGTGACAACGATAGTACTATGTACGAGTATTGAGTCAAGTGACGCAGACTATACATTTCTTTCTAGGCAAAAAGTTGTCTAACACTTTGATGAGCCTTCTAAGTGTCATTTATTAAAATAACTAATGCTTCCCTGGTGCTTTTTCTCTTATCAGGGAGTCATAGTCCTGACCCGACAGTGGAAGAACATCCTGTACACACCGCTGTTGTTGGAACACAACTATAAGAGCAAGGTCATGAAGCCGCTCAACGTTACCTTCGCTCTGCCGGACTTGCTGGAGGTACGAATCGAGACATGGCAAATAAAAATGACTATAAATTGTCTTCTTCTTCCTCCTGGCAATTTCCCAGCCCTAGCCAGGGTCTGCCTTCCGACTTAGACTCCTCCACTTTGCACGGTCTTTGGCATATGTCTCTTTACCTATTTCTTTTACAGGACTCTGTAGAAGGATGGCAGGAGTACCAATTCGACAACGAAGCTCTGGACGAAAACTGTCTCCTACTAAATATGGATGTAGATAAAGTCGAAAATCCCGTGCACGGTGAGTACTCTTAAGATACTTGACAAAATAAATGTGGGAAAGTTGGTTACACTGGGTATATAAACGCTTAAGAATGGTATTTAGTCGACGTGTTGATTACAAGTGAAAGTCAGTGGTTGTGGTATTGCGCATTTATATCAATGTATTTAAACGAATATATTAATATTTGATAAATATAATAATAATTATATTATATTATATTATATAAAAGTCATAGGCCAAAAATAATTATACTATAGTGTTACTAAAGTATGAATACTTTAGTTTTAATATTTATTTAAATCAATAATAATAATAAGTTATAATTTCCAAGCGTCGGTCGGTGCTGCTAGCACGCGTCCCCGCTCGTACCCCTCCACGCCTCCCTCGGGTGCGTACAGTGCAGGGGAATGTATACCGTGTTGCTTGCTACATATGTGTTGTATTGATTTGCTCGATTTTGCATCTGTGATTGCTTTGTGTTAATTTTTTGTTTGCCTTATTTGTTTGGTGTCATTTATGAGAATTAATCGAAACTGTTTTTATATAAAAAAGGCTAAGACAATTTGTGTTCCTTTTTAGTAGGAGTTTGAATGTCTTTATTTTTTTTTTTCATAGTAATAATTTTCATGAAAAAAAAGTATGATTTAACATGTTTTACCATGTCATATAGAAGAAGAATTTAAATCGGACTATTTTTCTAAGATTGCTGAATTTCTTCATGTTACATTTATAAACACATGTATATAACATACTGTTTGATAGAATATACAGGGTGACTGGTGAATTACTATCAATATTTAAGGAGCATACCTGGTACATGATTCTCATTCGAATTATGTAAAAAAATAGGTACTTAATTTTTGACCAAATTTCCGTATAAATAAATAAAGTGTGTACACGTTCCAAGTGTTCCAAGTGTGGACGCGTGCGGCGGCGTGCTGATACAACAACACGCCGCCGCGCGCGAGTGTGTGTGTGTGTGTGTATACCTAATCTGTAGGGTGTTCATACGATGCGTAATTAATTACATAACTTTTGGTTAACTTTACTTAGAAGTTTATTAATATTTATGTTATATTGATTTTTATTTTGTCATACATGATCGTCAAATATAACGTCCTCAAATATCGATAGTAATTCACCAGTCACCCTGTATATGTCCTACTAATAATATTTAAAACTCATATTTTATAATATTTTAAACTCATATTTTATAAAACCAGTATCATTACTTTTTTTTTTCTTAATTTGCTTAGAGAATACCATATATTTGTGTTTTCTGTTTAATCATCTTATCTTTTTTCTTAGATTCAAGTGTTTTGGACATTTCATAAAATTATTCACAAGACATGAGTACAACTATTTTTTTTTACGTTAAGAAAATAGTGAGTTGTGCTTTTCTTGACTATGAAAAATGTACTGAAATTCTTAATGAGTCTCTAAAAAATATTAGTACTCTTAGTATAAAACTCAAAAATAATTGTTTCATGTAAGTTGTTTGTATCTGATTTAAGAACAAACTTTAATATCTACAAAGTTAACATAAATAAAGGATATTTTTTGATTTTTACAAGATTGGCACAGTAATTTTTGATGGTTTTCTAATATGACCTAATATTGGTTAATTATTATTAAAGTTTATTATACATGTAGTCAAATATTAGTAAAATCGACAGCTTGGTATTTTCTAAACGTGATTTAAATATAAACGAGATTTAGCCATTACTAAGATCTATCTTTTTCGCAATCAGTGCGCGCTCAGAACAGTCGAGCGAGTCTGGTGTTCCCTACGCTGCCCTTCTCCACGAGGAAGACGCCCTTCCAGGACGACGCAATCGCTAGTGAGTTGTGACGATATGTATAAACTTCTTAGAGGCTTAAGTTATAATAAGAAAAAAATAGTTGCAGATGGACGTAGAATTCTTCGCATGTTAGTGTATGTAGTTGTTTCAAGGTGTAGACTAATGATTCTCTGTTCAGATTATGGCACTCTGAAGGAGGAGCTTCCTACAGTGGGGTCATCGCCCTCTCTGTATTCACACGGCAGTACGGAGCGCCTGGCCAGGGAGCGCGCGAGGGAGGACCTCTATCAGTGGATGGCCAAGCAGGAGCCTATCAAAATGGTATAATATTCCACTAAGGCTGTCTTTTTATTTATCTTTTCTAGAATATATTCCTTAGTGAAAATTTTTGTGCTGTATTGGCAACTGATCCAAGTTTTCAGTCCTCTACCTTCTCATTCTATAAAACTTCTTAACTTTATACCAGCTGGAAGCTGTGTATTCATGTTCGTGATCATAATTCCAGGAGTCAAAGACCAAGAAGCCGATGCTGCCCCCGTCCAAGCTGCCCCGCCCGCTGGCCATGCCTGCCTGCAGCTTGTACCCGCTGCAAGGCTCGCTGATGCTGCTGGACGCGCACCTCGTGTTCCAGCCCTTCCTTTCCGCGCTCGGGGTGTCTCCGCATCAAGTGGCCCACGGTTAGTGAACAGTGATCGTTGTTGCTTCATAAATGTCTATAACAGGAATAAAAGTGTTGTATAAAATATTAAATGTTGACGAGTACATACAAAGAGAATAAGAAATTGACATAATAAATATATAAGGTATGCTTTAATTTTAGAGACACTCGTGCAAACAACTATATATACAGATAAATATAAAAGTTAGTACAAGGTACACTACTTCATTGACGACGTAGTCATTGAAGATTTCTTTTTTAAAGAAGCGAGTGTATTTTTTTTCATCTATTGAATTTATGTTCCAGGTGAATCCAAAGTGAAGGGTGTGGGCGCCGAGGCCGGCTCCGGCCTGGAATCACTGGGGTCCAAGTTGTCTCTGCTGGCGCTGGTAGACGTGTTCCGTATAGACATAGTGGTCGGCGAGCTGGCCCGCGAGAGGCGCCACCAGACTAACAAAGGGAAAGGTTAATACTTATAATACAGAACTACAGAATATAGTTACTTTGCAAGTTATTTAACAGTTGTTCAAAACTTCCTTCTTTATGTGTCAGGTACCCAGACTGACATTCCATCGGAGTCCCCCGCCTTCCTCTGCGAGAAGATCTCCTTGGACGTGGATCTGAAGAAGGTAGCCGACATGGCGGTGGACGACCTCATCCAGCGACAGAACGTGCTGTACATATCACGGGGACAGCTCAAGAAACACATCAGCACCATGCTCAACTTTAATATCAGCATACGGTTCATATCGCAGCAGGTGAGAGCGACTCAAATATTGGAGGAGGAGTCAAGTTTTTGTGAAAATAATCCTATTTTCAACGGATTCTCAACTAAAAAATAGTCGTACTGAATGAAAATAGTATAAGTTATATATTCAAACTACGTACCTTTTCTGTAGGTGAACATGCCCCTCCTCCGACTGCTGCATCAGATCAGCAACATGTACCAGAATGTGAAAGATACACAGAGCGAACTACGCACGCAGACTGACTCCTCGCGGAGACGGAAACGAACGTCCGGTAACTGATACATTGACCGGCAAATAAATACCTTTCATACTACATGACTCAGTGTTTAATAAGGAGTTATATATTTTTTTACATTTTCTATAGTGTCAGACTTTCGTGAAAACGTCGTGAGCATGTCGTCCCTCGACAAAGAGAGCCAGTACGCGGTGTTGGAGCCCAAGTGGGAGTTACCCCCCGGGCCCGACGTCCTGACGGCCATGTCTGACAAAGGAACCGCCACACCCACCAGGCCCAGGCCTCAGTCCTTCGCACAGAAGCTCAGGTCTACTGGGAAAAGTGTGAAAGGACGCTTAGGTAATAAGAACAGCGAGCAAAAATTTAGTTTGATTCATATACAGTGCAACCTTAATATAAAATACCTCAATATAACGAATTCCTCGATTGAACGAATTTTTCGTAATCCCCTTGAATTGTCCGTACGATTCAATATAAAATATACCTCTACATTGCGAACATTCTTTTCGAACAACCTCTTTATAACTAATTTTCAACTATCAAGAAAAAGTATTCATACCTCTTATTAACGAATTTTGTCAATGTAAAACCTTTATATAAAGTTCCCACCAATAATATAACTCTTAATCTTATATTGTAATTCATGTCTCGACATGTTTCGACACGCTTTTGTTCATAAAGTAATCGTTGTTGTTTGATGAAAATTAATATAAACACTTCTGCTCGTCACTATTGTTAAAGTTTTAAGTTAAAATGGCTCAGAAGTGTAAAAGGTGTTCCTTATCGAACGCAGAAAAGCGAAACATCATTAATTATGTTGACCAAAATCCTATTTCGAAAAAAATAGACATAGCTAATAAGTTCGGAATTCCCGCAAGTACATTGACTACAATTTTAAAATTTAAAGATAAGTTTTCAGAAGAAAGTGATTTAAATGTAAACAGTAGTAATTTGATAAAAATGTGTTATCATTTATTAGTAGAAGTTGTTCGCTATAACAAGATATTTACGTAATGTTGAGGTTAGTAAAACTATGTATTATTTTACCTTTTTATAACGAATTTTAGACCAACCTTACCTCATTATAATAAACCTCAGTTCAACGAATTACTTGATATAACGAATATTTTCTTGTTCCCCTCCGATTTGTTATATCGAGTTTGCACTGTATTTAAATGTTTGTTTAACATGTCTATAATCCTTTCCCAGGCTACAGCTCCCTAAACGAAGGCGCCCATACACCCATGTTCAGTACGGAGGCGCCCACGACGGGAGGCCTGGCAGGCGGGTCGGTGGGCGGGTCAGTGGGCGGGCCCGTGCCGGCTCCGCCCACACCCGCGCCGCTCGGCCAGCTGGCTCCCCGCTGCTGGCGGACCGTGTACCTGCTGCTGGACCTGTACGCCAACATGCCTGACGCGGACACCATCACACACAGGTGAGGGACTACGACTAACGATTGCTATCCACTTGTAGTACAATATCTGACTAGAGATATTCGAATACACGAAGCAACGAGATTGAAATATATAGAGGTGGAAAAGGATGTTTTATATATGATATAATGTATCATACCATGTTATTCTACTTGTATTAAAGGAGACTAAATCAATGTTAAGTTTCAAAAACTATTTAAATTTCATATCTTAAAACAAAAAATATAACTTATTTACACTAAAATTTAATTTTACTCTAATTAATAAACATAATAATAAAAAAAACGAAACTAAAATATTAAAATATTAAAACAGTTCAATAAAATAAAAAAATTATAATAATAATAATAACTGCATTCACCTACACTACAAAACATACTAACATATATACATATACACACATATATACCGGCTTACTTAGATAATTTATCACAACATTATAAACTTAACTTCCATATCAACAATATCCATCAATGCCACTTCTAGTACTTTTTAATCTATGAAGTTAATAATTGTAACATGCTTGTATATGGTGTTTATATTTAAGGATCTGTCTTTCTTTATTTTATCTTTCTTTGTTATCTCTGTGCGATTCTTTTGTAATTGTTTTATTATATATAGTTTCTCAGTAAGTGAAATGTATTTCTTTTGAGGAATTAATAAAGTTCTTAAACCATAAGCCATATTCTTTTGAGTGTATGTCTGCAGTAGTACATGTATGTATGTTCATGTCATCGGTTCAGGTTCTCGGTGTCCACGGAGCTGCCCGAGGCGGTCCGCGGCCGTGCTCGCCCCAGCTCGCGGGAACAGAACGCGAGCAACTCGTCCTCCAGCGCCACACACCTGGGGATCGTCGTCATGGGAGACGCCAAGTACTGACACACATATACACTTAAACTTGATGTTACATTTACATTGTGTACTATATTGAATACTAGCTTTCCGCCCGCGTAGAGTTCGGTTATATCGCGATTCCAAGAGAACCTTTCAAAAGTCTGGCATAAAAACTATCCTATGTTCTTTGTCAAGGTCAATTCTTTGTCTGTACCAAATTTCATTAATATCAGTTCAGTCGTTTAGGCGTGAAAGCGTAACAGACAGACAGAGTTACTTTCGCATTTATAGTATTAGTTGGGATCTAGTTGTAAAAGTGTTATTTAAAAGTATACCTCATAACAAGGTAATGACTTTATAGGTTAGTGTATAATATAGGTTAGTGTTTAAATAAAACAACCAACGCAGTATCTAAGTGAAGTATGGTTTTATGGACCCGTGATGCATTGACACTTTATTATACCATATAAATAAAGTATGTATTCTGGATTTTTAATCAAAATTCACTTAAGAAAATGGGGTTTGCTAAGAAGAAAACATTGTGGAACACAAAATTTCATGGTAAATCTTAATTGAATGTTTTTTTTCTATCTTTACAGAATCCACCGCACTCGCCTGCTGGCCTCCCTGTCGGGCTTGAAGCTGGAGGCGGAGATCACGTCCCTGAAGGCCGAGCTGTCCGCGTCCAGGTCGAGGCAGTGGTCGCTCAACGGGAACCTGGGCCGGACCGCCATCGTGCTGCTGGAGGGACCCCCGCCCAACCATCAGTCAGTAGCATGATATGATATGAGATGTTACTTACACCACTCGATAAGCATTCATAATCTAAGTACTATCCGACTGATAGACTCGGATTTTTTTTATTTTGTTTTATTTATTAAGATCCACCAGTAAATATAATTACTTTAATAAAATATTGGGTAAAAAGAAATACAGTGTAGCTTAATTCTAAATGCATTATCTTTTAAGGCAGATACACTATGCAAATACTAGGAAAGTTATAAATCATTTATTACATTATATTAATAACGTATTAACTTATTAGTAAAAATTATTAAAATCTCTATATATAAAAATTAGGTTCCAGGTGGTTCATATTAAAAATTGGATCATTACCTATATTTTGTTTATGTAAAAATTATTTATTTAATTTATCGCTGAACAAAAACTTATAACGAAATGTTTTGAGTGAGTCCCTAAACGGGTCCAAATGTTTACAACTATCATTTAGAATTTTAGACATCCTAGAAATTGGTGAGTTATTGCCCAAAACAGTTTTTCGAAGAGGTCTTGTAAGAGGATTAATTGTTTTGCGTGGATATCGAGAGGGAACATTAAATTTAATCTTACATACTAAATCTGGATTATCATAGATAAGGCTTTTATATAAAATTTATTATTATTAAAGAATTAAACGGATTATTAGTTATTAATTTCGTATGTTCATATTACGGTATCCACGAAAGAAGCGAGGATGATGCAAGAAAGACATTAACATATACGACATCAGGAGCTTACGATATAATATGGAGGGTAGTTGTTGTTTGTTTTAATCACCTCTTCTTATTACAGGACGGTGGTGCGCGTGGGCGTGGGCAAGTCCCAAGCCCTGTACGGCTGGGAGGGCGGCAGGCTGGGCGCCACGGCCATGGCGTCTATCGGCAGCGTCAGGATCGACCTGCCACAGCACCCCGTCGCCCTGCACGGCGTCATGACGCGCTCCAGCAAACAACTCTCCTCCACGCTACAGGTCAGCTCGCGAACAAAATACTATTCGTACCACGGAACTATCGTTGACGTTGAAAGCAATTTGATGGCTTCTTTGAATTTTATTTAAAATTGTATTTACGGATTAAACATTAACATATATAAACTAAGGTTATTAGCGTTACACTCATTTGATTTCTATAAAATTACTAGAAGATCCGGCGAACTTCATATCGCCCTATAATCAGGAAATATCTGTTACGTGTTTTTTTTATATTTTTGGTTTTAATCTATTAAAACCATAAATCTCCGTGTTTTGAAGTGCGACAGAATGATTGAAATATTAGTTAGTTGTCAAATCTAATGTCAATAAAAAACATTTGTATCAACAACAACTAATAGATTAAAAATTAATTAAAAAAACATTGTCCAGCGGACAAAAATGTGAATCTAAACCATTCCTAGATCCCCTTGAACACAGACAAAAAATTTCATCAAAATCGGTCCAGTCGTTTGAGAGAAGTTCAGTGACATACAAACTCATAGAAGAATTACATATGTATAAATATGTATAATATATTATAATTATATGTATAAAGATTATGTCGACGAAAAGGTTACTTTAAGTAAGAGTGGTTCTTAAAAGTATAGTCCGTTAGACTTAAGCTGAGCTTTGCATTTGTGTGACTGAAAGTATATGTAGTGTTAGACAAAAAACTTTTAGAATTAAATTTTATTATGTTTGAAATAGATACATAACATAAGTTCTAGATCTATTCTAGATTAAAAATAAAATTAAAAAAAACCTGTAAAAGGCCAAATGGAAAATTTACAAAACAATTTAAATTTTTCTTCACTTGATATTGCGTTTTCAACATTTGACGTTGCTATCATTACAAAGGGTGAACTGAGGAAATTGCAGGGCGAAGTAAAAGCAAAATAAATCGGTTCAATAGTAGAAAAGAAGGTGGCATTCATTTAACATCACTCCTACACAAAGCTCCTCAGCTTAAATCAAACGCACTGTACCTCGTACATACAAATGACCCTCTTTTATTACATAACAAAGTTATAAGTTTATTTAAAACATGAATTGCAACATTAGGAGTTGGGTGTGACCCGCACCTCGTCCCGCATGTCTCGAGGCCCGACGGGCGGGGCGGGGGAGGACGAGGACGAGGGTAGCCCTCCCCCCGCCCCGCGCCCGCCGCCCGCACAGACACCACGACCTGACCCGCTGCTGCAACCGCTGCAGCTGCAGTTCTCTATCTTGCTACAGGTAATTAACTCATATTCATCTACCAACCTTCATTTGTTTTTGATCCTTACTTACAATACTATCAGAGAGGCTCAAGTACATAACATATGTTGGACAATCTCTAACGGTACTAAATCACTCATTGTCGTGCCAGAGCCTGAGTATAACCGCCGCGTTGCTGCCGTCGCTCCAAGCGCAGTATAAGATGGAGCGCGTGCATGGCGCGGGCGTGACGGCGGCGCGCGCCCACTTCACGGTGGACCTGCCGCACCACTCGCTGAGCTTCGTGACGAGGCTGCAGGTGTCGGAGGCCAACATCCCCGCCGCCGCCTCCGTGGCGCTGCCTGCCGTGTCCTGCCGCGCGAGGGTCCTCGACTGTAGCGAACCGGATGCGAGAGCTCATGACTCCGCGGATAATGCACAAGGTGAGCTCTGCTGACCTTTGACCTTTCAATATTCATAAAGTCCTCTAAGCTATTACTTCCCTAGCCCCAGAAGGCGTGGTGCTGCGCGCCGGTCGCTACCTGTCGGCCACGGCGGACATCGGCCTGTTCGAGCACACGCTGTCCACAGACCTCCTCAACCACCTGGTGTTCGTTCAGAAGGTGTTCATGAAGGTGTCTATCCTAGTTGTGCATGTCTCATCCGTCCATACAGTAACTAACAGATACGTGTGTTCACAGGAAGTAAACGAGGTCGTACAGAAAGTGTACGGAGGTGAGAAACCGGTGCCGCTGTGGAACGAAGAGGAGGCGTCTTCATCGGCGTTCAGTAGGATTCTGTTTTCGCTATTGATTCGAATAAAGGTACATAGCAAATATTGACTTTTCTTGCAGCATTGGCATCGGAAATGACATATATAAAAACATCTATTTACCATTATCTTGCAGTGCTTTAATTTTCAAATGTTTATCTATACTCCAGCCAAATTCGATGTGGAATGTTTAATAACAAAGCGTTGCTTAGCAACCAACGTCAGGCAGATGCTCAAAACATTTTTGGAAATATATACAACAATTATTTTTGATGTTAATGAAAGTTAAAATTGATGATTAATAATAAAATATTTAAGACAAAGGACTAATTCTTGGCTATAATTATAATACTTATGATCATCTCGAATAATGTAGATCTCAAAAATAATACCTCCGATTTTAAAATGATATCAGAAATTACCTCGTAGTTATATAATTCGCTTTATTAACTTTATCCATCGTCTTCCAAACGACAGGACTCATTTAAATAAAATTTTGTGTATATTTGAATTTGATACAATCCCACTCGGACCAGGTTATTCAGTATTACTCATCGTAATCTAATATAAACAATATTTGATAACAACAAACTTATAACAATAACGAATTAAAACAAAATAACGATAACAAAACTAACAATTAATAACAGAACGGAAGAACACCAGAATCAAACACTCGCGAATTGTAAGCGAAGCTAACAACAAAACAAAACAAACATTATGGCGGGCGTATAATGCAACAAAATTACGTAGTTACGTTTCGTTTGCTAGTCAAAACAAGATGTCTTTTTTTTAATGAAACGTTGTGTGTATGTTAACATTCTTAACCTGTTGTGGTTATACTACCATTATAATACGACTAAAAATATACACCACCAATTACGAAGAGTCGGTATCGCTATTATATACCTTCCTTAATCTGCCAATTGCTCAAAAAACACTCCAAATGTTACAAACCTGGGATTTCTTTACGTCAGTTTTAAAATATAGGGTTGTTAGTCTTGTAGTAATATTATAGTTTTAATTAAAGATTTTTAAACTATTATTTTAAGCAATTTTTCATATAAATTATGTAAATAAATTAATTTTTTGGATTAATAAATTTTTTGGATTCTACATATATAAATTAAAATTTTTGTGTTTAAACAGGAAATTATGTTATAATGAATATAGTTGTAATTATAATAATAATTATTTTTTATTAAGAGTGTCTCAATCCTAGTTATGATGACTCATGGTTTGTTCACTAAAATTCCAGATCGAATGTGGCTGGAGTATAGTGTCTGATTCATGTTCGGTATAGAAATTCAGATATAATTAATATTAATTCATCTTCATATCCAGCGCATCCAGTTGACGGCGACTACTCCCAGCAACTCAGCCGTGCGCCTGGAGACGGGAGCCGTGGAGTTCGAGGTGTCCAACAGAGTACAGAACGTGACGCAGTCCGCCGAGACGCAGGGACTGAGGCTGTTCGCGAGGGCACAGGTACATGACTCGTACATATATTGAGTTACTATGATACCATATTTTTTTTATTTTTCTTTATTAAGGCCCAACAGTTCACAATACACTTAAATTATAAATAAAATTACAAAAACATACACCAATGAAGCTGCCACAAATAAAAAAAAAACCAAACAAATACAATAGTTATAAAAATCAACGAAACGTCGCATTGTTATCTTACTTACGGAAAAGGAATACATATTAAGTAATAAACTAGGAAAATTTATTTTTGGGTTTCAAACAACATTTTTTTAAATAACTGTAAGGAAACATTAAACATATCAATATGACTAAAACCTTCATTATATTTTACGCAAACTCAATTGATAAATGAGTTTTGAGCGTAATATGCTTTAACTGTAGGGATATAAAATAATGAATTAATTCTTCGGGTGGCTATTTTTCGAGGCCAGTTGATATTAATTTTGCTTGTAAGGTAAATTGTGTCAATTCTATTGTTTAAAATCTGAAATAACAATATTTGGTCACGGAAATCACGTCGACTTTGGAGAGTATTTTTTAAGTTAATATTACATTGAGGAAACCCGCTTTTAATATACAGTTAGTTAATGTTAATTGTTGTAATCTTCCAGGTGGACGTGAACCTGAGTCTTGGCCAGCTGATCCGGAACGCTCTGTTCGAGGAGGCTGAGCCGGAGTTCCAGCAGTACGCGTTCTTTAACACCAGAATAAGTAAATATACTTAACAATTAATATCATGCTTGTGTTACAATTGCTTTCATGCGATATATAATGTGGCTGAAGACAATTGGATGTAGCGGTTATGATACTTTTGTTACTTTTGACACATTTAGGAATTCATTGTTGTCAGAAACAACAAATGTACGTTACGTATACGTCGAACATAATCAACAACGTCAACAAACAACTCCCTAGGTTTGGATTGTAAATAAACCTTTTCTTTTTATTTAAAAAAAAAAAATATCAATCGGCAATTGAAACTCATTTCATTTTTGTTTCGGAAGTCTTAATCTAGAAGTGTATTTCTATATAACAATAATACTAATAATAATGTTTATTTGCTCTGAATGTAGGTACAGAATATAGGTGTACAAATAGATTTTAGTATAAGTTCTAGGTACATTCTACCATAAGGCGTGCAAATATTAGGTTTAAATTAGAAATTAAATTAACCATGCAATTATAATTATAAATTCATATTAAGTGTTTAACAGATGAAAATTAACAATTCAATAAAATAACAAAGTCAACTCAACAATATTCGTACAATGGAAATTATAAATTAAACTTAACTACACAATCAAAATTAACGATACAATTTTATTATATTTCTTATGATTTGTGATACAATGATAGATAGATAGATCATTATTTAAGTTATATATTTTATACATTTTTTTATTCAGCAATTTTTTACAAAATTATGTCTTATCCATTAGAAAATCGTTTACGGACTAATAGTACTTGTCAACTAGAAAAGGAAACAAAAGTTTTTTTAAATTTTATATAACATAAATCTTTTATCTCATTCGGTATTTCGTTATATATAGTAGGGGCCATGGCCAATATCTTCCTTTTTAACAATGCAGTTTTATAGTTGCCTGTACATAAAAGATTCTGATATTGAGACCTTAGATTTATAGTGCGATTTCTCTTTTCTCTTAATGAAGGAAAAAGGTGCTTATTTGTTTTCTCAAAGACTGCAATTTCGATTATATATAAACAAGGAAATGTTAAAAGCTTATATTTCCTAAAAATCGGTATACAGCTGTCCGTGACCTTCAAGTTGAAAATAGATCTAAGGCATCGTTTTTGACCTTTAAAAACACTTTCCTTTTGACAACAGTTACCCCAGTATATAATGCCAAATCTTAAAAAAGAAACAACTAGACCATGGTATGCAATAAGAATGGTATTAACATTAACTTTTTAGCCAAATTATGTAAAGCATATGCTGAGACGTTAAGTTTTTTGTAAATCTTTTCTGCTTGAGGTTTCCATGTTAGTTGACTATCTATCAATATACCAAGAAATTTAGCAACATTAACCTGTTCAACCTTTGATTATTGTAGTTTATGTTTAATTCTTGAACTTGCGATCTTTGATAAAAATGCATTATCTGAGTTTTTTTGTAAATTTATAATTAAATTATTTTGGTTAGCCAATTAATTATTATTGTTATTGCACTATTTGTTTGACTTTCATAAGTTACCTCATCATTACATTTAATTAAAGCAGTGCTGTCATCTGCGAATAATTTCATAAGATGAACAATTTGTCGTGGAAGATCATTTATGTAAATCAAAAACAACAATGGTCCGAGAACATTATAAATATAATTGCTTTTTTTTGACATGTTTAATAAGGAGAAAAAAATTTGTGGGATGTTCATCAAAATTTTACTAAATGTCTCTGTTTGTTTCATGTCCAGTGATGCGCAACGCGTTCCAAGACGAGATAGTGTGCGAGGAGGACAAGGAGGTGGTGCTGATCACGCTGAAGCGGCCGCTGGTGTACATCCAGCCCGTGGCCGTGGACCGCGCCATCCTCGTGTGGCTCAACTACAAGAACGCCTACGAGTACTGGAACGAGAAGCGCATGACGCTCAACAAGGAGGTGCTGGCCGCCACGCAGCAGGTCTTCGAGAAGGTACAAACTCAAACTCAAATAACTTTATTCAATAAAGAAGCATTACATTTTCTTATTGATGGTCAGTTGAGAAACTACCGCCGGTTCGGAAAAGAAAATACCCTGACCTGAGAAGAACCGGCGAAAGAAACTATATTCTAACTATATATATCTTTATATATATAATTCTTCTGTGAGTGTGTATGTCACTGAACTTCTCTCAAACGACTGGACCGATTTTGATGAAATTTTTTGTATGTGTTCAAGGGGATCTAGGAATGGTTTAGATTCACAATTTTGTCCGCTGGACAATGTTTTTTTAATTAATTTTTAATTTATTAGTAGTTGTTGATACAAACGTTTTTTTTTCATTAGATTTGACAACTAACTTATATGTCAATCATTCTGTCGCACTTCAAAGCACGGAGATTTAATAGGTATACTCCAAAAATATAAATAAAAAAACGAACAAATATTTCTTGATTATAGGGCGATACGAAGTTCGCCGGGTCTTCTAGTAGGCATATAAATTAGTGATGATCACTTTTAAAGAATTTATCATTTTTAAATTATTGTCTAATATACTTTCACACTACCTCAGTAAACCAGTCGATCTATATGTGTTGTGTGTGTCAGGTACAACTGTCGTCCAACATAGCGACCCCTCACTTGAGCACGCTGTTCCTCCAGCTGAACGTAGACGACATCGGCATCTGTCTGCCTCTGAACCAGCCGCCGCTTGTGAGTACACGGATATGTGTGACACGAAACTAAATACATGACAATAAATATTGATTCATATAATTAGAAACTTAGTAAAAGTATTCCGTTGTCTAAGTTACAATACTGAGAAGTTTCATCGATATTATCATTATTTTCGTGTGAATATTTTCGTATTTATGATATTTTATTTATTTTGCATTTAATATGTTCATTTAAATACAAATCAATTTATATTGTTATAAAACTGATAAATAATTCAATTTCTTTTTAATTATATCATTGATCCAAAGAAAACAATCTTGTGATAATTAGGTACTAATGTTGAATATATTTAGTGATTACCTATAAAAAGAAATACAATTATCAAGAGTGTTCAATTGTTAACTATATCATTTTTGTAGTACTATTGTCATTTCTGTTGGTGATCCTATAAAATAAAAAATAAACAAATAATAATAATAAATTATGTTGTTTGCCGTGTTCAGTCGTCGTGGGGTCGCAACATCCACGAGTCGGAGTCCCGCGGCGCGGTGGTGGTGACCCTGGAGAGCACCAGTATCTCTGCTTGCAGCTCGGGCTCGCTGGTCAGCAAGGGCCGGTTCGTGGGTCTCTGCCTGCGGTTCGCGGACGACTTCGAGGCGTCGCTGGACGACTGGAAGCCCGACCCCGGCGAGGCCTGCATCAACGTGTGCTGCGTGTCCGAGGGCACCTACGAGGTCTGCAGCCGGACCACCGCCGCCAAACATAACGGTACTTGATTTTTATTTTCTTTAACAAATTTGTACTTAAATATAAAGTTATTGGAGTCTCCTTTTAAGCATATGAAAAGCCTGTGCCAGGAAACTCCGCTCTCATATCACGAATTAGGTAAAAGTATACAAGATATTTAAGGTACAACAATAATAAAGAAACAATCTAAAAAAGTAATAATAAGAGGAGTAATTACCAAAAAGGGAGCATATGTGGGATTAAAATGTATTTGTATGTATGTGTGCCCGTGCGCATTTGTGTGTATGAGTTGTTTGTGTTGTATGTATGTAGGATATGAATGCTAGTTCCTATATTCTAAAAAAAAATCCGTTTCTTGAAAACTTAAAGATTTTATCCATTTTATTATTTTAACTTTACACTCTTTACAAGTTTTTGAATGTATATCAATGTATTTATTTTATTATATAAATAAGCAGATCTATTATCATAATGAATCCTAGCGAAGACTGTTTTAGTAGCAGGGATAGATATTACATTATATGCTATACGTTTATTGAGTAACGATATATCGTAGGTTAAAGACTTGTGTTTTTTTAGAACAGTATGCACAATATACAATATCCGTACAGTTAACAAACCACTTTCTTCATAGAGTCTTTCTGTACTAAACCGTTGTTTTTTAAAGAACATTACTTTAATCAATGCTCTTTGAGCTCGTTCAATTTCCATGAAACGTGTTTTACGTGCACCTCCCCAAATAGGTAAGCAGTATGTTATTATGGATTGCACCAAAGCTATATAAATTTGATTTAAAAGATTGTTTGAGGAGTCATTTACAGTATTATTGGTTACAATATGTCTCAGTGATTTGAACATCCACGTGAACTTCCTAATGCGTGCCGCAACATGTTCAATTTGCGGGTACCATGACAAGTTCTGGTCGACCATTATTCCCAAGTGTTTTATTTGACTCACTTTATTTATTAATGGAAAATTGCAGTTATTACCTGTTACTTCATTGCAATTATGAATTTTTATACGAAAATTTGTTTTGGGTTGTGAACTGTATTTTATACTGAAAGTGATGAAGTTGTTTTTATGAGTATTTAATGTTAGAAAATTGAGTTTTAGCTAAATTGCAATTTGAGCCATACCTTCTTCAGTGCTCTTTCTAACGGTACTACAATATATAAGCTGTTATAAATGTGGTGGGGATGATATTTAACTGGAATCTTTGTTTCAGAGAATGCCAAGTGGTTCCTGAACGTGTCATGGCAGATGGAAGGCGTCGACATCCATCTCGACGTCAACGTCGGCAAACAACTGTCGGCGCTCGGACACACGCTCACCATGCTGACTGGTGAGATACTAACTCTAACAAAATAACATCGAACTAAATCTAGTACACACTATTGTGTCCATTCACAAGCTACATGCTATCTTTATGATCCCCTGGTCAGGTTTTGAAGAGGAAGAGGATCCATTAAAGACGGAGTACTCAAGCGAGGGCGAGGATGAAGCGGATGACACGAAGGGGTCGCAGGAGAGCGTGGTGCTGCGGAGGAAGTGTCCCGAACACCTGCCGGCCTTCGTGTTCGACCGGCGGCTGGACGCGCGCGCGAGGTGCAAGCTGGTGGAGCAGGAGCTAAGCGAGCAGGCGAGGATCGTGGACGACCTGCGGGCGCTGGGCGCCTCGCACGCGACGCTGCAGATGGAGCTGCGGCGGCTCAGGGACCTCGAGGCGCTCGTGTTCAAGGACTTCCGCAGGTTACATACACATTATTGATAGGATCCTCTCAGGAGCGAAGATGATCCGTGACAATATAAATAATCCAGGACAGATAATTATTATAACTCATATAACAAGAGATTTTGTCGTGTTTTGTTTAATAATTGTTACGTCTTTACAGAGATATGATTCAAAAGCTGCGTCGTCAGAGCGTCCGCGCCAGTTCCATCACCAAAGGGAAGCTGGGCCTTGGTTCCAATCGCGCGCAGTCCTTCGTGACCCCCGCACACAATGACTACTCACAAACGCCTTTCGATCAGTTAGTAGACTTGGTTAATTGTTCTTTAACTTTCTCATTTCAGTTACACCACATGTGTTTGTGTTACTATAATAATAAGGCCATAGCTATAAAGAGGTTTTATTTGTTGTCTATGATAAATATGTAAATATTATATACGACAGAACTAGAATAATAACATAGGAAATTAGGAGCACAATAAAATACGTCCACTCAATCAAACGTTTAATCGGTGACAAAGCCACATAGGAATACCTTAAAACTTAGTAACAATTATTTATTATAAATCTACCCCATATATATCACAGTCTATAAGCACTGGGAACTACATATAAGTCATGTTTAATATCCTCAGAGCTCCCTCTCCGCTGGGGTCGCTGGGTATGTCGGGGTCGTTGGGGTCGGTGTCCGCGTCCAACGAGCTGGGTGACGCGGCGGACGCACTGCTGCTGCCCGACGAGAGGCTGGCCGACATCATCGAGGGGACCTCGTGGAGCTCCATGGACAGCGACCCGCTGCCTGGTCAGCATTACTACCATTTATTGTGTTGTACTACATATATGAAACTACATTTCTCGGACACTACGTTTTCTTTATTATTTGATATGAGATGCAATTGTCACGGTTCTGTGTAACGGTTGCTGTAAAGAAACCGAAACATTGGTATTGATTTATTTATTTATTTATTTATTTATTTATTTATTTATTTATTTATTTATTTATTTTGAACGGTTCACACAACAGATTACAACTAAATATGCGAATAATTAATGAGCAAACATTATAAATGAACTGAGTTGCAATCCAACAATTATGCGAACACAGATTATATACAAAGTATCTCACTTATAAAAAAAGAAAAAAAAACACATCAGCACTCAAAAATACGTAACACAACACACTTACAAATTAAAAATAAAAAATAAACAAATAATATAGATTCGATCACTATTCCTGGCTGTTAACCGAAACCAATCGTTTTTTAAATAGCTTTAGGTTTCTGTTGAAAACGTCGATACCATCCAACCCGTCGTCCTCAAGAGAGACCCTATTGTAAGCGCGACACATACGTCCGATAGGATTGTGATACGAGATATTGTTGTTATAAATATCCAGGGTAAATGTTCTGGGGTGTCGGAATTTAAAGTTGATGTTTATATTTATGGAGCCTAGAAGCGTGGGTGAATCAACTACACCGTGAATAATTTTGTGCAAATACACTAAGCTGTTACAATTGCGACGCATTTCAAGCGTTTGCAGTCCGAAATGGTGTAAAATAATAAATGCCTAGTAAATGAATACAAGCGAAAATGTTAGATTTTACTATTTATTTATTTAATTTATTGAGAAACAAACAGTATTACAACCAGTCAATTGAAATAATTCATACAAAAAATATATAAACCAATTAAGTTTACACCGATTACAAGTTCATTTGGAGCAAAGAAGAATAAAAGGTCTAAACACACGTTGCCCAAAATATAAAATAACAGATTAAAATACAAAAATTGATGACATTAAGAAAAATAATAATATGATCAATTAAAATTAAGACAATTATTAAAAATAAATAAATCATGAGATAAACATAAATTATTAAAATAATAATAATAATACATAATTTAAAAATAAATTAATTACAATTTACAGGCATTACTAATTTCTTTTTTTATTTTATTTTTTGTACAAATTGTAAAATCTATATTGGAAAAACATTATATTTATCACAGGCACGGAAAATAAAAGTATTTTGAGCATATTTGGTATTTGTGATAGGTAAAAGAAAAAGGGCCTGATGACGCGTATTAATTTTAGGACATCTAAAGTATATATTTTGTAACAGATAGGGTAGTATCTTAAATAAAAACAATTGATTTCTCTCCATGCGACGGTATTCTAAAGACGGAATATGTGAAATATCCTGATTGTACGGCAAAAACTTATAACTAGAATATTTAATAAATTTGCGTTGAATTTCCTCTAATTGCATAATAAGGCATTTATAAAATCGATTCCAAGCAGTTGAACAATATTCGAGGATCGATCTAACAAACGGATTATATAAAAGTGTTAAAGTATTTGCGTTTTTAAAATCCCTACCTACTATTAAAACAAATCCAAGCATTCGGAAAGCTTTAGCTGTAACGTAATTAATGTGGGACTTAAAAGTTAGTTTGCTATCAATGTAAATACCCAAGTCTCGCACCTCGGTAACTCGTGCAATAATATTATTATTTAGATGGTAATTGAAGTTAATATCTTTAGTTTTACGAGTGAAAGAGATAACATTACATTTCTTTACATTTAAACACAAATAGTTGTTTGAGCAGTGCTTACATAATTTGTCTATGTCATTTTGTAGGAGTGTGAAATCAGAAGTTTGAGTAACTCGTCTAAAGAGTTTCATGTCGTCAGCATATAGAAGAATATTTGAATGTTCGAAAACTATTTGTATATCATTATTGGTTGGTTATTGTCTTTTGTAATTTACATTTTATATATTAAACAGTAGAGGACCGAGGTGCTATATATCTTATTAATGTTTAACACCGTGTATACTGTCCACAGCTGTAGGTAGCGGTCCCTCTCGTTCCTCATCCCTGCGCGGTCCTCGGTCCGGTGAGTCTCGTGAGGCCCGCGAGCCCCGCGGCCGGGTCACCTTCAGTTCCTCGGAGGCCCCCGGGCCCCCGCCCGCCGTACAGAGACAGAGCTCATTGCCCGCGCCCTGGCCGCCTCACCTACATGAACCTGATCAAGAAAACGATGCCCCAGACACGGGGTGAGTGTGACATAGTAGGAGGAGGAAGGAAATGTGACAGATAAAACACGAACAGAGTTAATGAAACTGGGTTCATCAGTAATAGGATGCAAAACAAAGTCCTAAGTGTTTATTTTTAGTGTTACACACTTTCTATTACATCCCTGTGCATACTGTATTTTCAAATATATCAACCTGTTTCGGACGAACAAACAAGTGTAAATGTTGGTGTATCTGTATATTTATAGATGTATAATCATGTTTTATTTACTTTTATTTATTTTATTTATTCATTTACAACAAGCACACTTACAACATACATATTGAATATTTACAGTTAAAGTGACTATATTAAAACATCAGATATGTACATCAATGACAAGTGTACATAACATTTACTAACTATAAACAGTGCACAATTAAAAAGTTTACATACTAATTTAAAGATAAAATAAAAATATTACATAAAAATAACAAAATAAAATAAAAAAATATTACTATATGAACTTAGGAAAACTTTAACTTAGAAAAAAGATAGTCAAAAATTTTTTGTTTAAATACATAAAATGAATCAGTAAATAGGTCTAGACTTGGTAATTTTTTGGAAATGTCATTATAAAATTTTGCTAATTGCACTACGGGAGACTGGGTTCCAAGATTAGATTACTTAAAACTAATCATTACACACTTTTGTTATTTAACTAATTGTGTTCTTTTTTTGTCCAGATCACCAACGGAGACTTCGGGCCCGAGTCAGCAGGAGAACAAACACAAGGCGAAGACATCCGAACCCAACATTGACTTCGAGCTGGACGTGAAGGTCCACATCAACAGCGGCAAGTGTGTGCTGCACACCAAGGAGCCGGCCAGGGACGACGACATCAAGATGTAATTAACATAATCTTTATATATATAATAATTTCGTGTCACGGTTTGTTCGCGATGGACTCCGAAACTACTAAACCGATTTGAAATTTGATTTGCATTCCGTGTGCATTTTGACCCAACTTGAAAGATACGATAGCTTACATCTCAATTTATAGTCACACTATTAATTATTTTATTGCAAATTATTTATCTATTAAAGAAAATTATTTGTCATTATTACAATTATCTGTTGACTGAGTTAAGTATTCAATAGATGGCGCTATGTTAAAAATACAAACGTCATATATGAGCGACTATTTAATACATAATAGTATAACCACTACATGTTTCTGAGACTAAGGTATAACCTAACTTTATTTATTAAAAAAACGTAACAGATATTTCTTGATTATAGGGCGATACGAAGTTCGCCGGGTCTTCTAGTATGTATATAAAAATATCATTTTCAGACATACTCCGCGACTTATTGTATTATTTTAAGTTTGTCTAACACTCACATCTCGCCTGTCCGTAAACTCGTTGTTATAACATAACCGAAACGTAAGGTAAGTTTAAAATAATGTGATTGAGATCATACGCGTCACATGTTCCAGTGGCGGATCTCGTTCCCGTGTGGGCCGCTCGGCGTCGGGCGGTGTGAGCGGCGGCCGGCCTCCTCCACCGGACCTCACCGTATTCCAGGTGCCAGGTCTAGTGCTCAAGGTAAGCATCTCATTAAAAACGATTGAATACGTACATACATACCTACTGAGTGCAATGGAAATTGAGAATGTTGATGTTTAATATTCAGGTGCACTACGAGTCTAAAACCCTCCCGGAGGAGTCGATCTCCCCCCACTCTCTGCCCAGTTTGTCGAGCCGCAAGGTGGGCACCAAGAAGGCGGCCCTGTTTGCGTGGATCACGCTGCAGAGCATCCCCGAGGAGACCATCATCAGTCCCCACATCCTCGACTTCCTGGAGCAGACCCTGGAACCCATACCCACCAAGGTTCCCACCGCTGGTACGTGCACCCTTCAAGTCTTCTACTATTATCTGTAGTATCAGTCGCGTTATGGTTTTGTATCGAATAATATAAACAATACTCCAGCCAAATTCGATGTGGAATGTTTAATAATAAAGCATTGCTTAGCAACCAACGTCAGGCAGATTTTCAAAACATTTTTAGAAATATGTAGAACAATAATTTTTGATGTTAATAAAAATTAAAATTGATGATTAATAACAAAATATTTAAGACAAAGGACTAATTCTTGGTTATAATTATAATACTTACGATCATCTGGAATAATGTAGATCTCAAAAATAATACCTCAAATTTTAAAATGATTTCAGAAATTACCTCGTAGTTATACAAGGTGACTGGTGAATTACTATCAATATTTAAGGAGAATACTCGGTACATGATTCTCATTCGCATTATGTAAAAAAAATAGGTACTTAATTTTTGACCAAATTTCCGTATAAATAAATAAAGTGTGTACACGTTCCAAGTGTTCCTAGTGTGGACGCGTGCGGCGGCGTACTGATACAACAACACGCCGCGAACGCGTATGTGTGTGTGTGAGTGTATACCTAATTTGTAGGGTGTTCATACGATGCGTAATTAATTACATAACTTTTGGTTAACTTTACTTAGAAGTTTATTAATATTTATGTTATATTAATTTTTATTTTGTCATATATGATCGTTAAATATCACGTCCTCACGTAATTAATTACGCATCGTGTGAACACCCTACAGATTAGGTATAAACACACACACACACACACGCGTGCGGCGGCGTGGTGTTGTATCAGCACGCCGCCGCACGCGTCCACACTTGGAACACTTGGAACGTGTCCACATTTTATTTATTTATACGGAAATTTGGTCAAAAATAAACTACCTATATTTTTAGGGATAATTCGAATGAAAATCATGTACCGAGTATTCTCCTTAAATATTGATAGTTATTCACCAGTCACCCTGTATATATATGAAGAAATTGTAAATATATGTGGTTGAAACAGTGATTATAGTGCTATATTTATGCTAGCCAAAACAAGATGTCTTTTTTTAATCTGTGTGTAATGAAACGTTGTGCGTATGTTAACATTGTTGACCTGTTGTGGTTATACTACCATTATAATACGACTAAAAACATACACCACCCATTACGAAGAGCCTGTATCGCTATTATATACCTTCCTTAATCTGCCAATTGCTCAAAAAACACTCCAAATGTTACAAACCTGCGATTTCTTTACGTCAGTATTAAAAATATAGGGTTGTTAGTTTTGTAGTAATATTATATTGGTAATTAAAGATTTTTAAACTCTTATTTTAACCTAATTTTCATATAAATTATGTATTGACCGGCTAAGTAAAATTTTTGGATTCTATATTAAATTAAAATTTTTGTGTTTAAACAGGAAATTATGTTATAATGAATATAGTTGTAATTATAATAATTATTATTTTTTATTAAGAGTGTATCAACACTAATTATGTTGACTCATGGTTTGTTTACTATAATTCCAGATCGAATGTTGCTGGAGTATAGTAAGAGACGGTGTTCAGTAACTTTATATTATTGTGTGTAAGTTACGTTCCTATACCTACAGAGCCTGAGTGTGCTGGTCGTCGTAGCGCGGTGGAGGTGGGCGAGTCGTCGGGCGCGGCGGGCGGTGCGGGCGGGGAGGGGGAGGGCGCGTCGTACGGCCAGTACGTGTACGCGTCGTTCCCGGTGGACGTGATCGTCCACTTCAGCACGCGGCCGTCCGCCTTCCGCTTCAGCTGCCTGCCGGCCTCGCGCGTCGAGTGTCTGTTACAGCTGCCCAGCCTGCAGATCGTGTTCAGTTCTAAACGAGCCTCGGATGAGTCAGTACCATTTATTATGTTATACCGTTATCGTTATGTTGATTGGATGTTTCTATTGCTTTTCATGAAGAAAAATTTGTCGAAAATATTAAAATTTCATGTAATGTGAATATACATATATTATGTAGTTTTGTGTTGACAAGACCTCCAGTATACTTGCTCACGACCTATATTTTAATTCATATAATAAGGGGATAATTTTTAAATTATGTTTTGGTTTTATTTCCCAATCAGAGAGATGGAGGAGCCGGCCATCGCCATGGGCGGTCTGAGCGTGACGGGCTGCCTGGCCGACTTCTCGGTGTACATGTTCCACCCGTACGGCGGCAAGAAGTCCAGCCTCAAGGAGGCGCAGTGGTCGCCGCTGGCCGACACCGAGCGGAAGGACTCGCTCTCCATCAACGTGGAGTTCGTCAAGTTCCACCTGTCCAGGTTCAGGAAGCTCGACTTCCACTCGGACAAGGATCACTCCAAGGCTACTGTTAGGTTTTCAAGTGAGTTCAAATAGTTTGACATATATACTTAAATCATAATTTGTATAGAACACTATACGACGACGGACCCTTCACAGTGAACACAATTACGTAAAATTTATGTCATTATGACATCATGATATGTCAGCGTTTACGTAAGATATATGTAGGTTACATAAGAGTTATATATATGTCATTATTTCACACTTCTTGACGTAAGGCTTTTACGTAACAATATGACCTAAGTATGACGTACGACGGATGTCATTGTGACCTAACTGACGCAACAAGGATGTCATATATTTACGTCATGGTGAAGACATTTTTTTACGTATATGACTTAGAAATGACTCCATTCTGACGTAACGCTCATATAACCATGATGTCATGGTGACGTTAAGTACGTTACGTATATATGACGTATATATGACTATAGGTAGAATGGACTCTTTTGTGACGTACAGTATTATTTACAGCGTATTGTAAATAACATGTAGATCACTCTATCATAAAGATAATTAAGTAAATGGATATTCAAACATATGAAAAAAAATTAAATCTTTTGAAGAATGACCAATCAAACACGTATAATTTAAAATAGGAAATTATTTATTAACACTCAAATTTGGCAGCCACAAAAACATAAATATATATGTTTTCGAATTATCAAAATTCGAAAAGTAAAAAAAATAAATAATAAAAAAAATTGGGTAAACCATTTAATTCACGTCATACATGTCGTGCATTTTTTTTCATCCACATATTCATATCTTTATAAATGATAAATATTACAAATATTTGTTGTATTTTTTATGGGAATTATGTATTTAAATTCAAAAAGTAAAGAAATTATAACTAAATAAAATAGTTACCTTAGTTCTAATCAGTCATTTGAGTATCATTATAGTGTTCACTTTTTGAATGTGATTCCAGTAAATAAAATTTGTATGTACAAAACATAACGTGAATTTTTATCGATTTACAGACTTATAGTTTTTATAAGGCATACACTTTGGAAACATTTATATTATTTTTTATTAAAATTACTTCAATTTGAAAAGTTAAAAAGTGAAAGAAGATTATAAAATAAAAATAAAAACACATGTTTCAATCGACACTTATTTTAACTTTTTAATTATTTTTTTAGAAAATAGAAGTCAAAATAAAAGTAGCTTTAATTAGAAATTTAAATCAACAATAATTTTAACATTTTAAAATGTTTTGTAGAAAAGAGAATTTCTAGTAATTAAATACTCATACTCCTACAATTAATGCAGTTGCCTCTTTGATTCTGTCATCTTCAAGCTTCTTTTGCTTTTGCACTTGCTCCTTTTTATATTAGAAAATATACTGAAACATAAAAATTATAAATATTATTCTATTCCATCTATAAACTACTGATTTATTAAAAAATTCTAATGCATAATTGACATGGAAGTTAGATTAGAATGATTTAAGAATTATTATTATAATTAAGTATGATATAAAACACTTACCCTTATTTTACAACAAATTCAATAATAAATTGTTTTTAAAATATTTCTTCTTATGTTGAAACTATGATGTTATTATTCAATTATAAACTTTTTTATGAGGGTATGATTAGACACGACGCACCGAATATATGTTTAGAGACGATACTGCGCATGCGTGCCATATTACCAACTCTCAAAAATATTTATCCCTAATATTGGTGATAAAAATCCCTAAGATCGCTTTAATTCCTTTGTTTCCCGCTAAAAATACATAAATATAAATTCATAATGATTTAGAAATAATACACTATAATATGTTTCAAAATTGTTTTATTCTAATGTATTTAAATAAAAAAATAAATATTTCGTTTTCACCTGAAGATTCAGATTTTTTAAAATCATACATGTTAAATAATAACATATTAAAGAAATTTAATATTTTATTGGATGGATTAAATGTTACACAAGATCCATCATTTCGATGTAATGTAAATCGGACAATCAGGATGCTTTGCAACATTTTAATAGAGAGTCTATTCCTCAACTTATTCTTAACGACATTGTAGACAGAGAATGTACGTTTGACACTGGCTTGACAAAAAAATCCCTGACAAAACCCCTAAAAATTCCACAGCCCTAAAAAAATCCCATGTCACTTATTTATCCCGTGAATCTGGGGGGAAAACCCCTAAGTTGGGAACTCTGATGCATGCGCTGGTAAGAGGAGATAAACAATATGGAGACCGTGTTTTTTATTACTTATTGAAAATTTATTTTTATTTACTTAAAAGTTATTTATAAAAAGCAATGTAAAAAAAATTGAAATTTATTCAAAGTAAACAAAGTAAATTTCTAATGTAATTTTTTGTTTAAATTAATTGTAAGTTTGTAATAAGTCACAATGACGTCATGATGTGACGTAAATATTACATAAGCTTGTGGCTTCGATATGATGTCACAGTGTGATTAAAATATGACATCAGTTTTACGTAACACTGAGGTCATAGAAATGATATCATATTAAAGTCATATTTAGGTCATCATTATGTAATATTTACGTTAAAAAATTATGACCTCTATATGACCTTTATATGACGTCATATTTATGTCATGTGTTCACTGGGATTTGCTCAAACTGTTCGTTGACACCCGAGAGTTCTTATTCACATGTGTAATATAAGTTTTCTACAAGTACCACGAACGAATTACAGAATTAAACACTCTCTTAATTGTCGATTTTCTAAATGTCTAGCAATTGTGGATGTGGGCTCCGCGTCCTTCAAGTACGACATGCGTCGGTTAAGTGAGATCCTGGCCTTCCCCCGCGCCTGGTACCGCCGCAGCATCGTGCGCAGACTGTTCCTAGGAGACGTCAGTGTACACACTAACGTTAACGTACACACACACAACACTACGAACAACGTGCCCGTGTCGCCCGTCCTGCCGCAGAGAGAGAAGACTAAGATAACTGAACCTCAGAAACCTAAAGGTATGTTCTAGGAATTGACGTTAATAATGTGTAAGTCCAATCGACGCAGTTGATGATTGATGTCATCGTAACAGAGAACAAGGGCGTCGCGGCGTGGGAGACGCTGGTGTTGTTCGCGGTGAACTTCGAGCGGCTGAACGTGCACATGAACATGGGCAACGTCATGGGGAACGTCAGCTGGCAGGCGCGCTCGTTCGCGGCCCGCGGGAGACTCAGCATCGGTAGCGCGCGGCGCCGATCCGTGGCGGGCCGGGTCGCTCTGGGAGGGGCCGCCTTGGAGGCACGCGGGGGTATTGTGGGCGGGTCGATCGCGCTAGCGGCGGCACGGGCGCATGCTCTCCTGCAACAGGAGCCGCCCGCCCACCGCGCTGCCGCCAGCCTGGCCGCGCTGGAACTACGCCTCGAGTACATGGGAGCGCCTGCTCTGCTCGCCCGCCTGTCCCGCCTGTCCGCGGCGCTGGCGGACCGCTGGCGCGCCGCCGACCACCGGCCGGCGCGGCCCGCGACGGTGCTGGCTCACGGCACGCTGGCCTGGCACCAGCTGCAGGTGGCCATGTCCCGCAGCACCACGCCCGACCTGCTCAAGATGCAGCTCAAGCTGGAGGAGTTCTTCACGCAGCAGTTCAAGTCCGGGAAGCGGGTGTTCTCATCCTTGCACGCGCCGTCTGCCGGATACACCACCAGGAGAGAGAAAAGGGAACGTGAGTATATTCTTGAGTTTTGTATGTATTGATTTTTTTTTTTGAAATTTGTTTATTTATTTATATAAGGACTTACAAAATATACACCATTTATAGGTTTTAAAATAAAGGTAATTATATTAGCTAAGTGTCGTTTCAAATAAAAGTTATCACGACATGGAAAAAGGACAGTATTTTCTATTAACATAATACAACTTCTTTTTTCTACTTCAATTATACAAAAGGGAAAACAAAAAATACTACCAATAATAATACAATATATAATGTAAATTACAAAAGACAATAACAAATTACCAACTTATTGCTAAACAATTAAAAATAAATAAAATGAAACTGTTTTTTTAGATTACAAAAATTTTATAGCAAACATAACAAACAAACAAGTGTAAAACTTCTGTATTACAGTTCCCTAAACGACACAATATAAAAGTGATCGATGTTGAAAGACTGGAATGTGAATGTGAAAAAAATAAGGATATTTTGTTATTTTCAACTTACAATTAATAATTTATACTGGGCGATTTAAAACTAGCTATAACTTTGCTTTTAAATTTTGGCAGACTGTCTGAAAAAATGTCGATATCAATTTCTTGATTTTTTATAAGTAGGTTATACTGTCTAGGTAGCCTACTTATGATAGCATTCTGTCCTAAATTCGTTTTTGAGCGTGGAATCGAAAAACAAACTTATTTACTCGCACGGGGAAACCTTGACGGCGCATAAAAATTATTTTTTTTTACAAGGTTAGGTCAGTCTAACTCGCCATTTACGATTTTGTGAAGCAAAATCTGGTCCAATAAATGTCTCCGATTGAGCAAGCTATTTATCTCAAAGTATTCTAACCGACTATGATATGTCGGTAACTGTTTCGCCTTATTCCATTGATATGCAATGTGCCATAGGAATCGCTTTTGAACCCTCTCGATACGTTTGATGTGGACTTCATAGTGTGGAGACCAAACCTGAGCACAATATTCTAGACCAGGTCGAACCAAAGAAGAATAAAGGCCAATCTTGGTCTGTGACTTCTTAAAATCTTTACTATTTCTTTTTAAAAAACCCTTTGATGATATTTTGCCGATATGAGTGTGGAATTTAATCTTACTATCAAAAACAACACCCAAATCTTTGATATAATCCACCTCTTTCAATGTCTTATTGTTAATTTTATAAATCTGCGAGTTTGGATGACTTTTACGCGAGATTCTCATGTATTTATACTTATCTGTTATTACCGTTTCTTCCACACCAATCAGATAAAACTTTCAGTTCCTCCTATTCATTAAATTAAAACTTGCTTTCCTTTCTGTTAGTATCTTCAGGTGGCACGAGCTCCTCCTCGGGCGGGGAGACATCGGCCGAGCTCCGGCACCACCGACACTGGCAGCGCGCGTTAGCACTCGTCGCGCTCCGACCACATACACAAGGTACGGAAACACGGTGATAGATCTATCTAGGATTCTAGGAGAAGTAAACGAGACACTTGCTACCAATGAACTATAATATAACCTCACACTTGACACGTCCTACTGGTCAACAAAAGACTCTATAGCCATTCAAAGTCGCGTAATTGAATGTTGCCAGATCAATGAAGACCTACAGAGTCACTTGTGCGTATTGAACACCTTTTTCAGCTGGAAGAGAACTAAAAACGGTTGGTTGTCATATTTTAGGCTTATGTGAAGTGATTGGAGATCATATGTCAGGAATTTAGACATCACTAACTTTATCTTTGTTATCACTGTAGAAATGTCCCTTATATTAGCTTAGTTAGCTTAGCTTATCACAAAGTACCTCGTCAAGATTGTGCAGTTTTATGCATTGAAATTGGCACACGTATATGAAATAAATATCTTTATATGAACACTACTATTCTAAACAACGGATCTATAGCAAACTGAAAAGCTTGCAAAATAAAACTGAAACTGAAATGAAAACCAATATATACAGGGTGACTGGTGAATTACTATCGATATTTGAGGACGTGATATTTGACGATCATATATGACAAAATAAAAATTAATATAACATAAATATTAATAAACTTCTAAGTAAAGTTAACCAAAAGTTATGAAATTAATTAAAAGTGTGAACACCCTACAGATTAGGTATACACACACACGCAGCGGGGGCGTGGTTTTGTATCAGCACGCCGCCGCACGCGTCCACACTAGGAACACTTGGAACGTGTCAACACTTTATTTATTTATACGGAAATTTGGTCAAAAATTAAGTACCTATTTTTTTTACATAATTCGAATGAGAATCATGTACCGAGTATGCTCCTTAAATATTGATAGTAATTCACCAGTCACCCTGTATATATTATACAAGGTTAGATGCTCCAAGTAGGTAGATACTACTTGAACAAATAGTTCAAGAAACAGATACAACTCGCTGAATGGTGGTTTGTTAACTCTGACCGATACTCTCATGGTGGATACATCAAAGTTTGAAAACGAAAGTTATCGTCCACTGCGTTCTACCAGTGCTAACGTACGAAGTGGAACCGTGGCGACTCACATTGAAGAACCTGTCCCATTTTTAAGTCACTGAGAGTTGTGAGGACACGTTGCTTGGAGTTTAAAAAAAAATGTAATCCAAGAATGAGTTGTTCGTTAGAAAATTAAGGCGAGTGACAGCTCGGCGTAGCAGAAGGATAAAGTATCATTGGGTGGGTAGGTCACCTACATAGCACAACAGGCGACTGTTGGAACCGACTGGTTCTATGATAAAATTGTGAAACAAAAATAAAGTGTGATCTACACTTCATTTAACTAGTTGGGGTGTATACACCCTAAAAAAAGATATATATATATATATATACTTAAAGATATATATATCTTTAACGTTGCAGAAAAGATTGAAGGAGAAAACGTAAAAATTAAGTTCAATTGCGTGCTGTGAGGGACGTGAACTTCCAGCAGTAATCTGAATAAGACGATATGAATCAAACGCCAGTCACGTATAAATAATACGTATAATCTTAACGATTTCTCTTACAGGCATGGTGTTGGGCGGCACGCTAGAACTACAAGGGTCCAACATCTCGCTCGCCTGCTTCCACGGGAACAGCCTCAAGGCCAAGTCGTGGGCGCTGTTCAGTCTTAAAGATCCCTGCATCAGTTTCGCGACCGAGGCGCAACAGATACTGAATGAAAACGGTAATTGTGAATTTTCAATAAATTATTGTATATTTTTACGTCGGACATTAGAATTTATTTTTTCTTAGTAATTATAATGGTTTACAATTTTTTTGTTCTCACCAAGCTATTATGCTTGACGGTGAGACGCGCTCTTTTTTTTGACATAAAAAAATAAAAATAACAAAAAAAACAAAGATAAAAATAATGGTTCACAAAAAGTTAAAGAAATAAAACCATAACAACATATTCTTAAAAACTAAAAGTAAATCCACACTATGTATATGTTTTATAATATTATAAGTTCACTGCGGTTTTGTTTCACGATGACGACAGGTTTTCGTCATTGAGAAACAAGTCCCTAATTTATTAAATACTTTAGGTACTATGTATGTTGATCTCTCCCCATAATAATTTTTTAATCTTTTTTGTACAAATTTATTCTGTTCCACATTCCGGGTATTGTATACATTTTTTATCGGTATTTTATATTCTTTATTGTAATAATACTCTAATCCTATTAAATATTCATTTTTTTTTTCTATCGTTTAAATTTTACAAAGACTAAAGAGTTTTTCATAGTCCTTATTACAATTATCCTTATCTTTTTTATTTACTAGGAACTTGATCAGTCTTATTTGTAAATTCTTAACGTCCTTTATATACGTCATAAACGTTCGCCCGTAAACAGTTATTAATTACTATTTTTGTTTTCAGGTGAGCTGGATGTACACGCGGTGCAGTCCCTGACGACGTCCCTGGGCGGGGCGGGCGGCGGGGCTGGTGCGGGCGCGGGGGCGGGCGGGGCCGGACATCAGTCTCTCGGCACCGTGTGTCGCATGACGCGCACCGTGCTTTTCCCCCCGCAGTTCAAAACGCTTCACGAGTGGTTCAACTACGCGTTTGCAGACAGCGAGATAGACGGTTAGGAGTTCTCAACCGGTAATCTGGTTAATTACGATTGTGTTTCAGTTGTTAAATGTTCTTTATGTTGGTGACAGCCATAGACCAGTTCCCGTCCCTGGAGCGCGAGGTGTCCGCGCCGGCTCCCAGCGGCAAGGCGGCCGCGTCACACGTGAGGGAGGTGATCTTCGCACTGCCCGCGCTGCAAATGCATTTGAGGACAAAACACGTGCAGGGACACCGCCCGCCCACCGAGAACGGTACCTACATTGTATATTACCGCGTAACATAATTTCGTACGCTGAATTGAATGTTACTACATCATTCTTTGTGCCTCAGACGAGAAGCCGGTGGTGGAGTGCAGCTTCATCACGGAGTTCGAGGACCACATCTTCGTGTCGGTGGACGCGGAGGCCTTCCTGTTCCTGCACGACCTCATCTCCTCCTACCTCAAGGAGAAGGATCGATTCGTGAGTCGTTTGTTAATAGTTTGTTTGCAAATCCTCGATTACACGCAACAGTTGATAATGATGTTTATTTCATTCTCATGTGGTTAATTACTGGGTTTGAAAAGAAACGTCTTTGTAGCTTTAAGTCGTATTTAATAATATTAGAAGATTTTAACATAGCATAATGAAAGCTTGGGCCAATGGGCGGTCCACCATATTTGGATGGATACATGAGATGTTTTATAAAGGAAAAAAAATATATATTGTTTAAATCAGTTTGTACAGCAATAGTTAGCAACAGGAATTTTGAAGTAGGTTTAACCTGTATCTCAAAATACCCGCTCCTCCTACTGGATATACATATATCGAAACATACAATTATAAACTAACAAATATTTAACTTATTTTTAAGATTAAAGATGGAAATGGAAAATTATTATACATGTGTGTGTGTGTGTGTGTGTGTGTGTTAGTGTTGGTGTGTATTATATAATTTTATTTTTATACCTATGTACTTATTATTATTATTTTTGTTACATAATTAATATGAATATTAATATTTCTTACGTTTGTACAGTTAAAAATTATTCAGCAGCATGATAGTCTAAAGTATAAAGCCAATTAGTTAATGTTTGTTTACACTGATGATATTGAAGGTCATAAATGTTAATAATCCTATTTATTTTTTTATAAAGAAAGGAAGACTGTTTGTTGTATTGTCTGTTAGCAAATTGTGTGTTGCAATGTTGTAAATTAATTACTGCATGATTTCGTCTTCTACTCTTGTCTGGTTTATTACATGTTATTGACTTATGAACTCTTAACACAGTTTGTAGAACGTAAAGCTGTTTAATTGTCAATATTTTGGTTGTCGAATATATATTATATGTTGCACATCCATACGTTTTAAAGAACATTACATTTAATAATGATCTGTGGGCTCTTTCTAAGTGAATAAGTTGGGTTTTGCAGGTACCTCCCCAGACCGGGGTACAACACGTAAGAATTGACTGTCCGAGAGCCAAGTAAACTGATTTTAACAGATCGGGTTGTAGAACGTGACGGAGTTTTTTAAAAGCCCAAATTAGATTTCTTGTCCTTTTTATTAAATTATCTATTTGCTTATACCAATTGTGATGTTGTTCAATTATAACACCTAAATATTTATATTCTGTTACTCTGTCGATATTTAGACAACTACAGTTATTAATATATTGATAGGAGCATGTATTTCGTTTTATTTGAAAGTTTTGTGGGGGTTGGTTTTCTAAAACTTTACACTAGACTTAATTCTATAATATAGCATACACACTATATTTATAACACTTCATCATGACAGATGCCGGGTCGGCCGAGCTCGTCGGGCGTGTCGTCGAGCATGGCGGGCTCTGCCCCCGGGGAGGGCGCGGAGGAGGTGGGCGCGACCCAGGACTTCCGCTCGTACCGCTGCCACACCTGGCACCTGGAGCCCACGGTCCGGCTGCTGTCGTGGGCGGGCAAGTCCATCGAGCCGTACGGGGTGGACTACATCCTGCAAAAGCTCGGTTTCCGCCACGCACGCACCACCATCCCCAAGTGGGTGCAGCGCGGCGCCCTGGACCCGGCCGACGCGCTGCTGGCCGCCGCCCTGCTGCACCTCATGCGCCTGGTGCCCTAACGCGTCACACTCACCAGGGGTCGCTCCGTTCGCTTGTAGCTTATGTTAACCGATCACAAAGGCAGCCAAAGATGTTATTCTAAACACCATGTATGTATGTTCGTGTAACTTGACGTCGGGCGGTAGTCGTATGTAGCGTGTGAAGTACAAAGCGGTCTCTCTATATGAACTGTGACCGGATATTATTAAATTATTTTAGATTGAATGTTTGTGATGTTAAGCGACTGTTAGTTTAGTTTCCGGTGAGTGTCGGTGGAGGCCTAGTACACATGTCCAGGTAGCGCGGCGAGGGGGGAGGGGGATGTCGTTTCTTTCAACGCTATGTTTGTTTCTAAGTAATGTATCAGCACCACTAGTTATGACCGCTGCGATTTGTAAATTATAGAAAGGTTTAAAAAATCCCTAACTAGTTATGTTTGTGACCAAAAAAAAAAATTATAATTGTTGAATTATGATATTATAATTAAATGTGGAAAATATTTATTGAAACCATTTGTATAGAATTGTAATGATTTGTATTCATGTTCTATGATTTCCGTAGACTGTTGTAGGACTTGTTTAATGTGATAAGATGTAACGATGGTCGGATATATTTTATTACGGGACGTGATTTGTACATAATGAATGTTATAATAAGGGATCAGTACTGGATGGGTCGGGGTCAATGACACCGCTAGCAGACAAATCATTTATTCTCAGGTAAAACGATAACAATGCAACAAGGAGAGAGAATACCCGCCTTACTGTTCAGACGTTGGAACTGTACGTGCTACTTAAAAAATACTAAACAATTCCGAACAGCTTAGTTACTCAAGCAGTGCGTGGAAATCTCAAAGCCTAAGTGTGTCTTTGTTGTTTTGGTGATATAATATTTGTCGTAACAGCAGTGTAGTGTTTAAAAAAACGAAATCAATTTTGTACAACATCGACAAGGAAGATTGTAAACAGTGACGCTAAAGTGAATTGCGATGTCAACCTACCGTCTTTACACAAACGTATCGCTTAACTTGTAGTATTGTACAATCTGATTGCAAATTTCACACTTTCATACAACGCCCCGTTAGTCGTTTGAGAATAACCTTGGTAATGAAATTTATGTTGCGTTAGGGTCACAGATCGAATCCAGGCACCCATCGCCATTAATTATATATTTTCTTATTGTTCATTTATCTTTTTTTATTGTTAATATATTTTTTAAACCTTATTTTATTCATTTTTTTTTCATTATTGTATTATTTTTGTTTTTTTTAATCTACATTATTTTTCTTTAAAATTTTGCACTGGTTATTGTACTGGTTCTACTAATTAATTTTGTGACTTGTTTTTATGTGTTTAAATATTAATTTAATAATTATTAGTTTTGGTTTTGCCTTTTTTAGTATTTTAATTTTTTTTCTCTTATTGTGAAAGAATACTTGATTTATAACATAGAACCTATATCTAAGATGAGTTACATACACAAATGTGCGGGGTGCAAAGCGCCTCTTGCAAAAAAGGAATACCTACAGTGTCTTAATTGCAAATCTAAGTATGATATTGAATGTGTTAATATAAGCAGTAAGTCATTCTCGGCGATGGAGTGTAAGGATCGATGGAAATGCCCGGAGTGCGTTAGTAAAAAGCCCAAGAAGGGAAACGTCAATACGCCGGTACGTGGCTCTGTGACGGGTGCCTCGCCTGATGGTGCAAGCGATAACCTCTTTGTTACGCAACGAACAAAGATTAATCGACTGCATGCTCCCGATAAGACAAGCAATCCTGGGCGTTGTGGAGATTTCATTTCCTCTCATACCGATACGGATGATCTTAAAAACTTTATAAGGGACATAATTCAGGATCAAATGTCTAGTTTACGGGAATCTATTGACGAACTTATCCTTACAATAAGGACACAAAATACACGCATTGAGCAATTGGAGAGTAGGGTTTCCACATTGGAAGGTAAGCTCAATGACAAAGATAACGCAGGAGCGTCGAACATAGGAGACGTTGTCGCGCAGTTACAGGCGAACATTATGGAGCGAGATCAAGATCTATTGGGCAATGATGTCGAAATTGCTGGTTGCACTGAATCTCCCGGTGAAAACTGCGTTCATCTTGCAATCGCCATTGCAAAGAAGATTGGAGTGGAGCTAGATACTAGGGATATCATACGAGCGGAGAGAGCGGGGCCGAAGCGGACAGTGGATGTGGCTGGTGCGTCACCGGGTGCTCGACCGCTCGCTGTCCGATTGGTGCGCCGCGTCCTTCGCGATGACCTCCTTCGGGCTGCGCGCACTCGCCGTGACCTGACCTCAGACGGCCTGCAAATACCGGGACCCACTACACCAATATATATTAATGAGCGCCTCACCAAACATAACCGTCAAATATTCCACCAAACGCGCACACTGGCCCGTGAATTCTCGTACAAATATGTATGGACAAGAGATGGAAAGATCTATGTACGTGAAGATGACGGAAAACCACGGCTCCGCCTGCGAGATACGAAGGACCTGTCTAGGGTTTTTAAGAAACCAAACGTTTGTGCATGATTACACTGAATCCTTGTCAATTTACAATGGTCTTTTCGTTACTTATTATTATTTTGGAAACATCAGTCTATGTACTTACATCTGCAACACAAACAATACTCTTGCTACACACACAAACACACCTATGAGACATTCCTCAAGTACTTTACACAAAACATTTGTCATTGATAACAATGATTAATGAGAGAAAAATCAGTTTAAAAGTGGGGTTATTAAATGCTAGATCCTTAAATACCGGACAGGATGAACTTCTAGTTACGGTTTCCAAATATAGACCAGACGTCCTAGCTATTAATGAAACATGGCTTAAAAAGGGAGAAGAATCGCTGGCACCGGTAATACTTGACTATAAATTCATCCATAAGGCTAGAACATACAGAAAAGGTGGAGGAGTTGGTTTTTATATCAGAAGAGGTTTAAAAACAAAGATCATGCAACATCCAGTCTCAGATCTCGAACAGTTGTGGCTACAGGTACAGTTACCGAGTTCAGTAATGTCTTTGGGTACAGCCTATAGACCAGAACATGTTGGCGTTACGGAGACACTTGATGCTCTCAGTGAGTCACTTAACGAAATTTGTCGATGTGATGTTGCTTGTATATTGGGCGATTTGAACATTGATGTTTCAAACTCTGAGGCTGCGAAGACGAAAGAGCTGTCGGACTTCTGCCATCAACATAACTTACATCAGATAGTTAAGGAACCGACAAGAATCACCGATAACACGCAAACCATATTGGATCTAGTCTTATGTGACGCCCCATCAAAATGTAAGAAGATAGAAGTCATTCATAATCGTAGCTTGAGCGATCACGCTTTGGTTTTGGTGGAATTTAAGATTCCTAAAAATAAATACATAAAACAAGCTAAATTCCTTCGAGCTATAAATAAAATTCATAATGAGGTATTCATACATGATCTGAATTGTATTCCCTGGGACTCTATATTGGCTTTAGATACGGTAGACAAAATGGTTGAAACGTTCAACGAAGAGCTCATACAGTTATTCAATATTCACGCTCCTATTCGAAGAATTATTATTAAGAACAAACCAAAGCCATGGATCACTAGTATGGTGAAATTTATGATGACTCTACGGGACAAAGCATTAATCAAAGCTCAAAAGGATGGAAGAGACAGCTCTAAGACCTATTATCGACAGTTAAAAAATTTTGTAACCGCGACAATACAAAGGGAAAAAACAGCGTATTTCAATCATTTCGTAAATAACAACATCAAACATCCCTCTGTACTGTGGAATAGCATAAAATCAACAGTGCAAATAGCTGGCACCAACAGAAACCCCCAATTCCTGAACACCTAAATGAACCTGACAAAATAAATGACCACTTTTTGACCTTACCGGTCATCGTTAACACTCAATTGCCCATTAATACCCCAACAATTAAAGACCAATTAAAAAATAATGAATTTACACTGAAGCCGACATCAGAAGACGAAGTCCTAAAAATCATAAGGGGCATTAAAACTAGAGCAGCAGGTTATGATGGAGTTGACATTGAGATGATACGGTTAACTCTTGAAGTAACCCTTCCAATTATAACAGGTATTATTAACAAATCAATTGTTACCAACACCTACCCATCATGTTGGAAAACAGCATTGGTAAAGCCTATCCCTAAAAAGGACACAATTGTACAACTCAATGATCTACGACCAATATCCATATTACCAGTACTATCAAAAATATTAGAAAAAGTTGTACTTAATCAAGTATCGACTTATGCAGAAAATAAACTTATAATCCCAAAATTTCAGTCTGGATTTCGAAAAGGCCATAGCACTGAAACTGCTCTTCTTAACGTCACAGACGATATTACTCAAGCTTCTGATGAGGGCATGAGTAGTATCCTTGTACTGTTGGACTACTCTAGAGCTTTCGATTGTCTGCATCCAGAGCTACTCTTGTCAAAATTAAAACAATACGACTTTTCAAACAACACCTGCCAATGGTTCAAAACATTTTTAACAAACAGACATCAAATAGTGACTACGGAGAATGCTGATGGTTCTAAGACGTTCTCTACTAAGAGATTAATCCCGCGTGGTGTGCCCCAGGGCTCCTTGCTAAGTCCAATACTCTTTGCCATCTTTACAGCGGACTTAACTCATCAAATTAAACACTGCAAATATCACCTCTATGCAGATGATACCCAAATATATTACTCTTTCGACTGCAATAACGTTCAAACCATACTGGACGCTGTTTCTAGAATTAACAGTGACCTCGACAGTATCAACACCTGGTCTCAAAATAACGCATTGGTCTTGAACCCTCAAAAATCATCAATGTTAATATTGGGTACAAAAAAGCAAATAAAACGCGTGCAGGACGCGGGGATCAAGCTCAAAATAAACAACGTTGAAATCCAACAGAATTCCTCTGCACGTAATCTTGGACTAATTTTGGATACGGAGCAAAAATTTACAGAACACGTAAATAATAAAGTTAGGACGGCATTCATGAAGTTGAAGACTTTGTACAAAATAAGGCCATTCATCAAAGAAGACATTCGGCTGCTACTGTGCGAATCTCTTGTTCTCTCACAACTGAGCTACTGCAGTACAGTGTATGGACCAAGACTAAATACTAAGGCCGAAAGATGCATTCAACGGGTTCAAAATGCCTGTATCCGTTTTTGTTATAGCGTCCCAAAGAGGGAACACATTACTCGGTATCTTAATCTTAAGGGAATTCTTAACATGACTTCAAGAAGAGAACTCCATTATGCCTGCACAGTTCACAGAATTGTATGGAACAAAAAACCAGAATACCTGTTCGAAAAATTGACCTGGCTTGACGTGCATTGCTTAAGAACCCGTCGCTTTGGCGTCCAAAACTTACTCAAAATTCAAAATCATAAATCGGCAAGGTATAGAAGCTGTTTTAGGTTTTCTGCAGCAAAAATATGGAATGATCTACCTCCACCACTTAGAACAAAGTGTAATACAGAGTCTTTTAAAGGCAAATATAAAACAACCCTGCTTAAAAAACAACATGCTGCAGAAAATGTTAGACACGCATACTACAAATGCCTGCCGCTAAAAGAATTTTGGCAATTTTAGGATTACCCCCTTACTTCTCCAATCACACACAAATACACATGCACACATATACTCAGACACACATTCACACATTTACATACACACACACACACACACACACACTCATGCAAGAGTACTTGTACATACTGCAGTATTTTCTAATGATAAAAATTACTTCTGTTTTGATTAAATTTACTTCTTTTTTTATAAGTTTTGCTATCACCATTTATTTGTAATTGATTTTTTCCAACGTTTGTAAATTATAATTATAATAATAGTGGCGGGGGTAGGATAATGTACTATATGATACTCCTATTTGAAAAATTTGTAAAAGGGACTGTCTGAAAACCAGCGTTTCCCAGGGCCACGGTCCAGAGAAACATGCAGCTGAGACAGCTCCCATTGTCTGCATAAGCATATGTATTATGTTTTCTTTATTCTATCCCTATTTGTTTCAATGGTTCTGTGTTTCTGACAATAAACGGATTTATTATTATTATTATTATTATTATTATTATTATACATGAGTTCATCGAGCACCCACAATAAATGTACCAAAAACTGAGTCACGTGTTTTATAATAAGTTCATCATTTTCTATCAAATAATCATGTTTATTTTTGTAAAAATAAATTTGAGTTTTATTATACAATTCTCATTTTCATATAACCTGGCATTGATTCATTGACACTCATGATGAAGAAAAAACCTTATAAATAAGCACAACTTTAAAACAGTATAATTTGGATATATTTTTCATTGCTGCACGAGAAAATCAGAAAAAAAAAAACATTTGTTATAAATTAATATATTCATATACACAAACTAAATGACTCGCTTCACGGCTAAAACAGTTGTACTTATTATTGAAAATATTACATGACAAATATAATTATAAATGTATATAATACAAATGCAAAACAAATTTATTATTTATAGCTACCTACAGTACAATGAAATATTCATACAATAAAACTATCATGTAGAAGTCACTAGCTACATCGCTGACTCCTCGTAGAAAAGTTATATAATCTTTTGTGCCTCTTTTTATATGTAATGAAATCATCATTCTTGGACTTGTAAGACCTCAGTGTGTCATGTTTAGTTAATTGAATCATAAGCCTCTATTTATATTTGTTAAAGACACACTATAAGTGATGATTATTTAAAAAATGTTTCAAGAATACATTTTTAAAGATGCTTATTAGTCCGGTCAATTTAGACCAAAAAAGTAAGTGAAGTTACATAAAGTCCCAACAAGCTGAATTTCTGTGAAATTGTTCAAAACATAATTATAAACGATGTCTAGAAGTTCCCCATCATTCCCCCGTAAGGAAAAAAAAATTCAAGGCGTCGAATGAGCTGACTATTATATATATTATATAAAATATAACAACTCTAGATGTTTATACGTGGCGTACTCATGCATATTATGACGATTACAACTTTTATAACTTTTTGAATCGTATATCTCAGAAACAGTGGCTCGTAAGAAAAAAAGTATTGAAACATTTTTCATAGATAATTTTAAGATCTACAATTTTTGTCTGAAGTACTTTTATGATAAAACTTACTATTCTGCTGAAAATCGCGAGATACTCATTTTATTGACCTTAGACCTTGAATAATTATTTTTCCTTACAGGGGAATGATGGGGAACTTCTAGACATCGTTTATAATTATGTTTTGAACAATTTCATAGAAATTCAGCTTGTTGGGATTTTATGTAACTTCGAATGTCTAAATTGACCGGAATATATTAAAAATGCAAGTAACATAGCGCTTATATGATAATAAAGAGTTCGCACCAAGCTAAGAGACGAAGCGAATTATTCCTGATGAATGAAGAATCGTCCTTTGAAGAGTGATGAGAGGCGGGTGGTAAGCTCGGCAAGCGGACGAGGTGGTGCTAGGTGCTAGTGGTGGGGGTGGTGTGTTCAGTTCATGGAGAAGTTCTGCGTGAAGTCGTACTCGATGGTGGGGATGACGGTCTGCACGAACTTGAGGAACACGATCAGGTACGAGTGCACGGCCAGCGAGCCGCCGCTCTCCATCACCGTCTCGATGATCTTCTTCATCACCTCCGCGTGTCTGAAACGAGGAATTAACATACGTAGCAATAATAGGATCGATTGTTAGAAAGGCCGTGAGACGATAAGTATACCGAATCGGCCTCAAACAGGGATCGGGCTCAAAATTTCAGGGAATGTTTGTACTCATAAGATACTTCGATGCTGTGAGTTTCAGGTCTTTATCTATAACTGCTAGTGAGAATATCAAAAAATACTGAAAATTAGGAACTACATATTGAAAAAAAATAAAAACCATTTTTTGCTCAAAAATCGAAAACCGAAGTACTGAGGTAATACATCTTTCCCAAATGATTGGATCACTTGATCACAATATTTTGAAACCAAGATCTAATTTTTTAATTGTAATGTCGCTGATATCAACCTGTTAGTAACCAACCAGTACGTACAACAACCAACCAGTTAGCAACCAGTACGTAATTTAAATAAAAATACAATGAGAGCTTGAATGACTGAATGGGAATCTGTATTTCTCATAGTTGTTAATAAATCTCGCAATTCAAGAATGTTTTCACGTTGTAATCCAGTAAATATATTAAAAAAAATCTTTTTTTCACAAAGCATTGTTCACGGGCATCTTGAGGACGGTTAAAAATGAAAATTAAAAATATAAACTCGTTTTCTTAGGTTCTTGTGAGCTATATATCTCATATTTTTTCTTCGGATAACTACCACCGAACCCCAAAATAATTTCTGGTATTTCGATCAATCGAATAATTACATTCTGAGAAAATTAATTTTTCCTAACTTTCAGTATTTTTTGATATTCTCAGTAGCGGTTATAGATAAAGACCTGAAACTCGCAGCATCGAAGTATCTTATGAGTACAAACATTCCCTGAAATTTTGAGCCCGATCCCTGTCTGGGGCCGATTCGGTATACTTATCTTCTCACGGCCTTTATATACATACGTGGGTATGTGTGCACGTGTGTGTGTATATACCTGCAGGGATGTACGGAGGCCATGCTGGGTCCGGAGAGGTGCGGGTGCGTCTCCATGGTGACGGTCTTCTTGGCGTGGTCCTGGGACACGTCCTCGTACATGGCCTCCACACTCAGCAGCCGCCGCTCCTGGGGAGGGGGGGGGGGATTAATATGACTGGTTGTTACAGTTCTAAACATCACTTATACATAGTTAAACCAATCGCCCCATGATTAAAACATTAAGGACACTATTCTGCCTATTCTAAGTATCAGGTCGAGTGTCTCACTCATAGTATTCATCAAGTGTGACCGTCACGGAGCCAGTCTATTCTCTCACCTCGTCGTATCCAATGAGCCACAGTCGCGGCGTCTGGTAGTACTTATCGTAGGTGATGTGAAGGTCGTAGGTCCTGGTCTTCACTATCTCGTCTCCGTCCGTGTGTTTCATCGTCTTCTTCGGCTCCTTGCGGGTCGTCAGCGCTGTAGACTGGCGGATTATTAAAAGATAATAAAACATTGCTTTTATTTGACATAAAAAATTAGTAACTCTAATATAATAAATATTTTACAACATATGTAATTGAAATTACTTGTATCATATGAGAGGAGTGCTTTAAATATGAAACATAATAAATTAAAGCCACTGATGTCACATGCACTGATAATTAATAACTTGTGTCAACAAACACACTACAGTGGGTTTAATATGGAATCATTACAGCTTTAATAGTATTTACATTACTGGGAATTATTATACTGAAATCTTAATTCAAATGCCCTTTTGCTCTTTTTACATGAATTCATGAGAAATAATTGACAATTTAGATTTCATACATACTTCATTCATTCATAACTTCAATTAGTACTATTTTTGTAAGAAATAAAATTATAATTCCTCTTAATAATAACAGTCTACTATATTTAAAATGACTGATGGGTTCATAAGAATGAGTTGTAAAAATGTTTAATGTTCCACTTAAATTACATTCAGAAATACACTATTAAAATTAGTTCTCATTACTCAATATTAAACCTTCTCCATGTGAGAAAGAGGCCTTGCTCAGCAGTGGGCTCTGATAGGCTGATGACGATGACTCAATATTGAGAGAAAATTTAAACAATAGAAATACATATAATTATACTCTCTTTCCCAACAACAATCCAAAAGTGAGTTTTCATATTGAACTGGAATAATTAATAATTACTAAGAGCTCAATCAATATAGCTATTTATTAATTATATTATTATTAGTAAAAGTATTCTACAAAATCATTTTTTTGGCTATTTGAATATAAACTACTATTCAAATTGTCGCTCAATTTTGTTACTGTTCTTTAAAAAAAAGCAGCCCCAGCTTTAAATTGACAAATAAAAACATTTTTTTCTGAATAGAAATTTAATATATCTAAATAATGTATTTGAAATCAAAACACTTATTTGCTTGTTTCATTACTGGCATTACTGATAACCGAACTACTAATAAATAGTATGAGATATAATAATCAAATATAATTGGACTCTATATACTACGTGTCAAGGTTTATAATCACATTAATTGATAGCTGTGTTCATGTTTTGTTCACTTATCATCACATATATACTCATACATTATACGAGACACAATCTGTGAAATATTTTGAAGTGATTTTATGTTACTCCAAATTTATCAAATATTACAATGTATATATTTTTATTAACTATTTGAATTTGAATAAATACATATATTTAAATATAAAGCTTCATAAAGCCACATACTATGATTTCAATATACATACTGGGTCCACTTCATCCAGCAGTCCGGACTCCTGGAAGTTCTCCATGTCCTCGGCCTCATCATCATCAGCATCATCATCATCACCGTCATCAGCGTCCCCTCCTCCCTCACCATCGCTGTCCCCAGCCTCGGCCGCCTCTAATGTCATCTCACACACCTATGATATGAACATACATAATTATTATAAAACAGATTATTTTAATAACTTATTATTAAAAATCGGACTTCCTGACAAACTCCATCATTTTTATTGATATGTAGCTCTATATAAAATTATACAATACTAGCTTTCCGCCCGCAGCTTCGTCCGCATGGAGTTCGGTTATATCGCGTTTCCAAGAAAACCTTTCAAAAGTCTGGGATAAAAACTATCCTATGTTATTTCTCAAGGTCAACTCTATCTCTGTACCAAATTTCATTAAAATCAGTTCAGTGGTTTAGGCGTGAAAGCGTAACAGACAGACAGAGTTATTTTCGCATTTATAATATTTATTTAAAGATTTATGGTTTTTTATTCACTGTATTTGTAATTTTTTTTTAATTCATGAATCACTTTCAATCATTTTCTACTTATTTACCACAAGAGTTTATAAAACCATCACAAATGAGTTCTTATGATAATTGAGAATTGTTTCACTGTACTGAGTCATATAATATATAATGATTTAGATGCTAACCTTCTCTTCGACAGTAGGCGACCCTGGCGAGGCGTAGTGATGTGTGTCCACCCAGCCTCCGTCCTCATCATTCTCATCTTCTATTGTCTTTTCATGTTCATCACAATATTCTATCTACATGGAAGGAAATCTTTCTTAGAGATTCACAAACAGAGACAAATAAATTTCTTGATCTATGAATAATAGACCAGTGCCGATAGCTTTTAGAACATAAATATCTAAATTACAGTAGAATGAAACTCACTAGAAAAAGAGGATAATATTATAAAATTAAAGGAAAAATAATTTACGGGCGATCTGAGGTCGGGAAGGGTATGGAAGGGTAAGGGTATTTAAGGGTAATAAATGAGTTTTCTCGATTTCCGACAAAACTAAAAGTCCTACGGAAAAAAGTTATTTGGCAAAGTTGTAGGTAATAAAAAAATCTAAAACTTTTGTACTAACATTTTTTTCACAATACCTCAAAATTTATGTGAAAAATTAAAAAAATCTAGTTATTTGTTTTTATTTTTATCTCTTCCAAAAAACAATTTTTTGTCATGAAATTTGGTGAAAACTTTCCTTTTGATGTTCCAAATGCACTGTAATTTATTTGATTAGAAATAATTATTTTTTCAGCTTATTTTGAATATATACTGAAAAATCAGCCTCCTTTTCAATCGAAAAATCAACCGTCAAAATATCAGCTTTTTCAAAAATTTTGTATGTTTTCTATTTGTTGAAATCTCTATTTTCAATGGTGAAGAAAAACATATAAGTTTCTGACTTACAGTACCGTTTTTGGATAAAATAATCATGTCTCTTTTAATGAGATGACACTCAACATCGTTTTGAAAATGCTCTTTCTAATTTATTTTTAATAGTTTTAGCAGCTTAATGTCAATTTTTGTAAATTACCTGAAAGTGGGACTAGGGACTAGTGGGAATCCACATACCCTTCCTGACCTCAGATCGCCCATACATTATATTTCCTTTAATTTTTATAATATTATCCTCAGTTTCTAATTGGTTTCATTCTACTATTATTTATTTTCACTTTTCATTAATTTTAAAGGCTTCTGCACTGGCCTTTAAGTAACTACACAACACTGAACTGTAATTCAACTAAGTTTAATATTCTCGTTTTTGACAGAAAACAATTTCTTTGTCTACAGTCATTCAGCAAAGGCTATGTGAGGCACAATAAATAGAATTATTGAGTATATGTGTTTATCACCTTTGTCTTTATTTACATAAACACTAATAACAGGTCAATGGTCCACAGTTTGTAATTATTAAAAGATTCTAAAGAAAATGTACATATTACTGTTTACAAATTAATCCACCCAGACACAAACCTGTTTACAACGCCTGTAGCATGGAACATTTCTGGTTATGAGGAACTGCTTGTCAGAGGGCAAGTACGGCCTGATTTTGGACTCCTCGCCCTTAGCCCACTGCCAGGTTGGGCAGTGGTGAACTAAATGGTCTCCGGCCGCCACAAACTCTTCAGGGGTCAACACTCCAGTCTCTTGAAATTTAGATTCCTAGAAATTATAGGGAAATACCTCAATCATGAAATAAGTACAAGATTAAATTAGTCTTTATATTAGTTTTAAAGCACAAGAGATTCAACAATGAAACACACAAAGGAACAAAGCATTACATTTATTATTGATACCAACTGTTTTTTACGATAGAAAATTGTGTGTTAAATATTTTATATTCCAATGTTTAAAATTTAACCTTAGGATATTGAAATAAAGGCAAAAACATTATTTGTACCTTTAATACAGGCGTCAAGTAGCCTGCTACCCCGAGGGCGGTTCCCTTTACTGTATTTATTACGCTCTGCATATTTACATCAATAGTAAAAACAAATTAAAGGTGAAATAAACAGTTTACGATATCCTTTTGTGTAGCTTTATTCCGAGATCAAAAATTAATTGACCGAACACTCGGAACGGACAGTATTCAAATGCAAATGAAAATGACTTAAATTTGACATTGCGATTATCAAATGTCAATTTTGAAATAACAATGAAATAATAATGGAAATAAATTAACAATTGTAAATGCAAAAAACATCCCTTTTTATTAAATTAAAAACAAAATAAATTAACAGGTATGATTTTAAAATATATCGTTTAAGTATATTGTAGGAGTTTCTGAACGTAACATAACTGTCACGTCAAATTGGCCAAATTTTGTAAAATATTTTAAACATCGCTCTTGCTTATCATCAGTATCACAATCATTACGATTTACCACAGTATAATGTGATTTGGTTTCATACAGATATATAGCTAAATAGTTTTAAAAGGTTTATAATTCGTATATAATCATGGATGACGTTTTAGACGAAGTTGTTTCATCAGAAGACTTGGAAGTAGGTGTCTTTTGTCTTAAGTACTGAGTGAGTCATATTGCGTATATTGTTTTAATTCGCTTTGTATTGCACCTTTAGAAGTTCGAGAAAGTTTTCCACGAGCAGTTGCATCAAGGAAATGTTACACACAAAGCGCAATTTGAGTATGCTTGGTGTCTTGTACGAAGCAAATATGCCACCGATATAAGGAAGGTAATGTCGAAATATCCGTTGTTATAATACGCGAAAGTAGTTTCTAACTCATTACATTATTCAAAACATTTTTATTCACATTTACCTGAAGTGTAAATTTTGTTAAGACATTTAAATAAAATCATAGTCATGGGAAAATAAAAATAAAATGTTTGAGTAGCAATATGTTTTATGTGAGAACATTGGTTTTTTGAAAAATATAAAAACCAACATTATTTAATTTTCAGGGAATTCTTCTGTTAAAAGAATTATTCAACTCCCATGCTGAGGGCAAAAGGGACTATCTGTTCTACCTTGCTATAGGCAATGCACGGATCAAGGAATACAATAAAGCTCTGCATTATATCAAGAGGTTCCTAGAGATTGAACCGACCAACCAGCAAGTATTGGCACTTGAGGTGAGACTATCAAACTATATCTTGGAATATATTTTATAAATTGTATGTAATATCATCATTTCTACATTAATTTAAACTTTATGATTACAATGTTGTAATACAAAAATGATTATAAAATGAAAATAATACTTTTGTATGGGAGTTAAAATTATTTAGTAAAGCCTCTGAGCAAGAAGAGATCTTTAACTCTCTCTTTCCCCATATAAAAATTCTTGTAATATAAAATTGCAAAACAAATCATATTCTTATCCTAATTCAATGGATGCCAATATTAATATTGATAATATTTATCAATGAATGAAAATAGACATTTGTAGATAAAAATCACTATAGACTACAGAGTTATCAAATTGAGAAAAATAAATTGTGTTATGTTAGTATGTAAAAAAAATTGTTTTTATGTAAATGAGAAGCATAAAACATTTACAGGTGCCTTATTTTCTTAAGATGTGGTTTTTTACAGCATAAACATTTTGGCATGTGTCCAGACACTTTTTTATATATTATTTTTATTTCAAACAATGAATAAGGTCAATGCACTTAAAAATGTATGCATCTGTAATTGCACTTGATTGTGTTGTTTACAAAACAGTTTTAAATGTTGTACATTTTATCACATTCAATGGAAAGGTTAAAAGTGAAATGATTTATGGAATTAAAAAATATATTTGTTAATACATTTTGAATTATATGTTCAAACAAATGGGATTTAAACTTATGATATTCAGGTTATTGTGTTATTGTCACTTTTTTAACTTGCATATATAAGGTTTAGGTCATAAAAGAATTTATGATTGCATAACACATTCTAGTACAAGTTAAATTAATTAAAAGTAAAATCTTTCCAAGATGTTAGTTTTTAAATGCTCAATCTAACATAAATACCACACATTTTATAAATGAATGTTGCATTTACAGGGGCTAAATGACTTTACTAATGACTTTGTTGAAGTCAAACACAATTGTTCCATTTTATACTCAAGATATAAACACTATTCACTTCAGATTACATAAAGCTCTTCCTATCCTTCTCTAGTTAAACTAGAATCATTGTGAGGCTTACAAATATTAATGAAGACAAGTCATTGGTACACTTTTGATTATATTATTGATTATAATAATAATGATGGTAGATGTTATTAAATTAAAAAATAAATTAGGATGTATACATAAGAAAAGAATTTCGATAAGGATAGGATTCACATTTTTGGCTTGTTGATTTTTCCATCTAGTTGTATTTAAATTTTTTTTTTGTAAAGAATTGTTTATATCTAGTAAATATAGGACATATATATTTGTATTCATGTATATGGTTGTTCAAATGTAATAGTCCATTGTATAGTCCATTTAAATAGAAATAGGCAATCTTGTAAACAAAGCAAACTGAACATGATTACTGTTCTTACTGTATACAATTGGATGTCAGTCCTGATTATAATTACATCTGAATAAACCCACCCCTGTTATTAACAATCTTTTCATCACTAAGCAACTGTGCATTTATTTATTTTATAAAATTATTTTAAACATGAATATTTATTGCATTTGTCAAATTGACACAATCCTTTTTCCTCATCAAAATCTACTTGTCTATGGAAAATTTGTGTTGTACATGATAATTATATAATGAACTACTTTTTTTCCGCGACTTCTTCTGCATTACTTTCAAACTTAGAAATGTATAGTTGACCGGTGAAACTCTGCTCCTCCTTAAAGACAGTAGAGCCATTCTTGCAATATAAATAGTGTAACTGACACTTTCTTTTTAAATAAAGATAGTTATAATCATTATTATTGAACTTTAACCAAGTCACAAATATTAATCTTTAATATTTTGATTTAATTATAACAAACACTATATTGTATTCATCAGGCTGTGATGAATATCAGTCCATCAATCAAAATTGCTTTTTTTTTCTCATATTTAGCAGGCGGAACTAAACATAGATAGCGCTAAAAAGTACAAATTAGACATTTTATTTAAATCGTTAGTGAGCTTGTAATACTTATTGACCTTGATAGCATGGTCTTTAGGATTTTGTTTTCTCAGGAAACCGCAAGCGCTATTATCACGATGCGCTTTATAAATTCTAGTCATGATGCCGATGCAACAATATCCTCTGGAATTTTGTATTGTTTCTCATACATATCCATCATTTTAGTCCAATCATAAGCCGCTTTAAAGATAGCGTAAGGCGCGATTTTATAGCCCTTATGCCTTTTCTTACGAAAAGTACTAATCGTTAGTTTGTGGTTATATCTTTTGGCGCTCTAACTATCAAACAATTAAGCGACGTATTTCAAAAACTATAGTGACGACGCGAGTATTGATCGCTATTCTGAGGCTGACGCTAATTCTATTTAAATGAACTATAGTTCATGTTTTATTTCTATCTTCATAATCAAACCACTCATTCTACATTACAAAATACAATTTTTTTATAATAGTAATAAAATAATTGTGCTTTTGTATTTAATTTTTTAACTACCTTATATTTATGTGTATTGTGTGTGATATCTTTAAAGTGTAATGTTTGGTGTATAACAGCGACAGATAAACAAGCGTATGGAGACAGAGGGTCTGGTGGGGATGGCGGTGGCTGGAGGAGCTGTGTTGGCCCTTGGAGGACTCGTGGGGCTCGGCATAGCGCTCGCCTCCAGGAAATAACATCTGGCCTTCATGTGAGTCAACTAACTCTATATAACATAACGAGATGTAAGATTTTCGTGAGTATTCATTTAAATGAAACTAATATATTTCGGATATTGATAAACGGTGATTACGGTTGCTGTAAAGTAGCCGAAACGGCGTGAGTATGTAGTTTTTTATCAAAAATAAAAATCGCGTAGTACATCCGAAAAATATTAGTTTCATTATATAACATGTATTTACATATGTACATGTTACCCCTCTAAGTTGTTTTGACTACCATTAATACATTTCATATTTTAGTTAAAAAATCTCACACTAAGGTCTAGAATGAAAGAGAAAGGTTGTTCTGTCTCTGGTTTCATATTGGTAATAAAATATCTTTAGTAACTGCCAGAAACATACACTTTCATAACATACAAAAGGGATTCTTTTTAAGTCAGCTAAGAATCTATCGTCCTCGGTAATTGTATTTATATGAAAATTTTAACGGTTTTAATACTCCATTTGACTTTCGTGATAAGCCTTAAAAGACGGCTGCTATGAGATAGAGTAGTGCAAAATTTAGGTGATGTGTATAAATACAAGTTTCTCAACAGTAAGAGAAATATTTTCTTTACACAGAACATTCTCTATACAGAAAAACATATAATCAAGTTGATTTCATTTATGAGATACTTTATAAAAACTGTTATAGTGCGTTTGGTTTAAGCTGAGCTTTGCATTTGTGTGAGTGAGATAATATTTTTTTTTCCATTATATTCATAATATTTCCATCTGGCCGTTTACAAGTTTTGCTTATTATATAGCACTTATGTTATGTATCTATTTAAAATATAACAAAATTTAATTCTAAATGTTTTCTATCTAACTCTACTTTTACTTTCACTCACACAAATGCAAAGCTCAGCTTAGTCTAACGAACTATATTTGTTATAAACTGTGAACTTATAGAATATTTTATAATATATTTTTCATTGTTTATTTTCAGTGTGAACGCGTTGTTCGGCGTTCATTACCTTCTCAGTAAGAAGGGTCCGAGGCGTGACTAGCGCTCAAAGCTCTCAATATCACGAACTTCTTTCCACGTTTAGTTTGTATTCACACTTATAAACATATATCAAAGGCTTTTAGATGTGATATATTTATTTAATAAATTATATTAAGTTACTAGCCGTGTGCATATTTCTAGCGTCTATATTTTTTTACTTACTTGTATGTTACTAAAACATTCAAACATGTTTTCCTTTTAGACCAAATAAATATATATTTTTTTTTATTTTGCAAAATTATTTGAAGTAGTTCTTTTGTTTGTATAATGTAGGGTAAGGATATATTTTTGTTTAAGTGAGTTGTTTTTATTGTGTGAGACATGAAACGTCAACTTCAACAGTATTTACAAGCACAACGGGACGTGTCAAGAGAGTGTCGACACGCTACAGAGCTAATAAAACGATTTCATGTCCAACCATAATTAGTTATATATAATAATAAAATGTATTTTGTGAAATACAAACAACAATATTGAAACAATTATTTTTTTATTATCTCGTTTATAATGTAGTCAAGCATACAACTAGTACACTAAAGTACACAGCGAAGGCGTTTCGATCGTGGAAAATAAAAAATTATAATTATAATCTGCTTTAAAAGAAATTATACATAAAAATAATATTATTATAGTAGCAATTTAATTTGAAAACGTGGCAACACCGTCGATGACGTCTTATAATATAACAATTATTTAAATAAATGAATACAGTTACTATATAAATAATATATTTCTAACGACACAGGAAAATATCTTTTTTTTTCTTATTTTCAGTGAATATTTTACTGTTAAGATTCAAAAATAGGAGGTATATGAATAGTATGTAGTCTCATATTAAAAAATTAAACCAACTAACAACTAATACGAACATTTCAGTAAAACGAATTGTGCATTACAGTAAATATACGGACACTAAGAAATAACATGGCTTACAAGTCAAAATAATTACAAGATTTAATAAACAATTAGATATGTGAGAATCATAGAGAATAGTCCTCAAAATGATCTGTCCCCACATTTAGGGGTCGATTCATTTAGGAGACTAGCGGCGGACTTGTCACGTAGTGTCTAGAAAGAGCAAAATAATCTTAAGTGTCTAATGAGGTATAGTCGGGTGACTAAAATATAGATGAGGCGCTAATAAAGAACTTTGAAAGTTCAAAAGGTAACTAAACATACTTTATACACAATACTAAGAGCGTAATGAACGACTTATAGTCCTAAGTACGATAATATCTTCACTGGTATATAATATAGTATAATCAACAACATCGGGGCGCCGCTACGGTACATGCATCAGCGTCATAACAACAATAGTGCTGGAAACAATATAATATGTATTAACTTATTTGTGCTTTCATTTCATATTAGCCTCAACGTCATAGAAAATTTGAAATTGTGCCATGGAGTAACCCTAGCGACACCCTCTCTATTAATATCGTGGTATGCAAAATCGTGTTCTGAAAAAATATATATTTCTTAATCACATTCTGGTAACTGACTATTGTAAAGTGTACCGTGCTTCGACTTCTATTTATCGGTTTATAATCTAAATAAAGAAGTTATTCTTATATAACATAATGACAAAAATAAGCACACATCTCTCTCTAAACAATCAAAACTTATGTACAATCAAAAATTAATAATTATTTACTATGGCAACAGCGTCAACTGTGAACGCGGTGACGTAACCTACCACACAGCATTGAATATTGATAATAATATCAACAACCCGTACTTAATATTACAACGTGTCCATCGACGACCAACGCATTCGAGAACCTTCCATAACCGTCTCGCATAAAAAACTTTAAATGCTCCACCTATTGCTCTAAATACTTAAATAATGTGAAATCTAAGTTTCGGGAAGTAAATATTTTTTGTGACTCGCTTACGATATATCTTACCATACACTAAATAACTATAACATTGTACTCTAAAAAATATGTATAATTATCGAAGGCTAATTTGAGATTGTAATCACAGTATTTGTTATTCGAGTACCGACCGCCGTCTAGTTCCACCGACCCTACCGCGACCACAATCAGTTCTAACGCACCCTATATACACTCCGAAGGCAACATCAAGGTATACTTTATTTATTGCTTCTGTTTCTTTTGTTTATCATTATGTACTTTACATATCACCAAATGTTCATTTTATATACAATGCATCTTCACGAATTGAACTCCACTTCGCGCTCTTCATAGTTTATACCTATCCTTGAAAATTTATATTCAGTCTCAAGGCAGTAGATGTTTGAATTTTAAAATGAATCTTTTATTTATAAAATTATCATCGCTCCTTTCAAAACGATATATAAAATCCGAGATTCTTAAACGCACATCCATAAATATTTATAGGTTTAAGCTCTGTTAAATTTGTTCGTATACAAAGATATTTTTGTTTTTTTATTTTTATTAATTTAATTTTACTTTATCCTCCTAAATATAGGTGCATACCGTTAATATGTTACCCCTACAGTAGTGACAGTCTAATTGTTCTCTAGTGAGTGCGCTATCTATAAAAATAAAACGGTAAAGACATTATCTAGGGGCAGCGCTACGTCGCTCAATGACTCGCGTTATAATATTTACCTACGATATACTCTATATAGTATATATAAATGCAATCTGCAAAATGCATAAAACAACAGTTATTATATCTATAAATTGTATAAAATATTAAATAAAATCTATTGAAGTGAGGTAGATGGATGGAATTTCACAATTTGTGTGGATTTTTATTAATAACGTCGCCTTGTTGGCCCGAATGTTGAGGTAGTTGGATGGATTGACTATGTAAGAGGCCCTACTCCGTGTCAGGGACCTTACACATACAATAAAAGACACTACTCGCTAGTTACGTACTACTAAACAATCTCACGAGTGACGAGTCGACGGTGAACTAACGTGTACGTTGACTGCGGGACTCCTAGAGGGTTCTATGTAGGGAGCGGCGTCTTCCGAAGACGGCGCCCGACTCACACCCGACCCGGACGAGACTTAACGCTAAACATACTTTACATCGGTCAATGGCACCAACGATATTCCACGGGTCAACAATAAAACCGTTTGAAACGAATCAGCTAAAGACATAACATAACACTCAAGCACCGGTTGAAGAACCATCAAGGTATGTCGCATCGGTTTCCCTCGAACACTAAGCTAGGCGCGGCTCGGGACGCTCTTCATGAGGCCTTGTTGTCCTCCTCGGCGTACTCTCGCTCGGGCTGGTGCTGGTGCTGCGGGCCCGAGCGCGGCTCGTCTCCGCGGCGCTCCTCCTCGTAGTTCTTGCTGTAGAAGTCCGCGGAGTCTTTGTCCAGCGAGTCCTTGTCGTTGTCGTCTCCGGCGCTGTCCGCCCGCTGGCGCTCCTTGCCCAGGTCGAGGGGCTCGTCCGGGTCGCGCGTGATGTCCGGCTTGGCCATGTTGTCGGTGTACTGGCGCTGCATCTGTTTGAGGAAGCGTTGGTGCGCGAGGGTGGTCGGTGGAGGCGGCAGGGAGCCCATCTGTGGGGACGGCTCGTCGTACGTCTTCCTGTCCATGTGTATGGCATTCATCTGTTGTAACTTGGCTGCGTTCATTCCTGGAACATAGTTTTTGATTCAATTATATACATACTTGTAACGTTTGTATCTTTATTCAAAAGTCACTTAATAAAAACATTTACACTAATATAACATTTACCAAGCGCAATAGTAAAGATTTTAGTTCTTCCGAAAACCAGAACTAATTAAGGAAAAAAAATGATCACATTTGAAGGAGCACAGCTTTATAATAAAATACTTTCTTGTATAAGGAAGACGCATTCACTTAGATCATTTAAAACGCACCTCGTGCAATATCTTACCAACTAACGCATACAGTGGGTGCGTTTTCCTTTTCTTTTATTCTCTTATTGATTTCGTACTAACCACTACAGATTAAATAAAACTTGGTGTGACGAATGTTAACAAAGTTATATGTTTAAGTTAGTAATGTTCTCAAATAAGTGGCTATGTACTGTCTTGTTGAGAATAAAAATCTTTAAACCTTGATAAGATACTTTTAATTCTATTTCTTTCGACATACATCTTCAATACCTATGTATTCAGACATTTGTTGGCAGTTATTATTTTAGGACAACTTAATTCCAAATAAAAAATTGCTACTTGAAAAGGGATTCATCCCCTTTTTTTATTATTGTAACTACTCATTATTGTGAGATATAATTAAATTACAATATTACGAAAACAGTTACATTTTAGAAAATATACTGAAATATTTTTATTTATTTATTTGTAAAAAAATATGAGAATTTAATAATATATATTATTGTTTTACCAAAAACATTCTCTCCGATGTACTGAAGGTAGGTGTCCAATATAGCTGAGCCTCCTCCGAAGCCCGGCGGGTAGTCGTCATGTTTCATGCCAGTGAGTCCATGCGGCATGTTCTCCACTGTCTTGGCAGTAACGGCTCTCACCGCGGGCACTTTTGTTATTGTTGTGTTCGCCAAGCTGTTTATATCTGTGCAAGAAATAGAATTTATTAATAAACTTTCCTTCCATATTGGGCCAACTTAGCCATAATAGTAGGGGTACATACGAGGTGGTGAATGTGGCAGCGTGTCTTGGTACTTGGACTGTGATAGGTCATCATCGTTGTCTCCGCAGAGGGAGCTATTCTCGGAGGCTGCGGACTTGGCATCTAGCTTCATGTCACACCGACGAGCGCCCGTTGGAGACGCTCGGGCACGGAGTTGTTCAGGGGAAACTTTCACACCAGCCTTAGCCAGAAGTCTGGTGATGAACAACATTTTTGAATAACTAAACTAAATGAATAACTAAACTAATAAATTATTGAAACTAAAATTAATTATTGTTATTAACTCAAAATTAATTTAAAAAATGCTTACATTTTATTTAAATTATTTTGCATTTAATATGTTCATTTAAACACAAATCAGTTGATATTGTTATAAAACTGTTAAATAATTTAAATTCTTTTTAATTATAATTGATCCAAAGAAAACAACCTTGTGATAATGACTAATGTTTAATATATGTATTTAGTACATGCTGTGATTACCTATAAAAAGAAATACAATTATCAAATGTGTTCAATTGTTAACTATATAATATTTGTAATACTATTGTCATTTCTGTTGGTGATTCTATAAAATAAATAATAAAATAACACAAAAACATAAACGCCCTTTATTTTATTCATATTGCATATTAATGTACATTTGTTTAATGGTAATCTTTTTGGTAAGCGTTACTTACTGGCTAGCCAGCTCGGGATCGAAGCGTGTGGGCATTTGCAACACGGGCAGGTCCTTGGTAGATATACCGCGATGTTGTCGCGACATGTGAGAGTGTAGAGAGTTTCTGGACTTGGCCACCGTGCCGCAGAGCACGCATCTAAATAGGAACACATTGACAGTTATAGAAAGATGTTCAGAAAAATGTTTTAGCACCAATAATAAGTTTGATCGTTACCGGTATCCAGGACAGACAGTGTGTTTATCTTCAAGATGTGTCCTCAACGTGTGCGCTGATCTGTATATTTTTCCGCATTTTGGACAGGGTCTAGGATCAGTAGCTCGGACGCGCAGGAGGTCCTGGGTACGGCGACATCCACCTGAGAGATAAACGGACCTTTCATGATTCAGTTAAAGACTTAGATGTTCGTACATCTACTATTCACGTTAGCAGCTTACCTGAACGAGCCACAGACAGGTTAAGTCTAAGTCAGTGAGACTAATACATGAAATAAAATGCAGGATATCTACTTTGTAGTTTTATTATTTATGTTTCGTATAAGCAGACAACTTCGTTCGGGTAAAAATTAAATTATTACGTATATATCGTATCACTAATACAATCGCAACTAGAATCCTTTACTCACATTTAACATTTGGTTATTCTGATGACTAATTACATAATTGTATGTACGCTTAAAAATATTTATGTTATATAGATATACGAGATTGCCTCTGAGGCGCCAGGAACAATTTTAACTACTCGCTAAGTTTTACCAATAGTATATTCGTCTCGGAGTTGTATATAATCGATTCCTATCGCATATATTTCGAAGGCTTGGTTGCGGGCGATACATTCTCAGTTGGAGATTATTGTACACGCTAGCAGTCTTTACGTGAAGGCCGAACGAGCAAGTATGAGAACTGCACGGACCTCCTATTACTAACTGATATATATAACTTTAATTCTACATCCATACATGTCTCTAGGGACAAGGCTTGTGGCATAGAATGTAAGAATCGTGAAGAAAATCGTTTAAATAGAATTCGTTTAGGAGAAACTTGCTCATAAACTTGGAAATGTTTCGTTCGTTTCGGAGCTATAAATTATTGGAAGAAAAAATAGTAAATACCCTTATCGTTTAAGTCCAAACGATCAGAATAAATGATGAGGAAATGGAAACTTCTTATAAGCTAAAAAAACATTATATACAAATGTTTATTGTACTCTATAACCTAATTTTCTTTATACATAAACGTATGTCAAAATATCCATAAATCTATTTGATGTATGCGTTCCCTTATCCTTTTAATACGTAAATATATGCGACGGGACATGCGTTTTATATACAAGTACAATAAAAGCCTCGCAACTCGTCCACTATGACTAGATATGTTTTAGATTGTGCTCTCTGCCTACAGGGCTAAAAGAATTTTAAAAAATAAACCCTATTCGGTGAATGTATTAACTATTGCGTTTAAAGGCATTCGTTTTCATTATAATCTATTTCGTATTGTCTTATCTATGGTCAAAAATATATAATACATACAAGTAACAGACCGCGATAGAGAGACTGTCGTATCGAGGCACTTCTGTTTTAGAACTTCTAGTTTTGTATATCTTGTATAAAAAAAATCATTAAAAACTATTTTATACATATATATTATAGAACAACGTGTACTATCCACGAGAACTCATTTTAAGCGGGTGCTCTGTATCGCTGTCTGTTTATAAGAACGGATTAAGGGTAAGTGATCGTTTCACAGTAAACATTTATAAATAATAAAAAATAATTGTGCGTCTACCGAGGACCGTGAACGGAAAAATACAACACGACGCCCTCTATAACATCAAAGTCGACAACTAGGAACGTAACGACAGTTACATGAAACTTAAAGTACATAGTTGAAGCAACAATGGAAGTTACAGGCACATTCGAGAAGAAAAGAAATGTCGACTAATACTTGCACTTCATAATCTATCAATGGCACCAATCATCACAAGTTATAATGCGCTTTACAAAACTAATTCTCGAGACGACCTGAGGCTGGCTGGAGACGAATCACAAACTAGAAATATTTATTAATTCCTCTTAGTATATACTCGTAAAACACCGACGTTCCTCGTCAACAGTCTCCGCGTATAGGATATACAGCATGCAACCTGTTCTCATAAACACATCACCCAACCGCCGCAGGTCATCTCGAGGGAATATACTTAAATGATATCAGTCTATACTACTACAAAAATAATTTTCAGTCGATTTACCCTACTGGTTTATACGTCGTTACCGTACGACCATTACTGCTCAACATGAAAATGCATCGCGGAGATCATCGATTGTGGTTATTCAGTAACATATAAAAAGCCCCACTCGGAGTTCCGATTCACAGCCGTTTTTAGCGAAATTAACCGAAAGAACTCGTCTCGCACCGCGGACCGGCCGGCGACGGTTTACGAGAGCCGGCGCGTCAGTTAGCCCAGCCGCAGCTCCACTTGAGGGTTTTCATTTTCTCCCACTGTCGGCGATGCTTGATGCGCATGTGGTTGCGGACAGAGTTGGGGTGCGCGAAGTACCGCGCGCACTCAGCCACGGGGCACACGGGGCTGTCTCGCGGGTAATGGGCCTCCAGGTGCCGGCGAGCCTGCGCCAGCGAGGCCAGCGCCGCACCACACAGCGGACACTGCAGCCCGCCCCCCTCCAAGTATTTTAGTAACTCGCTCCCTCCGTCCTTCCCATCGCCGAAATCGCCTATCGTCGGCTTTGCCAACGCGTCCCGCGCCGCGGCATCTGCAATGCCGACACCACTTGATTACTTAACGAGAACGGTTGGCAAGTCCGACGGTAGGCCCTACGACCTTACTCCCTATCCACGTTCACAATAAACGCTCTAAAAATATAAGGTCATATTAAATGTAATATACGGTGTACAGTTCCGGTACGCAGGTCCCTAAACCGAGTCCGTTGGCACACGAGAGGTCAGCGCCGAAGACCGGCGGCGTCGTGAGGCTCGCGAGGTTCGAGAGAGGAGCGGGGGTATCGACGGGCGTGGAGTAGGCGGCGGGAGGCGCGGGCGCGGCGAGGGGCACGCTCGGCGGCCGGAGCAGGCGCTCGGCCACTCGCCTTCTCTAAGAGTTTTGTCGCTGGCGGATGCCGTGCGCTTGGAGCTGGTGGTTGATCAGGTAGTGCTTCGTTTTGCACTTCTTGCCGCAGTGCTGGCAAGGGAACCACTGGTCGCGGTCAGTCTGCGAGTGCACATTGAGCATATGCTGGCGCAGGTTGGAGGTGGAGGAGTAGACGCGGCCGCAGAGCGGACACTGCGGCCGGTAGCCCATCGCCGCCCCGCCCGCTAGAGCCGCCCCTGTAACACAGAGGCGGCGGTTAGAACAGGTCCGCTCGAGTCTCTTAAGCGCTACTGTGAGTGTGTCGGTCTAGTTCGGCGGACGGGGCGGGCTCGCGCCTCCTCTGCTTCACGCCGTGTATGGAGTTCATGTGTATCTGCATGTACTGGCGCGTCTTGAAGCCCTTGCCGCACACGGGGCACGAGTGGGACAGCTCGCGCGCCGCGTGCACGTTGAGGATGTGCTGCTTCAGGTTGCTATTGTTGCTGTAGAGCTTGCCGCACTCGGAGCACGCGGGCTTGCCGGGCTCACCGTTAGCGAGGCCCCCCGCGAAGGGGAAGCCGTCCGCCTCGCCGGCCGGCCCGCCCGCCCCGCCCCGCCCCGGCCCCGCCGCCCGCCCAGCCCGCTCCTGCCGCAGACCACTCGCTGTCAGTCTCGTCTCGCGAGCCCTACCCCCTCCCTCCCGCCTAACTCTACTGCTATCTCAACAGAGTCCCTAGCTCTCTATTCCGTAGTGGGAATGGGAATTTAATTGAATTCAATAAAATAACTTCCATTGTTGCTATTGACGTTTATTTAAGTCTGGTTCAGAGGTAATTGGTTTTATCTAATGAGTCGGTGGACTAATTACTGGATCGGTTAAGTACTCGTTATTTGGTTGTTAGTGTTATTGAAATCGTGCAATACATGACTCAATAATGTACAATTAATGACACACGGCCACTTTAGCAGGTCGTCCATGTAACAAGTTATTAGTTCTGGTTTAATTTAATTGCATCGATATCACTTGCTGGTAATAATATTTATCATTATTGAGACATGTCATTAGAATATGTTAGTGGGTCTGTTTCAGTACTCACCGAAATTATCCGGTATCCCCGACGGGCCCGGAAGACCCGGAAATCCTGTGAACGTAATATATGACGTTAGATGTTTGTATATTAACATAAGAGACTTGTAATCGAACTGATATAGACCTGGTAAGTTCAAGAGTCCTGGAAAGTTATGTGGCAGTGCACCGTTAGTGTTGGCCATGGTCGCGGGGTCGTCATAGTCTATCGGTTCCTGTTTCGCTCTGTTTTCACCCTCGGCGTCACTCGCGCCGGCGTCCGAAGAGGAGTCCTCGCCGTCACCAGACTGATGGGAAGATGAAAAGCATATTTAAAATTGCTTATTCAAGGATACATGTAAAACTATCAATGTGATTCGATAAAGGTCAACTCACCAGATTGTTGGATACGTTTGAGAGATGAGGATGGTGTGTGTTGTCAAGCGCGTGACCGAAGAGTGCTAGCTCATGTCCGTTGGCAGCGAGACGCTCGGGGCTGCCCTGGGCCAGGAGCTGCTCCGTCCTACACCCGTGGCGACAAACATTGTAAATGACAGGCTCACACAACACACATGACCTTATTTTATTTTATTTTATTTTATTTTTATTTATTTTATTTTATTTGGATTGCCAACAAAAGTAAACATTAATACATTCATTACATTAACAAACTATCAATAATAAATTAAATGTCCTTTTAATTATAGGCTATCACATCATGCAAAATACATATAATATTGGTAGTAAATCAAAATTTAAATTAAAAAACAATAATAATAAATTAATAAAACATTACACAATAATCACTAAAATTGACATAACTTATAACAACTACGTATGTACGAGTACCTTGCTCTTATACGAACTACTTTTTGTTGTTTAAATGAAACCAATGTTTTTTGGATTATACTACGGACTTTATTTTTGAAAAAAACTACATACTCCCGACGTTTCGTGATCACGGGCAGACGAGATGCTATTTATTACATTTTGCTATGCTGACCCCCAGTATAATACCCCCCGTATGAGTCGAAAATGTTACATATATTTATTTATTTTACACGAATTCTTTTGATTCTGTTAGATGCTTTTATGTATAGAAAAGCTTGCAGTAATTGGAACACTCTCCGGCTGCATATAGTGTAAAAAATAATGCTTTAAAATACCTCATTTGTAATAAGTGAATCAGCTAAACTATTCGCACATACGTTCGTGGGAGATCGCGCGATGACTAAATTTAGAAACTAAGTGAATTATTAAAGAGTATTATGGAGATGCCAATTTTATTTCCGATTTCTTTCCTTAAAATGGATTCGAGTTATTATTGTACCGTTTCGATGACGCCATTCCTGACCAAACCATCGATTTTTTATTTGCTGTTTCTCACAACACCTATCAGTATTTTGCGAATTCCATTTAAGCGCCAAAATAATTACTTATTAATTGGCCAAAGGTTCATCACGCAAGTAGGTAAACACATTTATGGCATTTTATAAATCTAACTATGACCAATGTGTTATAGACACCGATCGTATATGAGTATCGTCATACCTGGTTTTCATTTGTGCCTGGTACAAGTCAGATGAGCGCGCTCTCTTGGGCGGTGGGGTGGCGGGTGCGTCGTCTGGTCGCCGGGCTCGTCTTCCCTCTCGGCCGACTGTTCCAGCACCTTCCCGACCCTCGCGACCCTCACGGGACCCGCCGCTGCCCGTCTCCGTCCATGATGACGCGGACTGAATGTGTGACATCAAAAACGATTATAATGACTGTATTCAGAAGCCATAGAACTCTTCTTTGAAAAGCATTAAAGCTTAAAGTGTATTTAAAATTATAAACAATACAAAACTGTCCAGTCACTCGCGTCATTAGCATAATAAGATAAAATATAAATCAAAGTAAAGTCGAGGGTAACTTGTATCTTACCGGCGACGCTTTCTGGTCAAGCGTTGGGACCGGAGGAGGGACGTCTGTTAAACCTCTGACCTGCAACAGCTGGGCGGCTCTTAGGAACTCTTTTAGTTGCTCTTGTCCAATGTGAACTTCCCCCTGGTACATAAACCTACAAACGCTTATTCGATTAATACTTTCGCTATAAATAAACATGTAAAATTGAAATCACATATACGGACCTTAGTAAACTTTCCATATCTTTGTCGTGAACATCCCTCAGTATAACGATCGGATGCTGACAGGGATTCGCCTTTAATAATCTTCTGAAATATGGACTGCAGGCTGACAACACCACCTGACACAGGATCACATATAAATACAACGAATAATGATAATCACCGTATCACAATTACCCCTGTATTATTCATCCTAATGGTGTTATTAATGCTCCTTACCTTGTGAGCGGTGAAGGTAGCCCCGGCGCAGGCCAGTGTGACATCAACGAAGTCTTCCTCGTCTCTTAAACGCCTGAAAGACGAGACCATCGCTGAGTGGAAGTCGTTCCATCTCAGCGAGTATTGTTGCTCGCCCGCGCCGCCTGTCACATACAGAATTGATACATTCAACGTACATACTCGTTTACATTTTATTAAATTTATGCTCTCAGAACAGATGCGAGATATTCCATTCAACACGTTTAGGACCGTAAAGCGGCTGTTTTTATTTATTTACGATACATCGAGTGTCGTTAGAGATGTTTCGTCGCAAATTATTATTGTCACAGCAATGGCAATCGAAAAGATACGCATCTTATTTAAGCCTCGCTTTATCCGGTGACAGAAATGAGATTCTTTTCCTCCGCGATATCTTTACAATTCACTTGAGAGTTTATTGTCCCATAATGTCACCTTCATTGTGCTCCGAACACTTGGTTGACCTTTCGTGTACTTATTCAAATAAATCTAAAGTTTCATATTAAAAAAATACGTCATCTAATTTTGAAATTGAAATAGCTACTGTTATAAATTATTTATATGCTATTGAATCGTTACTATTTTAAGCTATTTGTGTTGTTTACTCTATTAGTGATTCTACATTATAAAAATGTATTACCGGACTGTGAACTTAAAAATACATGAGAAACATTTTGAACAATAAATTGAGAGTGGCGAGTTAATTAAAAGATAAAGCCATCAAAAGCGTCAATGACAATCAAAAGTCTGCCTCGGTGTGTTAATGAAGCGACAATGGAGTATCATATGCGTAAACATTTTCATTGAATACACTCCCACTACAGGCCGGTCGAGTTGATTTAAAGAGACGAATTAACTGGATATTTACAATAATTATAAACGCGAGTGATTCTGTAACATGAAAGCTATTAACTACACTTCGACGCCTTCATACCAGCCTGTACTGTATTAATGACTTCGTGTTCACCTAATAATATTATCGGCGTTTATTTGAAAATCAATTAAGACATAACATTGACTTCTTCCTTAATAATATTATTTAAAGTTGTATAATTTCTATAGTGAAACCTTTAGTAATTTTTTTCTATATGATCGTCAGTTCTTCCTAATCCTAAGCCGCATTATAATCTAATCTCCAACACGGTAAATCGTGTTATTGTAATACGTTAAAAACACCGCATAGAATCTGATGGGTATGAAGGCGAACCTTTTAAAAACATTTGTATAGAAAGGAAAATCGTAGTCCCGAATCTTGATATAAATGCGTCATTAAACCACCCCTCGTCCTGGGGGATCGGGAGGCGGCTATGAACGGACTCACGTACGGTAGAGGGTAGAGGGTAGTCTGGAGCTCGTACCCACACTGTTGGTAAACAATTGCGTATCGTGTCAAGATACGAGTCACACGGAAACTGACGGATTGTTTGACAAAAATACATCTGTACATTATTTACCTGATTTAAATTTGAGTTTAATAATTCGTGTGACCGACGAGTGAATGAAACGCAATTTGAAGGCTTAAAACTTTATATAGTCGGAAGGAAAAAAAACTTACGTAGTATGTGTGTTTAATCACGCACGAAATATGAATTAAATTTTTGCAAGTAGGAACTATTGGAACAATTAAACATAAAATAAACAAAAAGCGACTCGTCTATACTAGAGTTGATTACTTTAAAATATATTACTGTGTATTAAATGTTGTATTTAGGTAATGTGTGTATTTTGAAGAATAAATGAAGTACAATAATGACTCATTTTAACAGAGAAAATGCGCTTTCAATAAAGTGCACCAGAAGATGTTTTCTCGACATACAAAAAAGATAATACAAAATTTAAATATTTGCATACAAACAACGCATATTTTCACTGTAAATTTCTGAGACAAATATTCTCTCATATGAGTTATTGTGCATACTCTATTAAAATGGTTATTTTCGATCGGTTCTTGATTGAGTCTATTTCTTTTATATTTCTAGTCATAGCTATGTATGTTCCCGTCTGTCTGTCTGTCTGTATGTGTTCTCGTGTGTATGTGTGTGTGTGTGTGTGTGTGTGTTTGTCTGTGTGTTACTGACCGGTGTCGGTGGCCATGGCGTGCTCGGAGGGCGGCAGGGCGCCGTCTGCTCGTGCCCGCGCGCTATACTCCGCGCCAGCGCATTCCACGCGGCTAGTTATGGACGCCACCTTAGCGACTGTCACTTTATCAGGAGATGGACACTCTCCTCGCTCTTCCTCTCTTCCTTTTATCACTATATCATATAGGGTTGTTCCGTCTTTAAAGCTGCTTTTGTCTGTAAGAGATGTGGATGTTCGGATTTTTGCTCGTTTTCTTTTTGTGTTATTTTTCGTATGTCAAGCGAAAAGCGACGGTCACGGCTAAGTTTAACGTTATTTTAATCGACGAAATTTAAAACTACATAAAATCTTTTATTAGACGATACAAAAACACTTTTTGATTACAATTAAAGAAAAATAAGAAGAACAGAAATTATTTTTTTAAGTTAAATATTACACATCCGCGTTCAATTACACAACTCAAATGCATCGTGATATAAGTGATGCGCATTTATATATCTAATTGATCGGCAGTAGGTACGTCGTCGGTGCGCTCGATTAAAATATAATGTCGTACTAATTACCGAAAATCATTAAAAAATATTAAATCTGAATATCGGTCCACGTGAGGCGAGGCGAGTGAGGACGTGAACGATAACAACACGCACTGGGGTCGCCGGAGACCAGCTCGGCCGCGGGACACCCCGGGGGATGGAGACACGGTGCAACGACGATCGATGGCGCGCGCCCTGCACCACCACGATAAGGGAGGAGCGGCCAGATAGAAATCAATACGATGTCCATCATTGCTTGCACCCTTCTCGACACCCCCTCCCCTCACCCCCGGCCCGCGCCCCGCGCACCCCCGCACACCCCCGGCGACCCCAACACCGCGCCGCACCGCACCGCCTGCGCCTTGCACCCGGAAAATGCATTTTCCGCGACCGTCGCTCTACACCCGACACACGTCTTTACAAACACCATACAATGCAACAACTCTGGATGTCGTACCGTAATATATATATCAATATATATGTATGTGTATATATTTATCGTAATATATTTCCCGCTGGAGGTCCGTCAGTGTATGCACCGCTCGGAGTGCTGTTTACGTTTGTTTTTGGATCCGCGCGTGTTATTCGTTGCGCGTCACGCGGGCGACTGTCGCCCCGCCTGCCGCCACCGGTCCGAGAATAACCAGGGGGGAGCGGCGCGGGGGAGGGGGGCGCGGGGGACAGATGAGGAGCGGCGAGGAGAGGAGAGGAGAGAAGAGGACGGCGGGGCGGTGCAGCCTGCACGCCCACAGCGGCCGCCCTGTCCGCGGACACGAGCCACCAGCTGGCAGCTGGACCTGGACACGGACACCAGCTAGTGAGCAGCGGCTCAGGAGGAACACACGCACGCACACACACACACACACACACACATACTGACCGAGGAACTGTTTGTAACACTGCTAAACAAAAGATATATTAATTTAATAAACATTTAATTTTATTTAAATGAATGTTGAATTTATTTTATAATAGATATTAGATGTTTATTCTGGAGCCGGCTCTTGGTATGCAATCATTATTTAAGTTTTATTATAAAAAAAATTAATACCGCAAAAGATTAATATTACCGTTTTATCACACACTGAATAATGTCTTCGTTACTCTCGGCTAAATCTTATGACAGAAGTTTAAACAAATAAGATTTCAAATAAAAAACCTACATATTATTATTTAAAATGTTGATACAAGTGCATCTGTAACTGTACATACATTATTTTTTATTATTTTAATTTCAATATAATAAATATCTTCTATCTTTTGTAATGACGTTTACAATTGCTGTTAGTACACGCAATCCCAAAGTCCGGCCAATCATTCGTCAAACGGGCGTGAATCTCGTGGGGGTGTTGGGGGTGTTAGGGGGTGCCGGGGGGTGATCGGCGGGGGGGGGGTGTTACGTAACATCAGGAAGTGCGGATTAGGAATCAATAGTGGCCGTAATGATAGTTGTAGCGTAATAGATGGTACTGCGGCGTTGTGTGCGCCGAGCGGTCGGGAACACATGAATAAACTGTGCTCTATTGGATGAAACTTAACTATTGTTATTGTATTTAAATATAATATATTAATATACACAAAAACATAAATGCTTTTTATTAATTTCATGTCCTAATGAATTAAATGCATAAACTAAATATAACATTACCCAACATACGCAATGTATTGCAACGGATCACAATGCAGCGGAGTCGTGTGCTGATAGAATATTTCTAAGGGCTATATCAAATCTGCATCACCCCTCACCCCTCACCCCTCAGCCGTCACCCGTGCACCCTCTCCCCACACCCTCTCACCCTGGCTGTCATCGCCCGCGGTCATCCGTCTTCGCCCCCTCGTAGACAATAAACATATTTGCTTTTTGATTTTAATAAATCTATTTTATCGATTAATTATCTTTCTTTACTTTTTATCGATATCTATCTATATTATATTTATTATGTTTGTAGTGAAATCTCGTCATTTCCCATTCTATTTCCCTCCCTCGCTGTTTTTTGTTGTTTTATAAATGAACGCCGTCAGTATCTGGACGTTCGTTTAATAAACTTTGATAAGTGAACCTTTTTAACATTCATTAAAAACTTTTATGACAAAACGTTATATACAAAATATTCTTTGTTGAAAAAATAATGGAACAAATAACTACTACGTCATGTCTTGTAACTCAATGCACATTACTTTAGTGCTACATACTTCTTTTGATTAGATAATATGTATATATTTTTAATAATTAAAATTAAATAATACACCTTATATTATATTGTTAAAACAGTTTTTAAATCTACGGTAGCTAGAAGATGATACTAAAAAGTCTAAGTTTCGTCAACTTACTTACCTTGTCTTCATATTTACATGTGGACGAATCTGAAAGGAAAACCTAGGCGGGAACAGTTAGTTCTGATGGTTGACGCTAGCGAGTTTTAAATACAAACTATTATTTACCTATCTCCACTCACACGTTTCGGAATGTTATCTTTTACGTGGTACAAGTATGTGAATGAAATAAATAAAGCACGAATTTTCCTTACATTGGTACTTTTTCTTTGAGCAGTTACAATGCAGAGTATTCCTTGATCCGTTTCTCGTCTTTTCTTACGAAACCTTCAATGTAGGGAGTGCAATTGATAAAATTTTCACCGCTTCTATAAACTTTGTTCCTTACAAACAGTACATTTCTGAAGCCTATTGCCGATGAATCGATGTATCCGTTTGATTCTCACTATTGCACCCTCCTCGCGAGTACCTCCTACCGACAGGGGGGATCTCTACCCCCAGGGAGGGTGTCGGCGGCCGTGGGGGGTAGGGAGCAGAGTGTTAGTTCAGTAGAAGCACCGCTGATGTGTGTGATGTGATACAGTATCCACGCTGGTGTCGGGATTGCTCTTTTTCCTCAAACAGATCCTTGAAGTGCCGCCACACGGAATGCTATTATTCAGTGCTCCCTTTGTCTGGTTGCGCCAATCGATTGATGCGGCCCGTTACACTTGACGGACTGTTGTGTGTGTTACTTTGTTTAATATCGTCTTGTCTTCGATCCTTCTCCTCTTAACTAATGTTTGTAAGATATGAAACATCATCACGGAACAGGGATGATACTGGACCTGTTATGTTACATTCTTACAAGAGAACTGTTACTTTTGCAATTTTATTACATATTAATTATATATTTTTATAGTATTTCAAATGTTTATAATATTATTTTATCACAACTTTCACGTCTGGATATCTATTATCATTTTTATTGTCTTGTTATTTGTATATTCGTCATTAAAATTTTCTAAGTACTTAAAATAAATTATTACTAATACTGTAACTACATACATACTTTCATAAATCAAGGACAATGTAAAATCGACTTTATAGAAATCAAATAAGATTTGTTTTAATTAAACAAACTATACAGTAAATTAATTTTAAAATAATATATAGGTATTATTATAGATTATTTGTATAAAAAATGCCTAAACATTTTTCGGTTCAGTAACTTTATGAATTGCGGAAAGCGCACGGAGGCTTCATTTGAGGCCGCGAATCTTTTGACTGAATCACGATTACAAGCAGTGACTCACTACAACTGACTCTCTTACTCATTACTGTAATGTGTAACACGTACTTAACATTTTGGAAATACCCATTTCGTAACATTTACGTAATTAACATTACGTTTACTGTATCAGGAGCTTTTAATTTACGTACCTATTTCTCTCTACACAACTGTTTATTATTTTTTGTTTTTCTCTCAATTCTTCAAAAGGACTTGGAAATCACTTTTTATCTAGGCTTTGTTTTTTTCGCGTCGCCGGGATGACCGCGTAAACAAAATAATTAATTCAATACCTTACATAACTTGTATCTAGTTTTTGTTGTAGTATTCATAAAATATAGGATTTTGGCATTTATAAAAGTAAATATGTTAGAAGGTGTCGTACGGGATAAACGGATCCTTTCATTTGTTGTTGAGGGATAAGAGATTTCCGGAACTTAGAAGATTTGACAGACTTATGAAGGACGATAAGGATGAAGTACAATATGATTGTTTATTTATTATATAATCTATATTACATTAAGTGTTAGATTTGACTGTTTGAATTGTTTAACAAATAAATTATTTTTTTTTCATTTATAAAACTGTCAAATAGTTAAACTACAATCTGTATGATAACGTTTGAAGCCTAACGGCGATTGAACTTAAAGTACGGAGACTCGGAAAGGAAACCGTCCCAATAAATTAACCGGACCAAAGATCAATAAACGTCCAGTCCAGTGGATGCGGAAGCAGTGCGTACATCAGCCGTCAAACACACCCCCCCACCACAACCTCCATACACCCCCACCACCTCCACACAGCCCCCACCACCGTCTAAATATAGACAACATACCCCCCACACGTATGTTTTGGTCATCTTTTGCGATCGGGAAAGGGATGGAATTTGATCATTGTGATGTACACGGCCGGCGGTAGGGTTGACAAATAAAAACAAACTATTGAAAGAATAATATTGACAGAAAATAATATCGGAGACATTTTCAATAATTTCGATAATACAGACCATTCATTGATACATAAGATTACACTTCGTCAAAATGTTTATTCGACAAAAACACAGTAATCAGCAAAACAAACAACATAAAACGGTCGATAGTTTAATTTAGTATATAATGAGAGCGAGTAGGAATTATAATTTAGTTGGTTGGGGTAATTGTGAGCAAGGCACGGGCCCGGGGTCACGCAGTGCGAGTAATTACACGATTTAAGGCACAATAATGTGAGCCTCGGTGTAGTGACGTGGCGTGCGTACCTTCATGACGCTACCGTCTTGGGGTCACTTTGACTCCTGATAAAAGAACTAACCATTCTTATTTAGTACAACTATTAAGACATCTTTGGTCAAAAATATATTTTTTTTCTATATCTCTCTATGTTTTTTCTATATGATTCTAATATACTGTTATTACAAGCCAATAAATACGATAAGTGAATATTCATTGTGTACGGAATCCGTAGTATTAGTAGTGGTCGTGATTGTTCGCGTGACCTGCACCGCGTTACTCCTGATCGTAGCTAGTGTTCGCTTCCGCTAGTAAATTGCCCCTGAATTGCCTGCATGTAACCTCCCAGCTCCCACCAGCTAGCTACCACCCATTAATATCATCATACGATCGATGCGTGCTTTCATGCAGTTCACGACTTGGTAATCTGACTGATTATAATAATTGTACGTATATGTTCTAATGCTTGGGACATAAGTACGAATATAGATTACTTTATTTATATTCTATAAATGAAAAGTAATGTACATGTTAAGTTCAAAATAAATGAAATTACAAACGTAAATATTGGCTAAAACTTTTCACGAATGTCTCTATATTAGATATTATTGGTTCATCACTAAACGCATTCAAACACTCAAAGGGTAACAAACATGAGACAAAATCATTGATTAAGTTGTTCGCGTTCTTGTCAACTAAACATTAATGTATCAAGTACAATGTGTACTGTGTACGTACATTCGTAGTGCAGTACCCTAGTCCAGTGCTAGGTGTCCGGATGAGTAGTGATTAGTGTTGGAGATGGGCGCGGTGCGGTCGATACCCTCACAACTACCCTACAATAAACAGGGGGACGGTCGCCTAAACTTAAGTATTGATTCGCGCGAAACGTGATTTGTACGCGTTCATCTAAAGTGCAAATTCGATTGCATTCCATCGCACGCAGTAACTTGCTGAAACGAAACCGATTAGAACAAAGGAATACAAACTAAACGCGCAATGTAAGGTAAACCGGGTATAGTTTGTCGCTAGTTGTGATCGTTTGTGCTCTGTTCAGTCGTGAAGTATGGTCAATAGGCTGACGGACGCACCTTCTTCTAGTTTCTAGTATAACGCACCGCGGACACGACACCTGGCGAGTTATGACGACTCGTTTTATTTAGTGAGTGCTGGTGGTGGGCGCTGGCTTCATCGCCGATATTATTCGACCGGCAGCGGTTATTACTGTCTCGTCCCTCTGATTTATGTTATAGTCTTACCTATTTCTCATTAAATGCCAATTAATTATTCCTAATAACATTGCGTTAGTCATCTTTTAGTGGCAATCAACGTTTTATTGCGTATAAACGAAACAAAGTATAGTCAAAACTATTTCATATGAATCGAAAGGAATAAATTGTTAGGTCGTTCAATAATAATCTCCGCGGCGACAGTAAGTAGAACACATGCTATAAGTTACACGGATTCTTTATAAGTATATCACAACCAGTTATATTATGTATGGAAATAAACCTCCGAAATAATTAGCTCGTTAATGAGTGGCCGGAGACGTTCGGATTCGCGGGCACACAGATTACTGTACCTAATGGAATGCGGCTCAAATTAGTGACCGATCTACAAATAGCTTTATAGATTGTCTCTGCTATCTATTAAATATATTTTTTCTAACGGCCATAAAGTGTTAATATGCCAACCAAACAATCTAGATATCTGTTATCAAACGCCTCTCACTGGCAAACGTAATTTGATAGAATATCTTTTATTTAAACATAACGGTTTGTTCGTGTAGATGAAATAAAATGGAATTAAATCAATAATTTACTGCGTTATATGAGCCTATTATAAATTTAACGGAATCTGGACAAAGAAGTTATAAAATACGGAATTTTTTTCTAATGACATTAGCAATTTAAATATTAGAAGAGATATGTTTTTATAGCACCGGAAATGATTTGGTTCAGTACAAGTAATCCGGAGAATACGGCTCAGTTGACGCGTGGGACTACGTGGGACTTTAACCTGATCCACATAAAAATACAGTCAATTCAATATATTCTTAATATTAAGTTATGCATTTGCTATACTTGGAGTACCGTTAACAAAAAACACATTCTTTGCCGCTTACGACAACCAGATTGTAAGTAAATCATATGAAAAGTTAACTTCATTAACTGTGATTGTTAAAATTAGCTTCATTAAAACAAATTTATTTAAATGTTCATACACTCATACTGATGCTGTTATCTTAAATTGTATTTCATTATTGACCACACTATGTTATATAGTTCTTAATACAACATCGGATTATACTTGTGGAAACATACGGACACATTAAAACAACATGCTTTGATAACTCCTTTTAATAATTTAATATACCTATTTCTTAAATATTCAATAGGATCAAAGACATTTATTTTTCACATAGAATACTAATCCTATTAAAATGTAATATTAATTATTACATATGATTTGTAGAGAATCAAGTAACATAGAAGTTTTAGATAAATAAGGAAACAAATATTATGCAGGTAGATTTGTACCCAAATGGGTATGTACCCATGTGGGTACATATAAAACACGAATGTGTTGCATATATTAAATAAATTGTTTATATATAATATGTGATACATGGAGGAACTTTCACTTCACTACACTCGGTAGCTCACCATACAACATCGGCTCACACATTATAATTAACTTTCTGTAATTCTAATTGTCGATAATCTAGTTCTCTAGTTGTGTGTTTTTAGGTGTTTTTTTATAACGCTGTAACTTATGATACGTAATTTTCAATAATATATATAAATATATAAATAATATAAGTGATTGTAATAGATTTAATATGTACAGACGTTATAAGAGATAGGACTTGAATTATTTTGTTATGAATAAAATGCAAATATATTAAGTTTAAAACAGCATATATTGCACAAATCTTTATTATTTATTCTTAATTATGATTTAAAAGGCTTTTTTATGTAACAGTATTAATATATAATGCAAATAAATGTGAAATTTTCTTTAAGTTGATCTATCCTTGCTTTGTCTACCATAAGTCCTATATTTTCTTTACTATTCTGTTTTAATTACTCAGTATATATAAGAAGTTGATTAGAATTTGAAACGGGTTTGTTTTGTAATAAAGAAATTTAAAAATACATATGAATTTAAATTTTAAAACACGAAGATGCCGCAGAATCCCAATGGAAGTGATTATAATGATCTTAAATGAATACATAGCGAGGAAATATAAATATATTTTACATATATTTAAACCAGTGTATGCGAGTTTATTCACTTCTTAAATATAAATAACTACTTTTGGCCCGCGACTTTGTCCGCGTTAGTTTCATAATTGGAAATGTAAGTTGACCAGGCAGATTGTTTTAAATAAGAGGCAGTTAATAAACGGATTTAAGATTTTATTAGCATTTTTTTTGATGATCGAATTCAAAAGTATCCTATGTCCTACCTCCCCACAAATTTCCCGACAAATCAGTACAGCCGTTCTTAAGTTATAAATAGTGTAACTAACACGATTTTCTTTTATATATATGTGTGTGTATTGTAGCATTATTACAATATATTTAATGTCAATTAAATTAATGATATCATTAACAGAAGTCATAGCATCGGCCTATTAAATATTTGCCTTAATTACTTACACGGAATGCGTTTCTTTGTTACTAAATGTACATATAACGGGATATTAGATATTTAAATCTTTTCAATATTACATTAATGTATAATTTTTCGTATATTTTCCATAATGTTATACCAGTAGTATATGAAAATGTTTCAATCAAATATAGAGTCAGCAGATGTAAACAAAGTTATGAAAATATTATACGAATATTATTAATTATTTAGATAGTGATCTCTTTTATTAATTTTTGAATATATTTATTATAAAACTTTGAACAAATAATATTCTTCGTATTTGTTGCATCATAATGAATCTCAGGACTTAGTTTTTTTTATCATCTCTCGTGTATCGCATGTAACGCTTTCAGTAAAAGCTAACAGTTGAAATTTCTCTAAAGTAAATAATCTTTTTAAATATTGGATACTTATTTGTTTTAAGATTATATTCATTTATAATTACTACAAATTTAATACATTGCAACTATTATAAATTTCACGATAATTTAATTTCAATTCACATATATTTTTCACGTATTGCGACAGTGTTACCGTCTATTATAAGTAAGTGGTATGATCTTAATGTCCATTTTAATATTATAATGTACATATGTCAAATGTGTGAGTGAAATGTGAATTGGTTCTGTCAAAAAATATATTTAAGTTTGATCGAGTCTTCAAGTCGAAAATCAATATTCTAAAATGTTGAGAGTTATCCGCTCATAAATAAATCTTTATCAAATTCTGTACTGACTTTATATTTTAACCCTTATATTTTTTTCCTTTATAATATAAAATTACGAAATTCGATTATTTTTAAAGGTATATCGATTAATATCGTCGAAGAATATGATTAAGGGATAAAATAGATAAAGGGATAACACTGAATGTATAAAAATAAAATTCTTACGAAGTTTTGAATCCTTGTAATCCTTGTAATTGTTAGCTGATCTTGAAATTAGTTGGTGAAATTAATAAATAACAATACTGATGTAACATGATGCTTAATTACTAAAGAATGATGGTAAAAGATTTAAATTTATCTTATGCTGATGAAATTTTTGATATTATCGTTGGGAACTAAACAGAAGTTTGGTAAAAGGTTCCTTACCTATAATTTGTATACACTGTTATTAAAACACCATCACAATTCACAACAAACATCTCAATAACGTATGCGATAATGTAAAGACATCGATAATGCTATTATTTTCTGTCAGCACATTACAACGCCATCTTTACAATGTAATACGTAATAGTAGACAGTCCACCGAAAAGGAGGAACTCCACGACGAAGGGTCCAAGAAAAATGACATCGTTAGTCAGGACAGTGAGAAACAGAGACCTGCCCTCCGATGATAGGAAACATATTAACACCAACTATATACATAGGTATATACCTACTGGTACACTTTTCTTATCCTTATAATATATACCTAAATGATCATAACCAGTAAAATATATGTATGTAAAACAAATCATAGGTATATATATACAATATTTTTAATTATAGTTTTATTTCTTTCAATATTTGCCCTTATTGTGAATATGACATAGTACATATGACTCGGAAAAATCACATTGGTACTAGCCCGGGCCAGTATTGAACTCGCGCCCTCGAGCATGAGAGGCGGGCTTTTTAACCACTAGGCCACCTCTGACTTTATTTGCACATATATTTTTGTATTTACACTTAACATCAAAAAAAGTTTATATATCAAATGCCATTCATTTTCTTTTTCCATTGAAATAACCGACATACAGCGACATCTACTTACAGTCTGTTGGCAACTCTTTGCAATTCGATATAAATTGGAAATATAAGTGTGTTTATTATTGAATTCGATAAAATTTTAAATTTCTACTCTGATAGCAACAAATTTCATATGAAGTAATGTTATTGAAGAATTCAATTTAAGTACGTTGCGACTAGGATTTCTTTGTGTATTTTTTAATTATTTGAGACTTGCTCATTAAACAGTATTATACTGTTTGCTTGACGTTGTCAACAAAAAGTAACACAACTTAACCGAGTAACGTGTATTGTGGCAACACAGGAGCAGCGCGCGACTTCAGAGATACAACTTTGTTGCGTTAAATGACTTCGCCACCGTACTCCAATAGCAGGAGACACCGGAATTAATGATTATTCTCCTCTCAATAAATCAATAAAACGACCATTAATTTTAGCATAGAGTCGGAGGCTGCTAAGTAATAGAGATCCATCAGGTCTCATTAGCCGCGGACGGGGGCGCCACCGGCGGCCGGCGGCCGGGCGCCTACATCTAGATCAATACGACCGGCCGCCCGAGCTCACCCGACCTCCGCCGAAGGTTGCCGAAGACCCTCCAGCCGTATGACAAATGTCACGCGAAAGAGCCTGCAGTGTTCAGGCTCCGTGGAAATACAGTAAAAAGTGCAGCAACTGACACAGTGAGAACTGCAGTGAAGTGAACGTTCGGTTGTGAGGGCTCTGCGAACAGTGCAGTGTAAGTAACCCGCGGCGACCGGCCGATGCATGCATGTGTTGATCTGACATAACGAGTCAATATTTATGAAAGTTAACAGTAACAGAACTTGAGGTGAGTTAACACAACTAGAGGCTCCAATACCAGCTGGTGTTAGTAAACATTGTATATGTATTGAATATTGTCTCTTGTAGGGAGAATATTGATTTGGGAGGAGCATGTTTTAAAAACTGAAACAGATTTGAAGTTTTAGGATTTGTTTATAGTGACAACTCTGTTGAAGTGTGCATTATTATAACAGAATTGTACCAGCCTTCGATTTATTATTAAAGATACCTTAATTTTAATTTAGTGAGGGTTTTTTTTATTATATTATGGTTATGGATAGTGCGCATGTGCCGAACAGATGCTTTGCGTCATGTTTTGTTTGATAAATATATTAAAATAAAAATATTTTAAAAATATGTAATAAAATTAAAATAAAATATTGATTACATATTATATTTCCCTTTCTTAATTTATTACCATATTTGTGAGCTCAAAAATAATTTCATTTTTTTTATTTAATTTATTTTTTATTATCTTTTATATTCCTTCACTAATGAAATACTTTTTTTTATATATATTTTTTGTAAATACATTCAGTATTTTTATCGTTGCGGATTGCAGTTGTTTCTGCAGGTATATCGACCTTGACCTACATGTCTGTTCTCCACGAGATGCACTGACATTTCATAATACACGAAGCCTCCTGACATATTTACTTTATATTCATTCAATCATAACAACTGTATGAGGCCGAATTTAAATCATTTCAACTGTCACTGTCACTTTGACAGCTGAATGTCACGCTGCGGGAAAGAGTAGGAGATAAGTTTTTGTTTTGTTTCTCCATCGACGCCTTAAAAGGAAAGTTTCTGCGGGGCTTAATTCATTAAACTTTGTATAACATTAATGTGGATCTTCGTTCTAAGAGCCTCATTTACGAAACCAAGCGTGACCTCCATTAAAACATTATTGTTGTTTTGGTATATTTCACCAAAATTATTTTAAAATTCATAGGTCAGTGTGGTCCAAATATAAACCGACTTGTATCTTATTCGGTATAATCTACCTCTATCTACAATCTAGTTAATTGTATTTTCAAAGCGTGTCGCCATCTTGAATACAGTATAAACATATTAATTACTCTGTTAACAAGACTGTGGCGTGTCACTTTAGACCCCAACGGTATTTGTCAAACAAGGACATTATTAAATGTCTCTTACTAACTTTTACGCGCTATTTTTTATACTTTTCGATCAAGTATTTACAGTACACAAATTTGCAGGTAAAAAAATTGCTTGCAATATCATTTATAATTAATTTGCTGATTTCAACCTACGATATCAATACAGTAATTTAAAAGGAAAGTCGTATCAGGAGTGTCTTCAAACATTCCACGATATCTGCTATAATGTATGAGTAATTTTATTATTATAACCGAAGTCAGATGAAGTGGTTAGTGTATGTAGTACTGTGTATTATTGGCGTGTTTTCATCCCACCGGGCCGCCTGTGAGTCGATCTCGTTGACACCAGCGGACAAACAACTTTCAAACGCTATTAACCTTTACTCCCGGCCGATGCCTGGTTTCTAATACTACCTTTATAAATTATTTTTAAGCATTCTTTGCTATCTTGTAATGTATTCCACGTTATGTGTTGTGAAAGTTTTTATTCTCGTATATCTGTTACAGAGACATTAGATTTATTTGTTTATGTACGGTCCTTAAAACGTTCTTGTTATTGTAAATTTTGTAAAATGAGCATACAAAGATGTTTCTGTTAAATTATGTAGAGAATAAACAGGGCAAAATTTAGTTAAGATCAATATAAAATATACTGCTACTGAAGAAATATATGCACATGCGTTTGAGTTCATACTATACAGTATACGGTCGTCTATACGGTGTGTGTGTGTGTTACAGCGCGGCGCTGAAACAGGCGCAGGGGCATGCGTCGCGTAGCATGAGCGGTGCGCGCGCGCACGAGCCCCGCGAGCCGCGCCACCACCGCTCACACCCGCACCACCACCAGGTACGGTACACACAGGTACAGGCTACCACCAGCAGGTACGGTACAGGCAGGTACAGTCTACCACCTACCTCCAGCACCACCGGACCACCGGCCAGCCAGTGGGAACAGCATAAGGCGATAAATATATGTACTTATACTTCATACAGGATTCATCGGTGTTATACAAAGTGTGTCCGTCTTATTATAAGCCGCTTACACACAGGTGAAACAGGTAACAATGATCCCGTAGTAAATACTTTAAGATCTATTAGATGCTATAAGACAAAAACAATTAAAGCCGAAGTGTTTGAAATGTACTGACATTTATAGAGTATTGTATGTGAAGTTGTTTTAATTGAAGTAATGAAACAGGAAAAATGTATAAAAATAGATAGGTAGTGATTGTTAAAGGGAAATAAACGATATTCTGAAGACCATCCGTTATCTGATTCCGTTATTCGGTAAACAAAGTAATCTTAGAAAAGTAAATAAATATTTAGCAAAGACAATTAGTCGCGAGGCGAGGAACTAACATCACACATTATATAAACGGCTCGCACCGCCCACACGCGACATAAACTTAAGGTGACGACTATTATAAAAACTTAGAAAATATACATAAATATTACTTACGTAACGACGTTCGGTAACTATTTTTTAATTATATTATTGTGAAATTTTAATACAAGAAGTGAAAAAAATGTTGTCGGAATTATTCAATATCTTTTAGAGGCTTTTAGAGTATCGTTGATTGTAAAGGCTTCGCCTTAAAACGTTTTTCTTGTAACAATTAAATCGTTTACAATTTGCAAATTTCTGTAATTATAACTTCAATTAGAGGTCGCCGTTTGTGTGCTCCGATCCAAAAAAGACGGACAATTTTTCTACGAATTCTCGATCGTAAACTTTAATACTTCATTCCAAGTTTACAGAATACTTTTTTTTATTGAACTTTTAATAATAAATTTATTTTACATATATTAATAAAACTTAGATTGGTTTTAAATATATATTGATTAATTGTTCTAGCGAATGTAATGGTTGCGTTTGAATGAATAATTCCGTTGTTTGGTCGAACTGGGCTTAGCAGAAGTTAGCGTCCTTACATTGAATAACCTACAGTAATACTATTGTGTACCAAGATATGTGAAAGAAAATCTGGTTTATTGCCGTATGTAATGAGGTCATGAAAACTTGGATTAAATGAAAAGAATATTTTTCGGATTATACTACGCGCATTTTATTATTGTAAAAACTATATACTTCCGACGTTTCGGTTACTTTTCAGCATCCTTCTTGTTTACCCGTGATCACGGTGATTGAAAAATATTAGTTTCATTTAAGTGAATACTCGCACAAGTCTTAGATCTTATTTACTTGGGCTACACTGACTAATGGGATATATTAATTTGATTTCAATTATGTCCTAGGTAGGTGTAATCTATAAAAGAGAAGTAAGCAACATCTATTGCCTCTTAAACGAAAGTTTTTAAAGTTTCGATACCATCTTCTTCTTTCTATAACTTTAAGGGTGTCTATAGATTTTCAAAATAAATAGATTATTATGAATAAATACATATAATATAGTAAAAATCTATTTTCTTGACATTATTGTTATCATAAAGGGAGGTACACACAGTATTTGGTGATCGCCCACGCAACACTTAGAGGAACTCTTGATTTACGATCCTACTGACACTGTCGTTGAAGTGTTTTAATGAAATGCCTTGTATTGTTACAACTATAAAGGCTGCTTAGGAAATGTTTAATTTCAAATTAAAATATACTCATACTGATTATCAAGCAGTAATAAAACAAATATATATATTATTTTAAGTATGTTCTCTGTTTATGTTTGTGTATCTGTCTGTGTTCGTATTATAATATTTTATGAATGGCGCAACGTGAGCGGTGTGTGACTCATCTCATCTCGTCGTCACTGATTGAGTGATGTTTCATTGGTCTTCTACACTAGTGTCCGCGTGAGGGGCTGTGTTTGTGATGTCACAGTATTGGTGATAAAGATGTTACGGTATATAAATGAAGAGGAGACATGATACAAGGCTTTCCCGTATTAAATTACTAATATATAGTTGTATCAATTAGATATTGAGTTCATGAAGTACAGATAAAGTCGGCGTTAGGAACTTTTAGATGATTTTGTTTCTGTTTTTCTGAATAATTAATACTTTGTTGTTGATGTTGGACCTTTGTTGTTTTTTAGAATTTTGACTTTTTTAAGGACAAAGTAAGATCTGTTAGTTCCCACATTGTGTGTGTGTGTGTGTGTGTGTGCGATGGGCGTGCCTTCGTCGTTCCGTGAAGCGAGCAAGGTCGTCTCGGCCGACGCCGGTGTTATGCGATTTGTGCATACACAGACAAACATACACTACACATATTAAACTAGACTAATCCTTTTTCATTGTTATCTTTGTTTAGCGATTATATTAAAATAGCGTATCTCATTAACGTTTTTAATACCTACTATATGACAATATTGTTGAGAAATTACATTAAACAACAATACAAAATTTACTAAATCAGTTGAAGTAAACAAAAGTAATTAAGGATTTTTAATAAGTTATTGTACATAACACCTTATGCATTATGTTTCTTGTAACAATAGGTTACATGTATAGATGAAGCATATTGACGACCAATATATGTACATATAGCCAGCAGCACATTCGCATGTCTGTATATAATAGTCGTGAGTGTATAATGTAGGAGCTGGTGGGACCCGTTACAAGTCCAAACAATAACCCTATGGGAGTCAGTTTTTTCGTGTTACGTAAGAATAGCGAACATAACTGTGCTGGTCGGGAACAGAATCCGCATACCGCGGCGGCGTCGTATTATTCAGTAGTTTCCGAGAAAGATCCAGAGAGATCTGTATAATATATTTGGCCGGCCACGGCTGGCTCATTATGCGGTAAGGCCTACATTCCGCCGGCTTACAATTTGCCGAATAAAAAGTTCGCTTTGTTTTGACTATTGTTTTGGAAGACGCTGTGTCCTGAACGTGTAGAGGGGCCGTGCAAAAAATTGATTCAATTAAAACTCTCTTACATACGACCTGCCTCCATAATATATATTCCTGGCTACTCTTTATTACTTGTATTTTCTTTTAAACTATGAGATGTTGAAGCAATGTTCTTCTTATCTCCTTCTCTACTCCTGCTATCATACATCACTTTGTCTCACCCGACTGATTTTCCTTCATCATTATCCTTTATACAAATTTCTCTCAAAGTTTTCGTATGTTAAGTATTTATTATTTGCCACTTCTAAACAGTTAGTTGTCTTCACATGTAACGCGGAACCTCTATCTTCTTAAGAACATATTTCAAAGCTAATTAAATCCCCTAAATGGCGGCCGTTATTCTGTTTTTTGGTGGCTATTTAAATATTTCACTGTTATTAGTTGTTATATGTAGCGAGATCCTTCACATTCTATCGGAGAGCCATACTAACTGCTTCACTACCTTTTGATATATTGTCTTGGAACGATTTAGATGAAGAATGTTAATAATAAATGTTCAGATGTTAACTAAAAGTATGAGTACCGTTTGACAATTGATTTTATATGTAAAAAGAATTTTTGTTTCATATTTATTTTTAAAATATATTTTTCGGATTTTAAAAGTTTAATAATAATATAACACGGTAAAACAAGATAATGTAGAGTCCTTTTTATATTTGATTACTGAATTTAGGTAAGATTCATTATATATTACAATGCTTAAAAACACAGTTGACTAGAAATTAATGAGATAAATATTTTTTCCTATTAAATTAAGAATTAGCTACATTAAGACAAGTTTAAGGTTCTATAATTTGTCGAAATTGGTTAACAAGATAAGGGGGAACGGACGTACACACGCATGAAGCATAAAAAAAACGTTTTTCAGCAACAGGATACAAACAAATTCTTCCGTTAAAATAAATGTTTTGACTTTATTATTACAAATAAACCTATCAGCCTCGTTCCAATCTGTGTTTTAAATAACAACAATAGCCGTCTGTTTCGCTTTATAAAAACCTTCTAATATTTTACGACTGTCACAAATAGACCCTCAAATGTCGCTATTACATTGAACTCGACCGAAATGGCCGCGAAAATAACAAGAGAAGTGACGCGCCCGGGTTAACACTGTAAAGGTGCCCACACACGAGCTAATGAACCGGCGAAGATTTACTGCTAGTGTACACGCGATAACTACACATGTGTGCGACCTGCCTACATCCACAGCAGTTAGACCCCGGTTAGGTTTTATTGGTTACTAGCTGTGGCCGAGACTTCAACCAATATTATACACAGATAGAAATACCAAGAAAAAAGTATCGCAAAACTATTTATATATAAAAATGTGGATTAAAAGAATTGATAATCGAAAATATGTTAGAGAACGAGGGATATATACTAGCATTGAACTTTTAAAATGAGGATAGAGCAACAAGTAGGTATTACAATTTTCCTTAACATCGTTATGATCTAAGAAATTAAAACATCATAATTAAGTTGAATTATAATGTTACATTGAATACAAACCCGTTGTATATAAATTCATTCAGAAATCCTCACTTTGAAATACTTAGAAATATGTTTTATATAACGCAATATTATTATAACTTGTTTACATAAAGAACATCCATTTCGTATGTTGAAAATGAGAACTACAAAACACTTTGTAATTTAAATCAGATAATGTATTAATATTCACAAAAAAAGCTATACAAATAGCTTGTGACAACACGAGATATAAATTAAAGTCCCACATACAAATGGATTTCAAAAACTAGAGTAATTGATTCAAACGGCGACATTTTAAGACTCTCCACATAAATTAGCATTTACGTTCTAAGGCGTACATAAAGATCTTATATGGTGCTGTACAAAGCGGGCTGTAAGGCCAGGTTGACAAACTGCGAGTAACATTTTACGAGTGTCCAAATCATCGCATCCGCGAACTAATGACTCATATTTGTATATTGTAATATAAAGATTTCCTCAATATATCAAATATTAGACAATCTAAACGACTCTTCATTAATAATAGTAAATATTCAATGTCCATCGCCTCGCCGTCGCGTACCTTGCAATGCGAGTTTTGAAATGAGAAATTATACACGCTTCCTTCCTTGTGTTATTTATTTGAATCACTCGAATTGGAATTATTATATTATATTTATTTTATTAATACTTTTTATGTGTATATTTTTTATAATTAAATATAGCTTCTTTAAATTTTATTCCTTAATAGTTCAAGTTATTTCACAAGTTTAGAAACGAGACTGCAACAGAAGTTTTAATATTTCTAGCAGAATTATGTATAAGAAAAATATCACTTTGTACTTAATATTATGAGTCATTGGTTCCGTACGTCCCTTTTCTTCATGATTGTCATTTTCTGTTCATCTAATGTCGTTAATCGACTTTCGCTGTAAACACAACACATTATTCTCTAACTAAATTAATACCGCGACTTCGCCTCCGTAGCTTCAACGTGTATTACTTAAGACCGTCTGTCTGTCTGTAAATTTTACTACTATAAAGATCAATATTAGTTACTTCTATACCTACACAAATACATATCTGAATATACACTGAAGACTTTTCAATTTAGTTCAGTTTATATATTTGAATAATATAATTAAAAATATACGATCAAATTATGGAATTGATAATATTAAGTCCAGTCCAATTTCCAAAGTGTACCAAAACAATTCGATATAACTGTTCAATGTAAATATTTTATTACTTATTAGTATTATATTATTATAGTCTGAATAGTCCGTCGATGTTTTAATGCTGTATATAGTCTCTAGTCCGTCCCAGAGGCGTCTCGTTTTGGTCAATCTATTTCTGATGCACTCGCCGCGTCTGTCACAAGTCACCACACGTGCCACTGTCTTTGAAGTCTGAACAAGTGAGCCCTTAATGAACGCTGCAATTACTTTTAATTTTAACTAAACTAAGTACTCTGAATGTTTGGAACGAGTTTGCAATTATACAGAATTATTATATATAATAATGTTATCTGTAAGTCTTTTATTGGCGTTTAAGTTAATTTATTCAAGGAAAAGGTTTTTCACCTAAATAAGGATTGGTTTATTAAGGATTTTGTTATTTATTAAATGTGCCTTATATGTAGTTCAATACCAATTTGCATTAAGTACATTACAGTTTTCACTCTTACACATTTTTTGTTCTCCTGGACGAAATAAAAAATACAGTCAAAACACAAATAAATACATATGTTTAATAAGTTAGGATACTTTCTGTCTAGTGTTTAGGAATGGAGAGCAACTTTTATTTTCATATCAATAACTAAATTCCTAATAGTACTATGAAATGTGACCTCTCTTATGTGTTGAATTCTACTTAAATGTTTTTTCAAGCGACGGATTACTTTTTGTTTTCAGTTTACTTAATATATTTTCTCTTTGTTACCTTTGTTATTTATTAAGTATTGTTATTATTATTTTCTTTAAATATTTTCATTGATGTGTTCTCTTTTACATTAATAGTTCATCCTTCGTTCGTTACTTTTTTAAAACATTTACGATTTATTTAAATACACATCTTATTTTCATTATGAAATCGTTCTATTTATCTATTTTATATAATCTTATGGATCTATGTAAATTCATATATATTAATTGGGTCCATATATATATAGTGTTTCCTTGCTTTTTATTTGTGTTAATAAATTCTAAACTCATAATTTATTAGCATAACATAAATTATGATGTACCACATCACATCACACCAGCCGGCGTCTGTCCGTCTGGTTGTTTTGGCGTGTTCTTTAAAATGCAAATGCATTTCCATCTTGAATCAAATTAAATGGACTAAATATATAAGAAGAATATCTTATATATCATTTATATTTATTTCTTTAATTAACAAGTAATAATTGTTTAGTTTAGAAGGAACTGTTTTAAATGTAACATGTACAGAAAGTGTATTACGTACACATACAGGTCAGATACTTACTTAAATACTTACCTACAGGTAAGATTGTTTCACCATTGCATATATGCTATATTTATAGTTATATTTGTAAAGATTCAACAAAATGTCTCATAATCTCCCAACATGAATAATTTATACTAACTATATATATTTTTACGTTAAACGATCGTGTCCATTCCAAGTTTGGTCCGATCACTTTTACAATTGTATAATGTTTTGCCAAACTTCGTTTAATTAAAACTGTGTTGTAATAAGTTACCTAACACGTTAGAACGGAATCAATATCACTGCGGAGATGATATTGATATTTATTAATAAAAACTGAATTAATATTTCGCTAACAATGTACATATTACCTATTGAATATTTGAAGCAGCTTTAAGAGTTGATACGCTAATATTATTACAGTTTTGATATTTAGAGATATAATTAATATTCATAAATGAGATGATAACAAAAGAACTTTTGCAATATTAGTGAAAAAGTTCATTCTTGTGTATGTCATCTGTAGAATTAAATCAAGTTTTTTATTAGTTTTCGTACATATATTTCACTTACAGTATATTTATAAGCCAGTCTGAATGTATAAAGCATATCAGAAGTCGTGGCATCTTTTCGGCGCCGCACTTTTATTAGTAGGTGTGATATTTACATGTACAATTCAGTATGAAGAGCGTTATATGATACGTTAAAAACTTTTATTGTTATACAACGGGCATTACTCGACAGTCAGGCAGACCCTGGCTAAAGCTGGGAGGTTGCCAGAAAGAAGAAAAATATTCCTCGCCGGTAATATGAACACTATATACAACGAAGTATATTCGTATTTATTTGTAAATGTTATATACTAAACATAAGCGTTGTTTTCACTGCATGCGCACGTGTTGATGGTGCGAGGGCTGGTCGGGAAGTGGGTCAG